CAAGTATGTCTTTTTGTTGTGGAAACAAAGTAATGTCTTTTTGTTGATTGGAAACAAAGTAATGTCTTTTTGTTGTGGAAACAAAGTAATGTCTTTTTGTTGTGGAAACAAAGTAATGTCTTTTTGAATGGAATATTGTTAAATATGATGGAAATGTGGTAAAAAAATTATGGAATTATGGAAAAATTTATGGAATTATGGAACATTTGGTGGAAATATGGTTAATGATGCACATTTGAAGGTAGGCCTATAGTTTTAATATAGATATATATATGACAATTATTGAACTGGGTATGCAAGCATCAAATCCCTCTTTGACAGCATTGATCTGTTCCTTAACAATATGCAGCCAACAATCTCTTTATACTGCCAAATAGGCTACTCATCTGTTTACTCCTAATCTAATCTCCAAATTTTTGTAGATTGTGGCCTTGTTGGTGAAAAATTGGTAAATTGGTGGAATTATGGTTAGGCCTACTCTTGGTTCAGATTTGAAGGTAGGCCTATAGCTTTAATACATACATGTACATATTTGTAAATTATGGTAAGAATTTGAGGTGGTTATTTTTTGAAAAAAATATGGAAATATAGCAACACTTCACCCATTTTGGGTTAGTTATGGTTTGACTTAAACTGTCATTTGTGTTCACTCATATCTTATTTGGTTTTTGTTTTGTAGATCATGGTAAAATACATTGAAGATTATGGTGGAAACACGGTGGAAACATTGTGGAAAATAGGTAATATATCTTAAGGGTTATATTATAGTAATGTTGGTGAAAATATCTGGAAAATAATTCATGGTAAATTAATTACTCATGTCTGATTTTTGTAGATGATGAATAAGTTTTGAGCTGGTTATATGGTGAGAAATTGGTGGAAATTTGGTTGAAATATGGCAATTCTTGGAGCAGATTGGTAGGTGAAGTTTTAAATCTGTCGGTTTTCCTGGACAACATTGACCTGCCTTGCCAAGATGGTCCGGCTTTCAATCTATAGTTTCACCTGCCAATCATTTGTTCACTCTTATCTAATTTTTGTAGATTATGGTTAGATTTTGAGGTGGTCATATGGTGGAAATATGGTAAAAATTGGTTGAAATAATATAGCTACTCTCAGTAGGTAATATTTCAACTTCTGTCACTGTCATATATTTCTTTTTTTGTGGATTATGGAACATGTGGTGGAAATATTGTGAAGGTTTGAGTTCCAAACTTCCAAGTCTGTTGGTGTATGTCCCTTGTACAACCCTTAGATAGATATTGTTTAAACGCCAAATATATTTCTGTTCACTCTTAATTTTTTATTTTGTAGGTCATGGTAAAATATGGCAGAAGATTTGTTAGATTTTGTGAAGATGAAGAGCCAAACTGCCAAGTCTGTTGGTCTGTCTGACCAGTGGGTGTATGCCCCTTGTCCATCCATTAGATATATATCGTTTAGATACCAAATATATTTGCTGTTAACTTGTATTTTTTTTATTTTGTAGAATATGGTGAAGATTTGTTAGATTTGGTGAAGATCGAGATTCAAACCGCCAAGTTTGTTGGTGGTCACTCATGTCCGTCAGTCCAGTGGGTGTATATTTCTAAAACAGCCGAGTCTGTTGGTGGTCACTCATGTCCGTCAGTCCAATGGGTGTATATTGTTTGAACTACCAATTCTGCTGGTGGTCACTCATGTCCATCAGTCCAATGGGTGTATATTGTTTAAACTACCAAGTCTGTTGGTGGTCACTCATGTCAGTCAGTCCAGTGGGTGTATATTCTTTGAACTACCAAGTCTGTTGGTGGTCACTCATGTCCATCAGTCCAGTGGGTGTATATTGTTTGAACTACCAAGTCTGTTGGTGGTCACTCATGTCCGTCAGTCCAGTGGGTGTATATTGTTAAAACTACCAAGTCTGTTGGTGGTCGCTCATGTCCGTCAGTCCAGTGGGTGTATATTGTTAAAACTACCAAGTCTGTTGGTGGTCGCTCAAGTCCGTCAGTCCAGTGGGTGTATATTGTTAAAACTACCAAGTCTGTTGGTGGTCGCTCATGTCCGTCAGTCCAGTGGGTGTATATTGTTAAAACTATCAAGACTGTTGGGGGTCACTCATGTCTGTCAGTCCAGTGGGTGTATATTGTTTGAACAGCAGAGTCTGTTGGTGGTCACTCATGTTCATCAGTCCAGTGGGTGTATATTGTTAAAACTACCAAGTCTGTTGGTGGTCACTCATGTCCGTCAGTCCAGTTGGTGTATATTGTTTAAACTACCAAGTCTGTTGGTGGTCACTCATGTCTGTCAGTCCAGTGGGTGTATATTGTTTAAACTACCAAGTCTGTTGGTGGTCACTCATGTCCATCAGTCCAGTGGGTGTATATTGTTTGAACTACCAAGTCTGTTGGTGGTCACTTGTACTTTTATGTTTTGTGTATTATTGTTTTTGTCACTTTGTCACTAATCATCTGTGAGTGGAATTGTCATTTGTGTTTATCTGTTCTATGTTTTGTGTAGGCCTATTATTGTTTATGTCTGTCAGTCGACTGATTTGTATATTTTTGTTATTGTTATTAATTATTATGTCACTTTGTCACTAATCATATTTTTCCTTTAACTAATCAGTTTTTGTTTTTTACAGAAAATATATTGCAATGATATTTGTTTCTGAAATTGATGGTCTATTTTCCAAATACAAGTTGTAGTTTGGTTTGAAAATATTGACCTCAATTTTGATACAGATTTTCATTCCAATATGGTCTTTGTTCCGTTGTGTTCTAGCGCAACTACCAATGAAGATAATCCACCAGAGAAGAGATGGTGGAGCAAAGACCCCCTTGACTATTTTGTGGCATGTTATATTTAATCTCATGTCCAATTTCGTCATTGTGGTTTTTATAATAAGCATCAAAATACAGAAGAAATATGATTAAACATGGTGATAAGATAGTAAAATTGGTAGAAATTTGCTAAAGAGCATTTTGTAATCCTTATGGGGTAGGCAGGGAGTAAATCCCTTAGGGAATTCATCGACCCTGCCTTGCGGAGATGATCTGTACATTGGGTGTATATTGTTTAAACTGCCAAGTCTGTTGGTGGTCACTCATGTCCGTCAGTCCAGTGGGAGTATATTGGTTGTATATTTATGGGGTAGGCGGGGAGTAAATCCCTCAGGGAATTCATCGACCCTGCCTTGCCGAGATGGTCAGTCCAATGGGAGTATATTTTTTAACTACCAATTCTGTTGGTGGTCACTCATGTCCGTCAGTCCAGTGGGAGTATATTGGTTGTATATTTATGGGGTAGGCGGGGAGTAAATCCCTCAGGGAATTCATCAACCCTGCCTTGCCGAGATGGTCAGTCCAATGGGAGTATATTTTTTTAACTGCCAAGTCTGTTGGTGGTCAGTCATGTCCGTCAGACCAGTGGGAGTATATTGGTTGTATATTTATGGGGTAGGCGGGGAGTAAATCCCTCAGGGAACTCATCGACCCTGCCTTGCCGAGATGGTCAGTCCAATGGGAGTATATTTTTTTAACTGCCAAGTCTGTTGGTGGTCACTCATGTCCATCGGTCCAGTGGGAGTATATTGGTTGTATATTTATGGGGTAGGCGGGGAGTAAATCCCTCAGGGAATTCATCAACCCTGCCTTGCCGAGATGGTCAGTCCAATGGGAGTATATTTTTTTAACTACCAATTCTGTTGGTGGTCACTCATGTCCGTCAGTCCAGTGGGAGTATATTGGTTGTATATTTATGGGGTAGGCGGGGAGTAAATCCCTCAGGGAACTCATCGACCCTGCCTTGCCAAGATGGTCAGTCCAATGGGAGTATATTTTTTTAACAGCCGAGTCTGTTGGTGGTCACTCATGTCCGTCAGTCCAGTAGGTGTATATTTTTTAAACCAATAAGTCTGTTGGTGGTCCCTCATGTCCGTCAGTCCAGTGGGTGTATATTGTTTAAACAGCCGAGTCTGTTGGTGGTCACTCATGTCCGTCAGTCCAGTGGGTGTATATTGTTTAAACTACCAAGTCTGTTGGTGGTAACTCATGTCCGTCAGTCCAGTTGGTGTATATCTCTTATTCAATTATCAGATATATCGTTTAAATGCCAAATAAATTTGTGTTAACTCTTAACTTATTCTGGTCTTTTGGTAGATTATGGTACAAAATGGTAGAATATGGTGAAGATTTGTTAAATTTTGTGAAGATTGGAGATTGAGTCTTTTGGTGGTCACTCACTCAGTACCAGTGGATGTCCTTTTTTTTTAAACTATCTGTGTGTTTGTTGTCACTTATGCTGTTTTGATTGTTTATTTCAGTGAATAGTTGTCTGTTGGTGGTCACTCAAGCCCATCAGTTCAGTGATTGTCCTTTGTTGAAAGTGGTAAGTCTGTTTGTGGTCACTCATGTCCATCAGTTCAGAGGTTGTCCTTGGTTGAATTGCCAAGTCGTTTGTTGTCACTAATGATGTTTTGTTTCTGTATTTCAGTTAATTGGTTAGTCTCCTGTCCATCAGTTCATTGATGGACTTAATTGAAGTAGTCACTCATGTCCATCAGTCCAGTGGATGTACATTGTTTGAACTACCAAGTCTGTTGGTGGTCACTTATGTCCATCAGTTCATTGGGTGAACTTTGTAGGATTGCAAGACCTGTTCGTTATCACTAATGCCAATCCTGGTTTTTTTATTATAGTGAATTCGTATATCCATGGTAACTTTTGTCAGAAATATGGTGGAAATTGATGTAAGATGATGGGATTATGGTAATAGTTTCAAAAGTTCCAAAGCAGACAGGACTTGCAGGCATTTGAAATGTATGTTACTAAAATCACTTTCAGTTACAAAAAACTATCTATAGTTTGTTTCATTTATTTGACACTTGAGCATTGATTGATAACAATAATTATATACAACACATTAAAGATATAGACTATACATGGCTTCAGAAACAAAATGAAAACAAAAAGTAGTAAAGTTTCTATTAAAAGAGCTCTGATTGGTTGATATTATTGCAGTTATATTATTGACCAATCAGACCACACATTCTCGAAATGATCTTAGCGCTAGGATATCCTAGAAACTGTTAAAAGTCAAGGCCTAAGGACATTCTCGTGCTAAGATCATTTCAAGAATACAAAGCGGATCATCAGTAGTAGCCCGTTTATAAGCTTGTTACTTTTGATAAAAAAAGTCAAGGACTTCAAGACAGTTGCTTAAAATGAAAATGAAAACATCAATATTGCTTTAGGAAGTATTAACATATTTGCAATTTATTTCAGATTTCTACCGTTCTAACTCTTTGAGGATATCATCGAACTTGACATCAGAGAAGAAGAACTTTTGGGTAAATCTCTATTTTTGTCCTTAAAGGGATAGTAAAGAGTTTTCTTCAGCCGCGAATTGATGTACAGTGTCCTGTGTCATATATGATCTGGGTTTATCGATACAGCAGAAGATAGTAGAAGCAAACACACGAGTCACACGTCCAAACACGATTCGCTTCTGTTTTCTGCTGTATTGCGAATCCCGCACGGGACACAGCACATCATCTATTCCAACTTCAATTTTTATAAGAGTATCAGGAACACTTACAGCTTCCAGTTGCACCAATACGATTCCTAGTCCAACATCTGTGGTTTCTAAACTGAATAAAAGTAGCCAAATGCATCTAGAAAAAAATGTTTTTGACAATGTGTGACCTTTGGACCATTTAAATAAAAAGTAAATTTAAAAAATATTTTACAAGAAACACAATGACTGCAGGGTAATTTTTGATCGTTTGATTGTTTGGACAAAACATGCACATTTGAATGATAAAGAATACCAAAAACAAATTTGGAAATTTAGATCGACTCCTTTTGATAACCCAGAGCCACTTTCTTCAGAAGAATTATGATAAGGTCAAAAAGTGTAATTTTACATTAAGAAATGTCATGCTCAAGGGTAAAATTTCTCATTTAGTCGTTTTCTTTACTCAAAAACATTTGATGGTTATAAAAAGACGTAGGTCTACCCTTGTGTGATAAAAAAATGCTATATACATGTTGATTAAAAATAGACATATTCATATACATTATATTGATATATTTACACAAAGTGGGTCAAAGATGTTTATGCACATGCATATACATGTACTGAGAGGGCATGACCCTGTACTAAAAGTCACTCAGAGGGTTTAAGCCTTAGAATTGTAGATTTCAAGGCCCTCACTTCAAGAAAGCTCCATCAATTGTCATCTTTATATCTTCAAGTTTACACAGAACATCACTTCAAAAAAGATGCAGGGCCTCTTTCCTTAATACCTACCCATCTCCCTCAGAAATCCTCTGTCTCTGAACCAAGGTCACACAGTTTTTCAAGACACATTTGAACATGTCAAAATAAATATGGTCTTTTGCATTTTTGAGTTGCTATGTACACAAAGCGTCAAAATGACTTAGACAAAAAATAAATACATGTCATATTTACACGATTTGGTCTCTGTTTAAAATGGTCTAGTATCTTTAAAAATGTGGCACTAAAAAACTTGTTGGCGGCCTCGAGCACAGACTGGAGCTCAAAAGGTCAAAGTGTTGAAACCTTAAGTTATTTGCTTGATGGATGTGGTTTCTTATCTCCGTTAAACTGTGAAAGTCAAGTCACTTTTTCTATTATTCTTATAAACACAGCTGTAAATTTGTTCCAAAAGTCATCTGTCAACTTGACCCAGATGTAATATGTGGCTGAATAAGTCATCATTCCTCATTATTCTAGTCAACTTAGATACACTTAGGTACTGAATAAGTCAGCTTTCCTCAATATTTCTGATAATCCCATTAAGATCCATGTCAATACTTATTCCACCTTTGGCCAAGGACCAACTAATCCTTATAAGTATTCATTTACTTTAGAAACACGCCTTTGGTAAGAACGCATTAAATTTCTGCCTTTGTCTTTATTTGCATTCACATTTCATACTTAACACTTTTCCACATAGGCAATGGCCGAGGCATATCAAAATGTAATAAACCATCCACCATTTAACTATCGGTACACTGACACAGGCACAGGCACAAAAAATCCTTTCCAACTATAACCATCATCTGACTAAACACCTACACCATTTTAATAAAATTCACACACCAGCCAAAGCAGACAACCTCTTTATAAAATGCCATTTGTATAATATTGGAACCCGTCATAAAGTTTAGTAGTCAAAGAGTGAAGGCTCGATTCCACCATATTGTCCACTAATAATTGCAGTTGCTCTTCGGTCAGGTTTAAGTGGAACCGATCCTTCAAAGCTCTGATGGTGCTGGCACCTTTACTAAAACATGGTAGCTGAGAGCCTGCAATAACAAAATTTTTAATGAAAAGAAATTGACATATTACTTTACTATTGCAGAGCTTTTTGCATATTATCAGCAGCTTTTGCGATCGTGACGTCACGCATATTTTCTGAAGATTGGAATGGTGCTAATCGATGCTATCAGTGTCCCCTACAATCTCTTTAATGCTATGACAAATTCGTTGCTATGCCTACCTGTCTGCATAATCTCCACCAATGGCAGAATTTTGTCCATGTGTTTTCTGGAGGCCACCAATCCTTGTAGCATTAAAATCTTGAAATATTCAAACATATCACTGCCTAATCCATCCATAACCTAAAAAAATAAACAATTTCATTTACAAATGAACCAAACAGACTGCGGACTTGATACTGAATCACAAGACTGGAGCTGTATTCTCATTAACTTATTTTGATCACTGCATTGTAGTCTTTAGTCCTACATTAAACGAAATGGAGTAGTCTCCCTTTGACTATTATACCACATTATGGAAAATATCATTGCCTTTTAATAAAGTAGATTATAATCTCTTTTCCAGTGTTAAAACTATATGGTACTTTGGGGAAAGTTGTGTATCTTCATCCATCCTTTGAAGCTGAAGTGAAATGAAAAATTGATGCCTAAAATGGCCGCTATCATGGTTTTTTTGTGGTACATACCTCGGCAAATTCATGGGTAAGTTTAAAAGCTGAGTTTTCAAACCCGAGATTTTTTCCCGGTGAACTAGAGAGTATGAAACCAAAGTCAATGTGTATAATATGACCTTCTGAATCTAACAGGATGTTGCCATTGTGTCTGAAAAAGATATCAAATGCATGAATACTTTTAGGGGTAGGTGGGGAAAGAGCATTCTTCACAATGTCAAGCTATTATGATCTTCGTATTTATACCTTCACTGCGATAGCAACTATCTTGTAACACAGAATACTGCTGATCAGGGGCCTTGACAACTTTGATTGGCTGTATTCGCTGGCGTTAATAAAAGAGTAGGCTAATGTGGCTGTCCTGGCCAAATGCCCCTTAAATACACAGCATGGTATTGTCATTCTTTATCAGCCCAATAAGGTGCAAAAAAGTAGGACGTAAAACCCATTCAGTCTTTTATAATTATCTGCGATGCTTACCTGTCTTTTACTTGCATAAGGTAGCACACCAAACAATATCCAGCACAGCTCTGTACAAAGTTTCTCTGGGCCGTCAAAAATTCCTCACTTGTCGGGGGCCCAAATTCGTGAATAAAATAATCCCTCAGGGTCATTTTGCTATGTTTTTTGATCTGATGTAGAGATATGGCGTTGAGAACTGGCTCGATCATTCCACTGTTGTTGGAAGTCACGATAATTTTGTAGGGAAATATCCATAATGGCACGTGCTCTTGTCTCCAAATAGTCTGAAAGGAAATTTCATTGGCTTTATTCATGTTAATCATTTAAAACAATGGATGCAAATTCAAATTTGATCTTTACACCATCGATTCGTCCAAAACTCCTCACAGCTGGTGTGGTGTGGTGTGGTTTTGCATTTCTCCCAAAAAAGCCCAACCCCTTACCTGCAATTGCTTGAGGACTTGATAAACCAGTAGTTCTTGTCGTAGATCATCTCCACATTTTACTATCACTGACATCAGCTTCCAATTAGGCATGTGACCGTATGGTGATGATTCTCGTATCCGACTCACTTTCTCTTCCCATGGTTCCTTCAGAGCTGCTGCTGATGGATCATCAGGATCACGCTGGAAAAAAACATCAGGTTTAGATATTCATGTCTTTCTGTGACATCACTATGTTGTGATGTCATTATCTAACCTGTGATGTAACTATCTTCTGATGTCACTGTTCTCTGATGTCACTGTCCTCTGATGTCACTGTCCTCTGATGTCATGACTTGATCCAAGTAAATTATGATATCTTGTAAATAAATTGTCTCTTACCTCAAATTTGCCTTTAGGAGCAGTGATATTTTCTGAGAGTCTTCTTCGAATGTCTCCTGCAGCTATGTATACTGGTTCTTTGCTATCGGCACTTGCTGAGCTCTCGGTTGACATCTGGGAAATAGTATCGCTGGGTCGACACTTTAAGGCAAACTAGAAAGAACAAAATGAATCAGAAAATCATTTGATGTATATCAATTCTTATGATAAATTGTAATCTGAATGCACCATCTTTCCATTCGTTCTTGGAATAACCTTCCCCTCCAAATAATATGTTTCAACTTCATATCGATTCTTTTTGAAAAATCTTGCCCTTCAGCATTAGCACTTGCTCTTTTGACAATCATTCCTTTAAATAGTTCTCAACCTTCCACCTACCTGGATAATTTCATCATCTTCTTGAGACCAGCAATCAGCATCATCAAAATCTGTGGAGTTGCCATAGACACTGAATTCACCTCGAGGAGAACTGTTACCTGAAAAATAGGACAAGATAGTCAGTTTTTAACGTTGTGTGACGTCACTTGTGACCCCTGATTCACCAGCCGCTCAGGTATATGTCGCCTTATTGAAGAAAGGGTATCCAGAGGTGACGTACCTTTAGGAGAGTAGTGGTGTCCCGTCAGATCTTCCTCTGAGCGAGTGAATCGTAGCGTGTTCTCTAGTATCTTACTCGGTACTTGACTGGACGCTAGGTTTTCACATTCCAGTACCTCTACATACAGTAAATACGGTGCCTGGAATTCAAAACAAAAAAACATAATGAAAAAATTCTGGACTGAGTTATATAGGGTTTTGTAGCAAAGTCTGTGTTGTTTGAGTGTTGGTTTTTTACATGACATCATTTGCTTGGTTACGTCCGTAATGATGGCTGTCCGTCTAATCTTTCTGTGAATATTTTCACTCATAATTCCAATCAACCCAGCTGTAAATCGGTACAGATAATTGGACAAAGGCCAACACCAAGAGGTTTGGTCAAAGGCTAGTTGGTAGAAAGGATCCTGTGTGAAACGAGGTTGTTATCTTTGTATAACCAATGGTTTGGCCACAGACTAGATGGTAGCTCAAAGGGCCAATATCCGACATTGTCATCCAAGTTACCTTTTCTTTTGAGTTTAATACAACAGCTTGTGTGTGGGGTATCCTGACGACATGATGATGGTCTTTATCAGCGATCGGCAGCCAAACTCTAGCGGGTAGATTCAAATTCAACATGGCTAGTTCAGCTATCAATCTGGATGCTAAAACGAAAGTAGAAAAACAGTAAACAACTAATTCTCTTTGATCATAATAGACTGAACACTCAATACAGACAGATCACTAGGGAGAGAGATCTGACCAAGGCATCTGCTTGACATACATACTCTCCCTGTTGCCAAAATTCACAAATGTTTCAGCATCATTTTCAAAACTGGCACTTACTTCGTAATTCCTTTGTAGGCAATAACTGTAGTTTTATACCGATATTCATCAGAGATTTCACAAATTCTAACTCTGGCATTAGTCTTGGGGCCTGTTAATAAACAGAAAGAATGAAATGAATATATTGGTCTTGTGGTACAGCTAGAGGTACTAGGGAGGGGTCAGTCATGGCTCTGCAGTGTCTGTAACGCCTCCTTCTCCAATCCAGCTAAATCAAAACAAAATATATTTTCATCAGAAGACAGTTTGCATTTTGAGCCTCACTTTTGGTGCATGAATAAGGTTTATAGGAACTTACATCACAATTACAGACAGTCTCTCGTCCCGTCAAATTATTAAACAGGGCCTCCGAACTCTTCTGACATGTACAACCATTGTCAAAGGCTCTTCCAGTTGATAAGTCACCAATAACGTTGATTGCATTTAGGTTCATCGAGGATGGTGTACTCTCGCTGTGTTTCAAATACAGACCTGCAATAGGTATATAAATTCATGCATTAACCTTTTCAAGCCTGGCAGCTTTATGCAATTATGGAGTATATTCATGAGCGGTCGTTACCAAGTGACGTCACACAACATTTATTTCATTTCTCAGTGTCCAAAGCAATAAGGAAATGTTTTAATGACAGGCTGGAGAACAGTCAGAGCATTGGAATGTTATCATTCTCAAAACGATCTTAACTCCAGGCTTCTAACACTATTTCTAGGATACCTTGGCGCTAGATCGTTTCAAGAATATGTGGCCAGATTGAAACTTGAAACCAATATTACCTGTTGCTTCAGACCGAGACCTGGTATGAGTTTTCTTGAGACCAGTGGGCGACATCGGAGGGATGTCTGTGGGTGGTTGAATAGATTTGGTATAGGTTGGACTAGGTAGAGTTGAGCTTGCCTTGATATGTTTGTTAGGCCTGGAATGGACAGAAATATTCATATTTTCTTTATCTGTACCATATTAAAAGTTCACAATAGCTGTATTGCCAAACTTTTATTTTGGATTTTGAGTTTCATTGCAGTTCAGATCATTAAAATGTTTCTTACCGTAAATCTTCGTTCAAGATGAGATTTTTTAGTTTGATACCCTGGGAATTTTTCCACGTTGGCTTCAGGACGTCTGCAGAATAGGCGCCTAGCAACCAGGCCGTGTGAATTGAAAACTCGATACTTTGGCGACATCTGGAATACAAAATGAAGATATTAAGTATCGGTCTTGGAATGTTGGCAATCCAAAATCAGCTATCTTTTTTGATAGATTTCAAAACTTTTCATGAGGAAGGACCGTTTACTTAGACACAGCTGTAAATGGGTACAGATCATCTGAGAAAGCTCAATGCCAAGAGGTTTGGTCAAAGACCAGCTAGTAGGCAGGGTCCTTGTAAGATCATTGGTTGTTTCTTTCGTTTATTCCTGCTATTTTCTATTTCCAACATTAACGTGCGCAGCCTGTAGCACATGGGGCCTTGGCTTATTGTCCCATCTTCCCATTCAAACAACATTTTCCAAGTCAGCCTCTCTAACTTGCAATACTGACAGGGAAACAGGGTTGAAAGTCTGAAGACCATCAAGATGAATAAACTGTGTGTACTGACCTATGGACTAAATATGGATGAATGGCCTCTGCTACATCATGCATCTGTATGTACATATTAACAATCTGAGGTAAATACAGGTCAATCTCATCATTGTGAAAACTAAATAACCGATTTCCTGAAACATCAAAAAACAAACCATGTTTAATATCACTTCCTTCAATGAACTGTAGCTTGTCATGTGATACAATGACGTCGTCAAAACACAACAATGATGCAATGTAAGATTTGTGACTTAGTCATTTATTCAGATTGTCATGTGATCAACTGCGTTAACACATCAATAATGTGTGAGACCAACATTTTATTCTTAATTAATAAGTTCAAAACATTTGTGTTTTTCCGCAAACTTATTTGTCACACCAGTTTTCTTGAATACAAATGCCAAGGAATTGTGAGATGACCCTAGGGCACAGGCAAGGTCTATGGCAAAGAGATGACCCCTTTTCATTTCAATTGCTGTCCCTTTTAAAGCATGAGAAGGGTCCCACTTCAGAAAAAACAATAGACGAACATACCTAAATAAGACTGGACCCCAGGCTCCTTAGAGTTGAATAAATACGAGATAGCTATGGACATATCAAACAACTTGGATTCAAACAGCCGCAGGAGCCACGATTGACGAGGAGGCGGGGCTTTAACACGTTTGATTAGTCTGTCTTTCACTGCTTGTTTCGACTCATTGGACGAAGTATGAACAGTTTTATGGACATGAGGCAGATTCAAATGTAAAGTCTTTGGGTCTATTTTTAACGATTCTATTTTCAAAACATCACTAGAACTCCCCGTTTGATTGTTCTCCGTTTCCATAGTATCCATCACCATAGCAACATCTATTCCTTGTTCAGTTTCGTCCTCGACATTGTCAACATTTTCATCATCACTATTTTTCTTTTCCGAGTCTAAACTCGACTCGGGCTCATCCACTTCTAAAATTTGCGATGCGTTGGTATGTTCCACGCACGAGAATGACAAGCTTCTGTCAAATAAAGAAGCATTGTGTCCATGATGACAATTTTTGGCTAAATCATTTTTCTCGGTTACTGAATGCAACATGAGTTGATCGCTAGGCGCAAAGCCGTTTGGCAGAAAATGTGATACTTGTTCCATGCGCTCTTCAAGGTGATTTCTGTCTTCTGCCATCTTTTTATAATTTCCGTTAACTTCAGCGTCTGCTGCTAGCTGGTCTTCTGGTTCAATGCCATTAAAATGCACCACCACAGCTGATTGGTTGAATGTCACAACATGTTTCTTAGGATTTGATTGGTCAAAAGTGTTGTGTGCTTCTATATGCAATTTATGTATTTTGACCGCTTCGGGTGCAGCCATACTAAACAGTAATATATTCCATATTTGGTGATCCTTTTACACAAGTTTTGATGTCATCATTACTTCTCGCAGTCATGAACTTACTCCTCTGTCATTCTTCTGAGTATTTTAAACATATCACGGTAAATTTATCACAGAAAATATTTCCAAATTGATTCAAACAATGTCTTCAAAGAGAAAAATCTTTTCCCAAAATGGCCTCCTTGAATGAATAAGCTTTAACAAGTCTCCAAATTATACAATCCTTTATCCTTTCTGTAAAAAGTTTTCAAGTTTTCCAAGATGGCCACTGTCGTCTGCTTGTTACTAATTAGTAAGGAGAGAACAAAAGTTGAACCTTGACCCTGAAAATATAAAAATAATGAGGCAATTAGTGATAAGAATGTCAACATTTTAAAATATTTCCCAGAGACCAACTAGGTCATCATCCTACTTAGTTTCTTTAATCTAAGTACATCTTAAAAAAAGAAGCTTTATCCTTGATGTACACTTGAGAATTGAACATTTTTATCCCACCCAGTTCAAAATTCAAGAATGTTGGCTGGTAGTGGCAATTTTTATCGAATTTCTTACCACTTGACTTCACATTTAAATATTTTTCCATATTTTGTCGCAGTTTATGACGCAATGCAAGCTCATTCTACCAGATGCTAATCTTTATCCTGATTTTGCATTCTTTGGTCAAGATTTTTGGTTAACGGAATTGCTTGTACAAATGTTTAATCTATCCATATACAAATAGAAAGATGTGGTTTCAGAAACCAGCTGTAGCTTTCCTTTCTCTTAAATAACCTTGCAAGATCAAAATTGTCTCAGTGTGTCCTTTATCAAAGTGAAAGATTGTATTACATTGTACAACTTAAAGAGACTGTTTTCTTAATTGGTCATGTGTATCAGGAACACTGACGCATCAATTTACACCATTCCAATTTTAAATCAGACGTCTGTGGTTTTTGCAATTCCAAAACTAGGTGTTTTATGACTTCAGTAATCGCAAAGGTTCTTATATTTCAATAAAATACAGCGTTTGCAAGGTTTTAGTGTAATTGCAGGAACCACAGACGTCTGATTGAACATTGGAATGGTGCAAATCCAAGTAATCAGTGTACAGGATACACATAAAAATGTTGAAAACCTCTATAATATCCCTTTAAAGGTACATGGCAAGTTAATGTTCACTTCAAGGGGATGTTGATTTTGTAGACTAGGTAGTTGTCTGTAATCGCAGTAGTCCCTTTAACCTTTTGTTTATCAGCTGTAAGCTTATAACTCACTCACTGGGACATGGAATATTTGTCATATTTATATTTCTTACTCTGATTCATTAACAGTCTGATAAAAGGTCAAAGTTCTGAATTAATTTGTATGTGGTAAATATACATATCTCTGAAGAAGTATAGATATATAGAGAGAAGATATGGGAGTTGAGGGGAGGGGGCTGGTGGGAGTGAAGAAATTATTCATTGGTAAATATACATATCTCTGAAGAAGTATAGATATATAGAGAGAAGATATGGGATTTGAGGGGAGGGGGCTGGTGGGAGTGAAGAAATTATTCATTGGTAAATATACATATCTCTGAAGAAGTATAGATATATAGAGAGAAGATATGGGATTTGAGGGGAAGGGGGCTGGTGGGAGTGAAGAAATTATTCATTGGTAAATACAGATATCTTTACATGGTATAGGTAACTAAAGAGAGAAGATATGGGAGTTGAGGGGAGGGGGTGGGGGTGCTAGTGAGAGAAATTGTACTCTGATAGTTCTAAGGCATAATCACATATATAGCAATTAAAAATAGGAAGAGGAATGGGGTGGCTGTTGTCAAAGAAAATATTTGTGTCCAAAAAAACTCATTTTACATCTAAGCTTATCTCTTTAAATATTATTTCGGACTATGGCAATCAAAGAGATTTCTAACAGATTAAAGTAGGATTAGTACTGGATCATTAAGCGCAAACCAAGGGGTAAATAATATCAACCGGTCAATTAAAACTGGATGATCCTGTCTTAGATATTTAGCTGGATAATCCTGTATTGTAGACTTGTTAATACACCCACACAGTAATATATATACAAAATGAAATGACCCTTATCTGATTCTACACACCCTGAATTTAATACTGGTAAAAATCACCCACATACCAAAATTAAGACTGTGTTCTTTACTATAGACAGTTCAGTTTAACCTCAAAATCAACCATTAACCTTATACAAAGCCCCACTTTCCATTTTTATACCCAAAGGATCTGAACAACAACATTATGATTAGAGTCACTGAGTTAAACAAGTCATGAATTAATCCGCTATAATTAAAACAAGATCACACGGAATATAGTGTAAACTTCTCCATTTTCTGGAATAGTTTTTAGTCAGAATAAATTTGTAACTTTCCGCTAATATAACCATAACTTCCCATAAAATCAACATCAATATATTAGAATAAGTTAACAAACTCTAGATAAGAATGCTGTTGAAATTAACATTAGTTGACAGTTGACAAACATGTTGCGTCTTGACGTCAGTATTTCATCCGTCATGACTATTTTTTCTACATCTTGCCAAAATAAGTGTGTGTCAACATTGCTCATCCACGTGACATTAGATTTTATCATGTATATGTTAGGCAAATTGAAGCTAATAGTTGAGGCAAATCAAAAGAGGTGTTCTTGCTCTTTGTAATTCAGAATATTCATTCCGGGGTCCAATAGTTTTCAAGTGATTGGAAATGACATTAGAAAACTATATATTAAACTATGCGTGTCTCTGATATACAGGAATAGACCAGAATATCTCTTTTAAATCCCTTTAATCATTGTAACAGACCTATATAAATCTCAATACATAAGTATAAATAATATAAAATGGTGTTTTAAGTTCTTCTTTCTTACATCTTTCCGTTTAACTGCATAATCAATGAGATAGACATGCTCTTCTATATTAAAAAGCTTAATTAAAATGGTGTTTTAAGTCCTACTTTCCTGCACGTTCCCCCAAAGATAGACGTCCGATAGAGGTAGACATGCTTTGTCAATAATCCTTAATTTTTTTGACATTTCAGAACACCTAAGAAAGATATCCAAAAGCAGCGTTGAACACAGCTACTTTCTTACCAATTGGAAGCCATAGATATAAAGGTAAACAAATGTTTCACATCTTCACAATGTTCAAAACATTCCTAGAGCCTCAGACGTCTGATTGAAATTTATAAGGGTGCAAATTAATGCTATCAGTGTCTCTGATACACATAAAATGTCTAGAAAACGATATAATCCCTTTTGGAGAACTAAAATAAGCAGAAAAACTTACTGTCATAAATTGAGATAATCATATAATGAATCAGAAAGATGATGCGTGTCGTTGTCCTTTTTATCATAAAGAGAAAATCCAAGCTTTAATTTTTATCTCTTGGAGGTCAAGGCCAGTTTTGTTTATATACTAATTAGTCTCCTTCACCATCTCATTAAAAATTTTCCTCTTCAAGTTCAAGCACCCGTCTTTATTAGCCCAATCAGGTGCAGAAAAGTAGGAGGTGAAACATAAGATCACCAACAGTTAGGAACGGACTTTGTTTGCAAACTTTATGTCCTGTTTAGTTCGGAAAAGATAATTACGCATAACCTCGGTATCATTCAAATCCTGAACAATTCACTTTATTTTAAAGAATTAATAAAATGATACAGACTAGATACGTATCAGGCTTATTACTGGTTTTTACTTGCTTATGTGCTGAATTGTGCACGGAGAAGCACAAATATTTTTGCTCAGTCTGTAATCTTAGTAATGTTCATTTCAGAAGCTTATTTGTTGATGGACAAGCTGGTCCTTCATCAGACCATAAGCTTACCACTTTTGAGCAACTGTTAAGCTTGTCGTCTGATGTTATGATGGTCAATTTTGTTCAAGAAAGTAGAGACTATTTTAAGTGCGTGTAAAACAAAGGAAAGTGATGTAAAATTATCTAATCAACTTAAAATAATCAGATTAAAATTACGTTTAAAATAGACCCACGATGCGGACTTTAATCACCTAATTTGCATATCAAAATAAACATTAACTGATAGCTGATAACCTTCCTTCACCTTAAAATATTTCCCTCCTTGGACAGCTCAGTCCGGAGAAACTGCTCTGTGATTCACAAAGCTATAAGGGTAAGGCAAGGCTGGGTGTAGAAATTATTCTCAGAGATCCGTAAGGTATTAAGGGGTAAACAAAGAAAGAAAGAAATGATCAATGCTTACGAGGATAACAACTTAGATTCATGAGGATCTTTTCTACCAGCTGGTCCTTAGCCAAACCTCTTGATAATGATTTACAAGGATAACAACTTAGGTTCATGAGGATCTTGTCTACCAGCTGGACCTTGGCCAAACCTCTTGATAATGATTTACAAGGATAACAACTTAGGTTCACGAGGATCTTGTCTACCAGCTGGTCCTTGGTCAAACCCCTTGGTAATGAATTTACGAGGATAACTTAGGTTCTCAGTCCAGAATAACTGCTCAGTGATCCATAATGCTCTAACAGTATATAATGAAAGAGAGAAACCAATTTCTTACAAGGATAACATTAAGGTTCACAAGGCTTTTTAATACCGGTTGGCCCTTGCGGGCTGTCCAACAGTCATTGAAATAATTAAGAAATTCTAGGTCTAATTTTGGAATTATAAGGCTGCTGGACAGCCTGTCCTTGGTTTAACTTCTTGGCATTGATCCTTCCCTGATTATCCATACTCAAACTCCTGGAGAAGGCAAGGTTTGCAAGTCCTACTCTCTGGTAAACTATTATGTATTAGAATAAGCTATAAAAATAATCCTACCATGTAACAGAATCTAAATTCTTGTCACAAAGCTTTTACTATTCGTACTATTGATTAAAAAATAAAATAGTAAAAATATACTGATTTAACCCAAATTTTATACCAAAATCAATAAAACCTTTGATATAAATACTAATTTTTCAATACAATCAATAAATAACTATAATAACAATATTAGACTTAACAATACTTCCTATAAAAATATCCTACACTTATAGTATCGATTTGCAATTTCTGTGAGTCTAGCAATTACTTGCCCGCATTTGAAGACATTACTTGCCCTCATTCAACAGATCTATATCATATACATGTGAATGTCCTTTAATCTGTCCCATCATTCATAACATTACTGGCTGACTGATGATCTACATGTACAGATTCAGGATATAATACAGGTCAATCTCAGGTCAAAATTTAACTCTAAAATACTGGCTATCTCTTTGACTTACAAATGGGATAATTTATCTGAAAGATTATCAATAAAGCTCATATGGAATTCCCAAAACTTAATTGCAAACTGGTGCAAAGAGAATGCTCTGATAGACATAAAAAGTTTAGAATACTCCAGGGTTACATTACAATTCAGGATACATATTCTTGAAATGATCCAAGCACTAGGATATCCTAGAATCAGTGTCAGAAAATAAGACCCTTAGACATCTTAGCACTAAGATCGCTACGAGAATACATGGCCAGGTGTTGATATGGTACCTTGGTTAGCTTAGGATTTCATAAACCACCTGGCGGTTATTAGCATCCTTACTGAATAATTCATATTCTCTTATTTATCAGAAAAAGTATGATAAGTCATAATATTATGAATCATTCAGATATCTGTGATTAGGCCTACATGCTAGATTGAAATCTACTAATGTGTTTCTGTTATATTACAGATATGGAAGATAGTTCAACTTTAGATAGAAACAATTGGTATGCAAGGTATCACAAAGATTTGGTTCACAAATGCAACTACAAGAGAACACCAGGTGAGATAGAAAGTGTGAATAAACAAAATTATTGATCTGGTTTGGTATAATTACTACACAGTTCATATACCCAGCAGAGAATGACTCACCACCAGTCTCATAATGTTCATTTGTATTGTCTCTGTCACTGTTTGCGTCTGCTCAACTGTTACACTATCACTAATGGAATACACTTCTGCAATCTTTTACATTTTCTCTAGCACAATTTTTATCTCATGTATCAGACATGGACATAATGCATCAACATGTCACATCAAAGGGTTGATCCAGGAAAAGCAACCGAAACAAGTTTACCCCTCATCTGTCAAAAAAAATTAAAATTCCGGTCAAGTCGACACTAGTTCCGCTTCAAGAAATGGCTTCATCATCTACATTTTTTCTAAAATTTCATCCATCGAACACAATGTTATGTCTACTCACCTAACGGCCGAACCGATCGCCGACCCTTTCTGGTTTTAACATTCCATTTTGTGAAATAATTCAATAAATTCTTCACTCAGTCAACATTGGCGTCCATCTTGAATTTGTTCTGACCTCGTTTGAGAATCGTCCTTGACCTTTCAATGTTTGGACTATGATTATCACGTGCTGGCACGCCCACTATTTCAATGAATGAATGAAATAAACTGATTGTAAGTAATCCCTTAATGAATGAATGAATGAAACCCTAATTAGCATTGAAGAGATTACAGAATTAAAGTAATTAATGAATTAATAAGATTAGCAAATCAAGTTGTCCTTCACTGAAAATCAAAGGTGTGGCACATCTACCTCACTCACTGCCACAGCAGTCCAGAATCATAGTAGAGATTTTAGGACACATTAGGTGAGGGGGGCGAGCAGGGGCCACATTTTCCAGGGGGGGCCACAGGTCATTTTGCGCTAGCAGACATACAATCTAACTCACTACTGACTGAGCTACCCCACTGCCCGTCAGACGACAATCCAACTTACTACTGACTGAAGTATCTTACAGTCCTTGCAGACGACAATCCAAATCACTACTGAACGAGCTACCTCTATCTCACTGCTCAAGCAGATGAAGAATCCAACTCCCTACAGACAGCTATGGTACTAACAGACGACAATGAAATTTACTTTAGACAGACGCACTGGTTTCTGTCTTTTTCACAACGAAATAGTCCCAACCACCCAATCATATTTTCACATCCGGATAAACGGATAAAACAATTGCAATAAATCATGATTTTTTATTATTTTCTATAAAATATATACAAACATTCCACATCATTTCACATAATAATGGACGCCGAGTCCAGCCCCGTCCCCAAGAATGAATTGGTGCTGGGGCTCAGAGTTTATACTAGAAAATTTGAAGATTTAAGTCCCACAGAACTCATTTCTGACAATTTTGAGGTGACAAAAACGTATCAAAATCTATATCTTTTGGATTTTGTACAAAGACAATGTAAATGAGTCAATCTCTGCTGAACTGAAGAAGGTTTTGCTGGGGTTAATTCTCACTTGCTGGTTCCCAGCCCACACAGACCCCACTCTAACGACGGGGCTGACTCAGTCTTAATTCAAATGCTGTGTCTGGTTTTACAACCAATCTGACAATTAATTTATCGTGAGTACAGTACGTATCAATGTAAAATTTGACACTTACGACAATAATTGTTAGACTAAAGAATGGCTTCATGAACTTATAAAGTATATCTCATTTTGCAGGAACCACAGAAATCAGAATGGTGCAATTGGAAGTCATAACTCTCCAGTAAAAATCTCCTGAATTCCTAGACAAAAGCTGGTAAGCATTGAACACTTTGCCACAAATGAAGAGCTCTCCAAAAGGGATGCCGAGTTGACAAACCCCTTTGCACAGGGAAATATCAATTGCAATTAAAGAACAAGACAATCTTACAGCAAACGATTATGATCGATCCAATCTAGCAGACATGAAAGTGCCCAATTTTTAAGGACTCTCCGAAAGGGATGCCGAGTTGACAAATCCAGTCGCAGAGTAAGGGTACTATCATGGCAGCTATACTTGACATAAAGCCAAGAGCAGACAACCCTTCTTGTAAGGCCTGCCGTATTCACAAACAATGTGGTTTAACACTCGCAATTAAGGGCATATAACTCTTGTAGTAGATATTAATTTTCCTCGTTTCGTAATGCCAATCTAAGGACTCTCTGAAAGGGATGCCGAGTTGACAAACCCATCCACAGAATTTCATGTTGGCAAAATTGAATAGTAATGTGCACCTACTAGATTATCAGCCCAGTGCTGCCTAATGCCCCTTTTGATAAAGAGTTTATCAGCTGTTATAGAAAATATTGAAATGACTAAATACAATAAGATAATTTGATGAATATCCCTTTAAAAAAAAATGTAGAAATGCCAAACATCCTACTTGAAACACATATTCTTGAAATGATCTTAAAGCTAGGATATCCTAGAAACAATGTTATTAGTTAAGACCCAAAGATATCCCAGTGGTTAGATAGTTTCCAGAATACGTAGCCTGTTCTCTCAGATAATAGAAATAATAGAGACAAAAAACTTAACAACGATTTAAAACATCACCTTAGCAACACAGTCTTAAATAATTAAATAAAGCAATTATGGATAATCAAAGTCCTGCCAAACTATGGGTTATTTAGTTGATATATTTTTATAAAAGCCTTAAAACAGGGTTAAATTGAACGATCTGTAACCAAGTCCTACAAGATATAAAAGTAGGAGCATTTGTTAATTATTTTGGTATATGTATTTTGAATATTTAAAAGCAGAGTTAAAACTGAACATTACGGTGAAAAGCATAACATAATATTGCCAAATGTAATTCACTGGCACATTTCAATTGGGAGGATCAATTTAACTTAACATTATGAAGAATAAATTAGAAAATCAGGTTATTTCTTGATAGGATATAAGTAAATGAAGATTATAAAATAAGGATTACTCCCTCTAATGATATTTATTAATATAAATTACATGGTAACCATAGGACCAAAATAATAAAATTTTTATTGAAAACAATCCCTTTTACCTTTAAACAAAAAATAATAATACAATATTTCTATTTATTTTTAATTTAAAAGTACAGTCAAGCAAAGTTATTTGTGCTCTTTTGGGTCCTATTCCAACTATATATGAGCAGTCCACTTTATATTTAGGTAGAATAAATAGTAATAGCAACTATACAGACTTAACTTATATTCAGTTATTACTACTTGTACTACCTCAAAATAAAATAGACTGCTCATGTTAAGGTGAGAATAGAAGAGGATCAGACTCAGGAGCATTGTCTGGAGTAGAAGAGAAGCGAACCGTGTCTGCACCGTGTCCAGACCTGTTCACTTCTTCCATTTTCGTTTGTATTGATTATTCAGGACCACTGGACACCATGCCTCATCTATTCACAGATTTATAGAGACTAAAGATGCCTGTGTCTGGTGTGGTGTATGGTACTGGATAATCGATACAGTAGTAAATAGTAGAAGCCAATCTTGTCTGCATAGTGATTGGACCTGTATCGATAATTCAGCACCAGACACCGTGCCTCATCTATTCACAGATTTATAGAGATCTGGTGTGGTGTATGGTACTGGATTATCGATAGAGTAGTAAATGGCAGAAGCCAATCGTGTCTGCACCATGTCCAGACCTGTTCACTTCTTCCATTTTCGTTTGTATCGATAATCCCGCATCCGAACACTGCCCCAGACACCTGTACCTAGTCTTATTCCAGTTTTAACATTTTGAATCAAATGTGGAAGTGCACAATTAGCTTTGATTGACTATTTCAGTTTTAGCTTTTGATTAACAAAATCAAACTAAAGAGACAGGTATAAAATTACAGCGGGTCTTCTGAATAGTTGTTATAACTCTTCACTCGTGAAAAACTCATTGGCGGAAACATTTTTGGAGTCAGGTCAATATCTGACACACTTGATTTGTTGGTTCCACTAAAAAACAAAAGACAAAAACACTTTAGTTATTTATAAGATGCTATCTGTGTCCATGATTAGGGCTGGTTTACGCTGGTATTGCAGTAATTCCAAGTGTAGCCCACCCTCATAATGCAAATTAAAAGAATTCTCCCTTTATCATGCCAGCTTGCTAGAAGCATTTGTCTTAAAAGTTGTATCTGTATGCGTATGATGTTAACGTTGTGTGAGGTCACTTGGTAACAGTTGCTATATCGACCTCTTGGGTATATATTACTTAATTGTGTGGCGGGTAAACCAACCACTGGGGTTGAAAGGGTTAAACCTACCCATTAAAAGTAGATATGTAGTATTTTGTCCACGTTAAAATATTATGAATTCCTTTTCCACCACTACTAATCTCAAATTCCTGAAAGAACAAAAAACACAGATGAAAAATCTGACCCACAAGACTGCATGTGCATTGTGACTTTCTTTTCTTGATAATTTGAGGTTGCAGAGGGCAAAAGAGCTCAGTACTTGTTGAGCTATTGAAGAATAATAATGCTATGAAACATAAACATGAGCGAGGAGGGAACATTTGGGATGTATCCAATCTATTTTTAAACAATACGGACTTGACGGAACTTTACTTAACGCCCTGAAGTGAAGAAATTCTGCTAGGATGATAATGCCTCTGACATAAAATAATAAAACTTACAATATGATAATTGTTATAAATGCAGTCATTCTGATTTTTCTGACGTCGTTTATATTTATAGCCACTATTCTGGTTTTGGTTGCTTCGGCTCTGAACCAGCTCCGCTATTACCTATGTGGAAAATTCAAATTGTTTTTAGCCTAAAATCTTACATAGACGATAGTTAACAATAATGTTCAGGCACTTTTCTGAGAATCATTCACCTTCAATTGCTTAGCCTGCAGAACAATTTTGCCACAGGCAATAATTCCGGGATATAATTGCTTGGATTGCCTAGTAGCGTAAAATCTGAATTTCTGACAATCAGTTATAAAGTGCTGTTAGAATTCAACATTTTAGTTCAATCATTATTTGATATTTATTAGCTTTCAAGCCTACCTTATTTCCTACTTGTTTAAACTGGCCTTTCAGTAGACCCGATTCTTTAATCCATTTATGCCGTAGCTTGGGTACGGCTGCTTGCGGCCTATCGAACGTACAGAACGTTAAAATCGAGCCTGGAATTCGAAAAAAGGTTTATTTGAACATAAAAAAAAATTCATAAGATGAACTTGCAGAAGTTTAGGGTCACAGAAATCAAGGGTTGCTATAGCAAATGTTAAAAACCTTACCGTCTGAGAAGAGTCGAACATATCTAAAATATTCTATGATATGATATGGCCGATAAAAACTATCGAGACTCTGTTCTCCATTTCGTATGTACGATGTCTTGCTGATATAACAACCTGGAAAAATAGAATTTGACTGTAGAGTTTGTGTACATATCCACCAGTCTCTTAGTTACCATCTTCATAATGTCAAGCTATTACACCTTTCTTGTTTCTTGGAAGTTTGTAAATGCAGCAATTTCAGAGCTGTTCTTATAAGTATTCTCATATCTCAAACGCATGTCAGCAACAAAGAGATTAGACATCTTACCATTGAATAGTAAATGTGGTCTTTCAAGGTACATCTTTCTATAGTTTCCATATTTCTTGACTTTCCCTATCTTAGCACCACCCCAAATCCTAAAAAAAAAACAGGAACATAAGCTCAATTTCAAATGGACTGTGGCAGCTAGCTTTAAAAGAAGCTGTAAAAAATTCTTTCTACCAAAGAATTGAAATGAACATTTTGTTTGTTCTGTTCAAATGCCTTATCAGGGTGACTGTTCGACAGGATGAGATGAGCTCTAGTCAATCAATCAATCCCCTTCATACATATTGGAAAGTTGATCTCCAATAGCTGTCCTGATGAGGATTGTATATCTAAAACACACATTGACAGCATGAGATGAGCTCTAGTCAATAACTAATAAGGTATATTCACTTACTTGGAGCAAATTGTTTTCCACAATTCTTCATCCCTGGCACAAAGATAAAATCCCCTGCATACCTGAAATTACAAAAATTCTCACCGATTATGAATCAAGCAATAAGCAGACTGTAAATAGGATTCAGAGGCTTTCTAAATTTCTTATCTGTAGCAGGAACAAATGATGGTTTTAGGCTCTTATTACAGTCAGTCTGGTGACCAATAATAAGTCATCTTTCCTCATTATTTAAGTCCACACAGCTGTAAATGGGTACAGATAAACCAGAAAAGATCAATGCCAAGAGGTTTGTCCAAGGATCAGCTGGTAGAAAGGATCCTTGTGAACTCAAGTTGTCATCCTTGTAAAATCCAGGCCAAGAGGTTTGACCAGGGATCAGCTGGTAGAAAGGATCCTTATAAAACCAAGGCCAAGAGGTTTGTCCAAGGACCAGCTGGTAGAAAGGATCCTTGTGAACTCAAGTTGTCATCCTTGTAAAATCCAGGCCAAGAGGTTTGACCAGGGATCAGCTGGTAGAAAGGATCCTTATAAAACCAAGGCCAAGAGGTTTGTCCAAGAATCAGCTGGTAGAAAGGATCCTCGTGAACTAAGAGTTTTGGTCAAGGATCAGCTGGTAGAATGAATCCTTTTTTACCATAAGTTGTTATCCTTGTAAAAATTGGTTGCTTCTTTCTTTCTTTCTCATTGACTTCTATCAATTTTTTCAATGTCAATAACTTCTTATCTTACCTGGGATAAAATTTCCAGGGATCTGACATCCAGCTCACTCGATACGACCCATCTCAAAATATACATTATCACCTCAATAGGCAGCTCTGATATATGGGTTGACTGAAAAAAGAAAAACAAGATTCACATAACAGAGAGTGGTATTCTATGGCTGGCCAAGCATAGGCTCCACCAGAATCCTTAAATGCCTGGTGATGTTTTCTCCCCTTTGAGTTGAGTTGAAGTTTAAAATTAAATCCCCATTTTGAATACAGCTACAGTTCACCTGATGAGGTTCTTTATCCAAACAGTGTCAGCAGCATGACACAAGCTTTAACTAATGTCTGACACTTCTCCAAAGGGATAATTAGAATTACATTTACTTTAATTACTTACATTTTGTGCCACTTCTTGAGTGCACAGCCGGTTGTCCTCCAGATGCATGTTCTGAAAATTCTCCAGTAAATCTTCTTCCTCAGTCTTCAGGCTTTCCACGGAACACTCACTGTCCTGACGTTCTCTTGGTGTCCTGGTGGTCGTATAGTCGATCTTGAACTCAATGTCTGGCACCAGTTGGATAGCCTTCTTGTAAAAGCCCACAGCTGCAAAATTGAGAAATGATTCAAGTTTTACACCCGACTCTACTGCACCGAATTGCGTTAATAAAGACACAATGCCATGCAGTGTGCAATGAGGGTAATTTTGCCAGGACAGCAGCACTAGCCTACTCTTTTCGATTTCAAACGGTCGAGGTATCTTTAACTCTCTTCAATTTCACTTTACCTTGGTAATTTTCCTTTCAATCCAAAGTGAAATCAAATTTTCCAAATGAAAACCTCAGATTAAAATTTCATGTGATTTGCCGCAGGTAACCATGGGTATTGCAGTTTGTTAATCTTCAAAACAAACCACTCGTTAGTTAATGAAGGAAAATCAAATTAGCGATTCAGGTGATTAATTAGTGCTCTTTCCTTAGGACTGGATTAAGGCACACAATGGGATTATTAGAAGTGTCAATCACTTAACAAAGGGTAGACCATTAGTTGTTACCTACCAATATAGAAGTCTCCATTTTGTTCCGCCTCAGCTCCTCTTAGATACAAACTCTTAGCCTGAAATAATAAGAGAGGACTTTTAAAAGGATCACAAAGGGGTAGCTAGCTCTTTACACAGTGAACAAGGGTATAGAACATCTCTTCTGAGGACAGGTTTCCACAATTTACATTGTCATCATCAGTGGATATAGTATACCACTCTTTGGATTTCTTGGGCACAACGTTGCCATCATCAATTTTATGACAACTTGGGAGGTTAGTAATTCTATTATCTTTTCATCTCCTCATAATCAAAGCTCTGTTGCTTCATCTCACCAGACTTTGAAAGTATTCTGTAACTATTACATATTTCAAGTACTGTATGATACAAGGCACGATGATCTTTAGGGGTCCTTCAGATGCATATTCCTCTTTATTGTATTCTTCTGGTCTGAGATCCACTCCCACCAGAAATTGGCTGGTGTCAGGGTCAAAATTCAAAGATAGGGCAAGGCACAATGATCTTTTGGAATCCCTCAATAACGTATTACCCTAGATCTGATTGACTCACCCGTTCCTCTTTGCTTTGAGGTTGTCTATCCGGACCTCCCCCACTTCCCTTGTTCAGCTCTTGTTTCCATTCCTGTCTGAAGTCTTCTAGCTGCTGTGCTAAGTTTGGAGGATCATCTTGGCCTTCCAATTCTTCAATCTCTTCACCTATCAACACTTCTGGTAAGTAGTTATCCTGTCAAATTCATGCAAAATCTTGAATCATTTTGTGGTAAGAATTATGCTTTTGGGAACTTGTGAGCTTATTCAACTTTGAACCCTTTTCACCAAAAGCGTTAAAGAATAAAACTCGTATTATGCACAGTAAATGCAGAACTGCAGTGCATGGAAATTGCAAGACCTTGTCCAATTGTTTGCAGTCTTCTTTATGCTATTAGTGTTAGTAACAGGTACATAAACCTGTAATGCAATCCACATTTAGTTACATGTAGTATCTGTAAACAGCTAGCATTGGTCTCAAGGCCATGTCAGAGAGAGTCATTGGGTTGGCATTGGACCAAGTCCATAAAAATATCGTCCATATTTTGCTTTTGACAACAGCTTAAATAATCTACAAGCTACCAAAAGCGTGGTTTATTAACAGAAAAAATGGTTTACCATCTTATTTCTCAATACGACGAATTGTTCAAACGACTAGTTCTCTTACAGTATAACAAATAACACAGTTAGAGTAAAGTTGTGCCCTTGTTACTGCAGCCATCTTGTGTTGTTATGAGTTATCTTTTCTTTATGGGTGTAAAATCGGACATGGACAGATATGAAATTTGGGATAACTCATTTAAGTCTGCATTACGATTGTTGTGTCAAGCATCACAAGAAGGAGGGTATTGTTTGATGAGATTTTGGATGACTAGGTTATTCCTCATATGATATGTAAATTTTGAAAATTTTATGGAATCGTATCCAAAAAGGAACTTTGTACGCCACCTGCTTTACTTTTTAAACACGTGACTACCCACGTGATAAATATTGCACCTGCAGTACGCAATCCGGAAAGACGAATTTGTTAAAAATGTACTTATAAATCAAATATAAAGAAAATCTTAACACCCAAACCACTTTCAAAATAGAGACTTTTGTTCTCAAGAACTAGAAAAGAACCATGTTTGTCTACTCTGAAGCCTTATAGAGTCAAAGACATTGCTTTCATGATTTGCTAAGAGACTCAGACCACAATTAACTTTCCCACTAAAGTTGTGAAAGATGGGGAAACGAGACAAAAGAGATAAAGAGGAAAGAAAAGCCAAGAAAGCCAAACGGGAAGAAATAGAATACGAAGAAGAAGACACTCAAGATGTCAATGTGAAAGATGGTGTCCCTGAATCGGCGACACGGCACGCGGAAGAGCTAGAGCAAGCAGCAGAAGATGAATTCGGTGCCAAAGATTTTCGCAAGTCTCTGGAACTGAAGCCAGATCACGCCTCCAGACCTTTATTCATTGGTCCAAACGGTCACATCTTTTTGGAATCGTTTTCACCGGTGTATAAACATGCCCACGATTTCTTGATTGCTATTTCGGAACCTGTGTGCAGACCTGAACACATACATGAATATAAACTGACACCTTATTCGTTGTATGCGGCTGTCTCTGTTGGATTACAGACTACAGACATTATCGAGTATCTGCGTAGACTGTGCAAGACATCCTTACCAGATGGTATCATAGAATTTATCAAACTGTGTACCCTAAGCTATGGGAAAGTTAAATTGGTGTTAAAACACAACAGATATTATGTGGAATCTCAGTATCCAGAAGTTTTGCAGAAGTTACTCAAAGACCCTGTCATTCAAGACTGTCGTAAAAGAGACGAAATGGATGAAGCTGGAGACGATCAATTCATTGCTGGAGAAGTGTCTGGTAAATCAGCTCTACATTTGAATAAGCCAGCTGCTGAAGCAGGGGCGAGTAACTCTGGTGAAGGGACTACAGGAGAAAATGGTGAACCAGTGCCGGATGACATCCATGATTTTTACACGAAAATTGACAACGAGGAAGAAGATGAAGACGAGGCTCAGTTGAAAACTGTGTCGTTCGAGGTGAAACAGGAAAATATCGAAACCATACAGAAGCGCTGCATCGAACTGGAATATCCACTTTTGGCGGAGTACGATTTCCGAAACGACACAATCAACCCTGACATCAATATGGATCTGAAACCCTCAACAGTCTTGCGTCCATATCAAGAGAAAAGTTTACGAAAGATGTTTGGAAATGGCCGTGCAAGATCTGGTGTTATAGTCTTACCTTGTGGAGCTGGTAAAACATTAGTAGGAGTAACAGCAGCATGCACAGTTCGCAAACGATGTCTCGCTTTAGCCACATCAGGTGTTGCTGTTGAACAATGGCGGTCGCAATTCAAAATGTGGTCCACCATCGATGATAACCTGATTTGTCGATTTACTTCAGATGCTAAAGATAAGCCAATGGGATGCTCGGTGTGCATAAGTACATACTCTATGTTGGCTCATTCAACGAAACGATCGTGGGAGGCTGAAAAAATGATGGAATGGCTTCAAAGTCAAGAATGGGGAATCATGTTATTGGACGAGGTACAGACGATTCCTGCCAAGATGTTCCGTCGTGTATTGACAATCGTAAATGCTCATTGTAAGTTGGGTCTCACAGCCACTCTAGTCAGAGAAGATGACAAAATAGCAGATCTGAATTTCTTAATTGGACCGAAACTCTACGAAGCCAACTGGATGGAACTGCAGAATAATGGGTTCATCGCTAAGGTCCAGTGTGCCGAGGTCTGGTGTCCCATGACGCCTGAATTCTATCGAGAATATCTTCAGATGAAATCCATGAAGAAGCTGTTATTGTATGCCATGAACCCCAACAAATTTCAAGCTTGTCAATTTTTGATTCGTTACCACGAACGTCGTAACGATAAGATCATTGTGTTCGCAGATAACGTGTTCGCATTGAAGCATTACGCCATCACTCTTAACAAGCCGTACCTCTATGGTCCGACCAGTCAAGGGGAACGACTCCAAATCTTGCAAAATTTCCAACACAATCCGAAAGTGAACACAATTTTTGTATCAAAAGTAGCTGATACATCTTTTGATTTGCCTGAAGCAAATGTTTTGATCCAGATTTCAGCTCATGGAGGTTCCCGAAGACAAGAAGCTCAGCGATTGGGTAGAATTTTAAGAGCGAAAAAAGGAGCTGTTGCTGAAGAATACAATGCTTTTTTCTATTCTCTGGTTTCTCAGGACACCATGGAGATGCAGTATTCGTTGAAACGACAAAGATTTCTGGTAAATCAAGGCTACAGTTATAAAGTCATAACGAAGCTTGCCGGGATGGACGAAGAGGAAAATATCTGTTACAGGAGCAAAGAAGACCAAGTCGGACTTCTTCAAAAAGTTTTGGCGGCGACAGACACTGATGCCGAAGAGGAGGGAGTTCCTGGCGCCAGCGGATCAGGAATGGTCCGAAGGACAGGAAATATGAGCAGTATGTCTGGAGCTGATGATGCTCTCTATATGGAATACAAAAAGAAATCTGGAAATGCTCATCCTCTCTTCAAACGATTCCGGCGCTAATTGAAAAAAACCTTGAATATTTTTTATGTGAACAATTTGCAAGTAGACATGTACATTATAACAGTTTAAAGTGCTTAAAGCAATATGGCTGAAATGGGGAAAATAAACGCTTAAAGAGTGAAAAACAAACTTACAAAATAAACAAGTGTTAAGATGCTCAAAAGATAAATTTGATATTGAATCTAACTGTATACAATAAACATGATAATGGTTTGTAAAAATCTGTTTTGATCTAGTAAAAAAAAACACAATTCATTTGCCAGTTATTTTAATATTTTGAGGATTGGTTAAGCAGATTCTGAAAGATGCTTTCTAGCTTCTCATCGAAACGCGCCCTATGATCTGTCTGTAGTCTGGTTCTGAACGGACTGTTATGGAGTTGTCTCCCTTTGCTGTGCTGTAGCATTGCTGGACCAGTCCTCGCGGTATTGATCTTTACCTTATTATTCAACTCATTAACAGCTGGGTCTACACAGGTGCTTAATCGTATTGATTTATTCAGAAATTACAACTTATCAATAATGCCTAATCCACATTTTTCTACTATATCTTATGCTTTAGATACTCGGCTGCTTTCGCTGATTTCCGTAAAGTTCAAGATTAATTGGTTAATAGTTTACAAGGCCAAAATGGAACATGTGCTTCCTTAGACCGAAACATCTGAACTATTCCAGCATCTGATAGCTATGGTGGAAATTGTCAGCTGGTGTAAATACGACAACTGTCAAAATAACTATCAGAGGCTGGAATAGAGGCAAGTTTTGTTTCGGGCTGATTCGTTTGAAATCACCCTTCTAGAACCACGCCCTTCTATTCAAAACCCAATCTCTCAGGGATAATCCCTATAAATAAGTCTATATACAAGATAAAAGGACCGAGGTATATTGCATTCGAAAAGTATACACACAATAATGTAAGCAAACATATCCGAATCGTGACTAGACTTGTGGACTCTGAATTTCTGAGGGATAACCGCTGTACTGTACCCAAACAGTGGCTCAACAAGATGAGTGGTTGAGGCCCCTCCCCGGGGTTATTTTTCTCAACATATGCTCTCTTGCAATTTTTCTGGGGTTGGGGACCTCCATAGAGGTGGGGCCCGTGGTCTTGGTTCAACCAGTCCCTACGGCAGTTGGGCCACTGTATCCGAATTGGACGGGGCTAAACATTGGCCGATTGGTTATGACTGTAATCTATAATAATATAAGCTACCAGTTCCTCCATAGCGAGACTTAAATATTAAGATGGCGTTGCCGGTCTTCATTAGCCCACATGGTGCAGAAAAGTAGGACGTAAAACTCCATTTATTTCATATCATTTAAATATTAAGATGTGGCTGAGTAGATTAAAAAATTACAAAAGCCTTTGGGGCGGAGTTTTGTCACGGTGAGATGAATTGCATTGTGTTATGTTTAGGGTGTATGGAGACGAGTCTAAATGAAGGCATGTTAGTGTGATTTACCCAATGACCTCAAGGTACTTCACCTCTGCCATTTTTCTACTGTATCAAGAATCTCACACGTCATTGATATCTGATTCCACTACTTCAGGCTCAGAAGGGGTTTGTCAACTGAAATGACCCTTTCAGAGAAAACCAGTTATTTACCTATTTCAATGTTAGAATAGTGCCCAATACCTTTATTAATCAATTATTTCATTTATTAACAAATCAATGGGAGATGGACAAAATATTAAGGACATGGCCTGAGGGATGGACGGCAGAGTAGACCAACCCTGTCATCGTATACTGTCCTGTACGTATACACTTGCCTGCTCTATTGATAAATTTAACACAGTTAAAACACGTTCAACAACTTATTACTGTGGCTCAATCGTCTGGATTCCACAACCAGGTAGTTCATTTGATTAACAGTTACGATATTTTTACTTCAGGTGCGACATGGTAGACTTCGAGATATAATGATCTAGCCAATTTGAAGCCAATGTGTGTTTCCTTTCAAGAAAGGTAAGTTACGTTATTGACACATATTGTCACGATATGCTATATAACATTGCTATTTATAGGCTATTCATTGCCCTGATGTAGCTTATACGTGTCGTTGACCCACGGTAAGAATGTATTGCTGCCCTCTTGCCCCACAGTCGTTAAGGAAACGTTACACGTAGCGTTCGCTTACATGACGAGAGGAACAGAGGTTGAGTGCCACCTGCGTCAGGTCATCCCCGTGTTTAATATCTTGCGTTAAATTTTGTTTTGTGAATTGTGGATAATTAAATAGGGTGGGTTTGACCGCCTGCGTCAAGTCATCCCGGTGTCTAATATCTTACGTTTATATGTGTTACGTATAGTGCGGATTAAAGTATAATGATAAGGGTTAAGGGTATTATGATAAAGGATAAGGGTATCATCATTTGATCTAGAATACCTAGGGGGTTATTGCATACCACAAGTAACAGCTTCTCTTGATATGAATGGTTGAATGACGACGCATACCTGTATATACTAGTGGTATCTTCAACTAGTTCGACCACAGGCTACCTCACAGTAATATTATTTAATATCTAGTTTGCTATAAACAGCTGGCTTTAATCATAGTGTTTAGATTGATTTACTCCTTTTACTTGATTCAATATAGGATTCTTAAACGCTAGCAAACATACTGAGGGTAACGTGCCAGTATGTCGTAGCACTATCTTCGTAGCCGTATCGGTATAGGTTGATCAAAGAGTCAAAAACGCAAGCTAAGTTACCGTGAAAGCACATGAGATTATTCTTACTGATTAAGCGTCAATGTTCACATCTGACCGTTGCTTTCACGGTCTCATAATATTTATATTTTGTCTATTTTCAGATTCTAAAGCTTTACATATAACATCCAACAAGTTCAAAATGATTAACACCAACTGATGCTGTAAAAGGAATGAAAACGAAACTCATTTCCAAAATGAACCCAACATCAGGAACGGAGGAAAAGCACGTGATAGAAGCAGCTTTGTTCGATGCACATAAGTTACCCCATGACGAGAACACTGTGGCACAAGTTGCCTTGTTCACAGTTTGGATCGGAGCTGCATTGTTCTTCATAATCAGATTTAGAAAGAGGAGCGGACAAGGACAGGACATCGAACACACCAAAGAACTTGTGGATGCTGAAAAGGGTACCGGAGATGCAGACCCAAAGCTAAATGGACCTGTTGAAGCAGCTGATGACACATCTAAATCCTCCACGGCTGTAGCTCCATCAACAGCATCTAAAGCACCTCCCATACCATCCTTTGACAATTTCCTGCAGTATGTCTTCCTGTTTGGACTCATCATGTTCTTTTTCTACTTGTGCGACTATAAGAAGGTAAGATAACTATGGAATCTTGCCAAGGTTTAATGCTGCAGATGGGTCTGTCTTCCGGATTGGACAATCCTGGATCGGCCTGGCACTTCTTTTTCGCATGAGGCAATAGCCAGACGCGCCAGGTGGTACAGGTGGAAACAGGGAGCTAAACGCCTTCTTAAGCCATATTATGGCTCGTAGAAAAGAAGTTATTATAGTCCACTCCATTTGATTGTGCGACATGAGTTACGAATATAGAAACCTCATTGGAAGAACCGAAGCATGTGAGCTAAGCAAGCGTGGGTGCCTGGGCAAAAAAGGCAACACAAGCATGAGATTCGGAGCTTTTAACTTGGTACCCTTCAAATGCTTGCTTCCTCGCCAATAAGATGTCTTTCGACGGTTGTAAGATAAAGCGAACTCACTGGTGTTTTGATTGCTTTCAGGTATTTCCCATCCTGCATAAGGAATACAGCCGAGATACATTCCTGTTCTTGATGTTTTTGTTATTCTCCGTGGGGTGTTTCTTCACCCTCAGACCCACTACCGATACCATTCTTGGGAGGTAAGTTAAACCCTATCCTTTAGGGGTTCTCATATCATAGCGATTATGGGCAAGAAGTTCGCCCAACTCAATTGCTCCAACTGACCATCCTGGAAAGCATCTTCACAATGTCAAGCTTTTACGAACTTCGTACTTATACCTTGACTGCAATAGCCACTAATCTTGTATCACGAAATGGAGCTATTTGATTTGATTTTTACGCCAGCGAATACAGCCAAATCTTCACTACCTTTTTTTGCTCAAGCTTTGTTTTAATTCAAAAGATTGAGTACAAGATACAAAATCTTAAATAACTCTCTGCAAATATGCTAAATGTACAAATAGATATTGACTATTTGGTGACAGGTGTCCCCAGCAAACGGCCTCCGTGAAAGTTACGCTAGCGCTCTGCAACATATTCTGATTCAGCCGTAAGGAAACTGCCTAGGATTGTCGAATAGTCCCCCCTGCCAGAACTGTTGAGAATGGACCCAAGCACCTTTCAAAAATACACTACATGGACTAAATCGATACTTTTTTCTTTCAAATCAATAACTAATTGATTAGAAAAACAATAGAAAGTAGGACGATCAATTCGATTACGTCAGAGGGGGAACCGGGGAAATTCGTCCAGCATATTTGGCATTGGTTAAACAACATCGGACCCTTATACCAAAGACCATGGTGGTAGAAAAAAATACACAGTGATATTCAACAGAAAGCACTAGCACAGGCATTCGGCAATCCTCGGCAGTTTCAGTATATGTTGCAGGGTCCTCAAGCATATATATATAGGGCGATTCTTGTATTAGTATAGGGTGAATAAGGGTAATTTCGTCGTTAATATTTTATATTAAATCTTGTAGAGACCAGACTGAAGAATGGAAAGGGTGGATGCAGGTCATGTTCGTATGGTATCACTATTTTGCCGCCGGGGAATGGTACAATTGGATCCGCATCTACATCGCTTGCTATGTGTGGATGACAGGCTTCGGTACGTTTTTCTTTTATTTTTTTCTGTTTGGTTCCGACCTGCTTTGCTTTGATGGTGGGTGTAAACAGTACAACACATTTAGGGGGGAGGGGGTGGTGTTAGGCCCCTCGTATTTTTTTAATCTGGTCTAGAGAAGTTAACCGCCGTCAATTCATTCCGATTTCGTTTCGTTTCTTTCAGGTAATTTCTCATTTTTCTGGGTCAAGAAGGATTTTTCACTATGGCGGATGTTAAAAATGTTATTTCGGTTAAATTTTCTGGTGATATTTGTGTGTTTTGTGACGAAGAATGAATACATTCTTTATTATATCTGTGCAATGCATACCTATTGGTTCTTCTCAGTATACTTATTCATGAGAGTTCTCTCCTCTTGGAATCAAGATAGAATCAAAATGGCGGTCAAATTTGGCGCGTATATCGTTTGCAATGCGTTAATGTTTGAAATTCCTGGAGCTGTATCGACTGTTTTTAGACCTCTATGGTTCATTTTTCAATATCATGACGGAAAGCATGATATCATGCACGAGTGGGAGTTCCGTCTAGGATTAGATCATTGGGCGTGTCTAGTTGGTATGCTCTGTGCCTACAATTACCCTCACTTCGAGGCCTTCATGAAATGGATTGAGGACAATTCGACAACTGCTCAGGAGATGTATAGAAAGATGGCAATACGTTTAGGAATGGTGGCCGCCGCCATCTTGTCCTTGATAGTATGGTACTTCACAATTCTGACCAAAGATAAATATTCTTATAATGCCATTCATCCATACACTTCATTCATTCCTATATTATCGTACATCGTTCTTAGAAACTCTTTTCCTATACTACGTAAATATCACGTGCATTTGTTCGCTTGGCTAGGAAAGATAACTCTCGAGACCTATCTATGTCAGCTACATATTTATTTACAATCCAACGCAAAAGACCTATTACTCTTCATTCCCGAGTCTCGTCTGCTCAATTTCAGTTTGTCCACCATTATTTATTTAATCGCATCTTATTTCTTGTTTCTAATCACCAATAATTTCAGTTCTTTTCTCATACCAAAAGACGTAAAATTAGTCTTACGTTATGCGGCCATTGGAGTCGCCATATTTGGCTCATCAGTTAGTTTCGCAATAATTTTGAAATATTGCAATCTGGTTTAAAATGGCGAAGCATTTGTTCGTTTTAATTGATAAAAAGCTTGAGAATATCACATCATCCCGCCTTATGGCAAATTCGATTCGATTTTGTGTTTATTGTGCAAATGGGGACTGTTTTCACAAATATTCTTAGATCGAAGTGGTAGCCATTTTGAATTTTATAAGTCTTAGATAGGAATGGCGAATAAAAAAACTTTACCATCGATGGTATTTATTTCAAACCTCGGTCTGGATTCGAGAGTGTACGCGTCTGTGATATGTGTAATAGGCTCCTACTGCTGATGTGAGTTAAAACTGACACTTGCTTTAAAGTAAGCATACTTTGGATGGTGAATTCATTGTGAAAACTTCAAGAGTACTCTCCGCTTTGTTGTATTTTGTGGATTTACTGTTAGTATAAATCATATGTTTCACTGAGCGATATTTAACCACTTACTCTCTACGTCCTGTTGTCGGTTGATATAATTTACCAGTTACATGTACATCCGATTCGGATTTTGATGAACACTTGGGACTGATTGATAATCAATATTTTTGGGCAGTAATCGGATACAATGGTGTTCGAGAATTCGAGGATCGATTTTGTACTACCATATATTCTCTTCCGAACGCCCCTCCCCTAACATTGCCCATTCTAAACCCTTATATTTATTGCCTGTTTTCGGGCCTCGTGGGTTACATAGATCTGAAATGGGTGTTACAGCCTGTATACACTCTGTAAACTATATTTTTAGATTCTAATTTATCTGGACATTGTATTTATTTTGTTAGTATGTGTTTGTTATATTTTGTGGGATTTTACTCGAATAAATTATTTTTTGGTATCTTGGTAGGATTCCTTTGTAATATGTAGAAGGTGTTGCGAAATACAAAGTTTTAGGCATATTAACTCTGTGAAGGGATTTGTCAACTCGCCATGCAGTTCAGAGAGTCCACATAGTTAATATTAGGATCTGTTTTTGATGTCCAATGACAGGTTTATATTAAAGAATTAGCTACGTTTATTAGCGATCAGTTTCTCTATCCAATAACATGGTGCTTAGCTGAACACGGTGCTGGTTTGGTGCCCTATAAAAAAGCATGTTATTTAGATTATGCACGTGCATTATTTAAAAAAAAAAGAAATAGGTCAAACATTCCAATACATTTAAGAAAGAGTGCAAATATATTACAATAGATTGTTTTTTAGTGCCCTCTGGATTCGTAGGACTTTAGCAACTTAAATAAGAAGTACCGTCAAACGTGTCGATAGACCAAGAAAATGTTTCAAATTCAGGTCAGCGCACGTGCAGTTATAACATTTTAATACTTACCTTATATGTGGAACAAACTAACCCCAAGAGGTTGCTCAAAGCTCTATTACTTATTTTCTGTGTGTGTTCCTTTAATACAAGTAAATGCAGGCTATTACTTAGGTTAAAGGGAGCAGCTCGCGTAACATCTTGTGGTGTGCTACGACTTTATGCTTCCAAAAAACACTTAGTCGAAGGATTAAAACTGCTGTTTACAGGGAGGGATAAGATACTATAGAATAACGTATGAAGCCTTGATTCCACGACAAATCGTAAGCTGTAATTCCTTACGACTCAATAAGCATTTTTGGACTTTCTGCTCTGATCATTCACATTGGGCAAATAAGTAAATTACAATTGCATTTGGCGACTTGCTTAATGAAATATTGAAGAAGACTTTACCCCATTGAGTACAACCCATGGTACATATTTTTTCTTAGGGATTAGGGAGTTGGTTCTGTTCGCAGCTTGATCTTCAAGGTTCAAGCCCTCTCGTCCTTTAGAGCATGTCAGGATGTCGGCTAATGGTAGGGTAGTGTTTACGGCACACTGAAATAGTCACGTAATATAAGCATTTTTACTTCCGCTATGACTTACCATAAATTAGACGATTACCCACTGAGACACCACCGGCAGCAAGTGTCCGTCGTGGGAAACAATAGGCATTGAAAGGGCACAACCCCATAGATTTGGGTCATTCATTGAATGCACCAGCCCTTTCCCCACACCTACTCAATAGTGTCAATATATTTCCATTACCATACGAGCACTCTTCTCTGGGCCAAATACGATATCTTTCTCCATGCAGGTAATGTAGGGGAAATACTCGTCGAAATTCTTGATATGCTCGATTGCACATGCCTGAAAAAAAATTGATCAGTTCAGGTGTGATTGAATGCTGTTGGTATTTCACATGTCTCTGTTGAAACCATTCTGCAATCCTCGGCGCCGGCAGTTCCCTTAAAGCTGAATCCAGTGGTAACGGAACTTTCGCGGCAGACTGTTAGTGTTGAAACAGCAGAAGTGGGGACGTTAGGTTTTGTTTGCATGTTTGTGGAGCAGGACCCGATGGCACCAAGCATTTACAAACCCATGACATGAAATTTGAAACTGGGGGAGGAAACGCCACTGGATTACGGGCTGTCGACTTACCTCGATCACGTTACCAATGCATTCATTAGGACCATGTTGACAGGAAAATGAGAGGGTACCATTCTTATTCTTTTTCTAAAACATCAAGTGTTCGTATGTAACTAGGTAAATCAAACATAAGTGCTTACGTCAAACACTTTGGTGTATGCTTCAAACGATTGAAGGCATTTAGTCTATGCATTGACAACTCTATATGAGCTTGGAGTAGGCTTAGAGTAGTTTACTTACATAAGCATTTCCAAAAGGGATCAGGGTAATATCCATTATGTCCTTGACTTTTTCATACGTTGGCCATAACTGCTTCGCAATAAACGCACGACAGTAAGGGCACAAAGATTCATAGTATAGGTCGACTTTTACTTTTGGTGCATCGGCAGCGATAGCAAGCTCGATTCCAATTACAAAGCACAGAATTATGGACCACATATTGACTATACTGTCTGTGAAGTATTTGAAAAAAATGGCTGTCTTAGTTTCTTATCTGAGATAAGATAAAAATGTGGTGTAGTCTGGAACTTGCTGATTCATATCTAGCCCTTGATAGCTGGATTGGAATTGGACCAAATAAGACGTACCGTGTAGAAGGAAGAAGGTGGACAAAACGCCATCTTATCAAGTTTTTATTACCAAAAAGTACCATGTATTAAAAAGAAGTAAAACAACTATAGAAATCCTTAAAGGCAATATTTGAAAATGAATTGATAGTATTAAGTATTAAGTCCCTGAGTTACTAAGATAACACATGTAAATTTGACAAAACACACAGATACAATGTTATGATTTAAATGAATCAACTGTTCATATTTTTTTATCGGTAGTTTTCTATTCTACTGCAAACTAATTAAGAGACTACAATTTCTTTTAATTCTGAGCTGTTTTGTGGAACTCTAAAAGGCTGTCGTATTTCTCTACTTTGAGTTTCGTTATCTCATAAGTCCTCATTGTTATCAAGATGATGATACACTAATCCTCTATCTTTTACTTTTCGCAATTTCCTCCAAGTCTCTGTTTATCTTTTATTCTAATCTTTGAATTTGGAGAAACTACCATGTCTTCCAACGCCATCTTTAAAACTTTGAGCTCCTGCAAGATAAAGTTTAAGATCTTTCTGAACGTTGTATGTGTATTAGGGACACTGATATCATTGATTTGCACCAGTCCAATTATGGTCAGATGTCTGTGGTTCCTGCAATTATGCTAGATAATAGCACTTTATGATGTCACTATTGCATAAGCTGCTAATGCCATAATTATTTTCTATAAATAAGTAATGTGTGGCCTCATCAGCCTTCTTTTACCAAAAGATTTGAATGGAGAAAAACAAGGTTAACTTGTAAGAGAATGATTATGGGGTATCCCCTTACCCAGCCTACCTGGAATAGCTTCCTCTTTAACAACTTCCATGCCATTTTCAAACTCAAATTGTAAAGCCTCAGTCATGTTCTTGGCATTGAAAGTTGAATTGTAGGCTGATCTTCTATCTGTATTCATACATCTTTGTGGGAATTTGGAGATTTCATTGGCTAGTTCTATGGCATGGTTTAACCCTGAAATTATAACAATGATTCTCTTGAAACATTGAGTGCCAGAAATTGAATCTATCCAACTATTTCTTAAGTAAACAATCCACAGGTCTTATGTGAATTGCCTAATATTTCTAAATTTGGCAGAAAACACCATGGATGTGGTATATGACCAAAATTTCCATTCAGATCATTCCCATTTCACACACAGAAGTCTCTATACAAACCTTGTCCATGTGGTGCTATTCTATTGGCTAATCCAAATTCCAGAGCTTCTTTTGCACCAATGGGGCGACCTGTTAAAATGAGATCCATTGCTCGAGATAAACCAATCAGCTGGGGTAACCTCACTGTACCACCATCCACCAAAGGTACCCCTGAAAGTCATAAATGATGCATGTATTATTGTCATTATCATAACATTCTCTTATGTAATCCATTTACTGATTGGTCATTTGAATTCAAATATATCATTATCTAAAATCCTATCTTACCAAATCTTCTGCAAAAGACTCCCATAATAGCGTTCTCCTCTACAACTCTTAAATCACACAACAGGGCAAGTTCCAGACCCCCAGCTACAGCATAGCCTGATATAGCTCCAATTACTGGTTTACTCAACATCATTCTTGATGGACCCTGAAATAGAAAGAACCCAAATATTTTCTTGTTGATGCTTCTTTGAATTTGTACAGAACTAGGATTGGCACTTTGTGATTGACATACTAAGTCCCGCCTTTAACATGTGCTTAATATCCTCCATTATGTATTGGGATGGATATAGCCAGTCATGCCCTCAACACATATCCATGATCAATTATTATCTTTTCTTTTAAGTCACTCAATGCAAGATTGTGCTAGTGGGTGTTACTGTATATAATGATTGACATGTGTAGCCCCACCTTTTGCATGTGCTGAGCTTAAGACACTTGACTCAATTGATTTGTAGTGTGAATATTCATCTATTATCTACAAAAATTTACTAACATACCATAGGAGCCACAAGCCCTTCCTTTGGTGAAGGTGTTTTAATATTAGCTTCAGAACCTGCCAGAGATTTTAGATCTAAACCAGCTGAGAAATATCCTCCTAAAAACAAAACATAAGAAATTAAGATAAACAATAGGGTAATCTGAATAAGACTATCTTAATGGAATTCAGATTTATGCTTGAAGTAAGCTTGGGTATCTTTATGATGTATGTAGGCAACAGTATGCCTTCCCTTTATCAGTTTAGTATTTTTGTACCTTTTCCATACAGGACTGCCACTTTGGACTGATCATCCTCCTCAAACTTTTGGAATGCTTGGATTAGTTCCTTGGCAGTAGTTGGATCCACAGCGTTCCTCTTCTCTGGTCTGTTGATACCAATCAATGACACTGGTCCCAGTTGAGCCAATTCAAGGTTCCCTGTAATTCGTAAATGAAAAGAAGTATGAAAACGAAAGGGCTGAAATAATCCCATCCAAGTTTGGGGTCTGGGTCAAAGATCTGTTACCGTTTTAACCGACTTTGTGTTACCGTTTTGACCTGTTACCGTTTTAACTGGATACCGTACGTCAATATCATAAGATCTACAATCTTGATTCCCGTGACAAGCATATAGATGGATTTCTAAAAGTCGTCGGTACCTGTTCCCGGCCCTGATGAATACAGTCTGTTCAAACAGTCTTTATAAACGAGAAGTTTATGAAGATGCTTCAAAACATTGTTTTTAAATGCAGCCATTTTGACCATATCACGTGATACGATCAACGTCACGTGGTATATTCAAAGCGAGAAGAAGCGACACATTACGAGAGTTTATCCACAACGTGACTCAACATGGCGAACACTACGACTGCATTAACTGTCGGTGGCGATAGAACCACAGGCCAATCTGTTAGAACACAAAATGGTGAGTTAAAACTATGTGGAAACGATGCCCGAATAATTGGTTCATCTGATCAAATATTTGACGTTCCCCTAATGTATACCGATTGCGAATGACGCTCTTAGAAACATCAAAATAAACAAAATGTACCCACGTGTTTGAGCATTGGGACAGCCAATCAAGTGGAGAGGCTTTCTGGAATCTTCCAAACGAAAAATCCATGTATAGCATCAGAGTTTCTGAATCCAATCCCTATTAGCTGTTATTTGTATATTATGTACCGAATTGATAGTACCCTATATAGGGGTACACTTGATAAAGTCAAAGATCATATTATATTCGGTTCACCATGTCAAGTCATGTGTCAAATTGAGAATGACATTAGATCGATAAGTAGTGAGCTTGGCTTTGGATTGACATGATCCTTCTTGTATTTCAGTTTTGGCTGCCTGTTCCATAGCTAATATTGTGAAGAGTAGTTTAGGACCAGTTGGTCTTGATAAGATGCTGGTAGATGACATTGGGGTAGGTATAGTACCAGATTCCATATTATGGCATCTTTTAAGAAAGTATCATTCAATAACTGAAGGGATCAGCTTGACCAACCATAAAATGTCATCAATGAATTTGCTGTCCATCTCTCCTGATAGCTGCTGCTCTCCAGGCCATTCCCCTGGTAAAACACAGCACAGAGAGATTCTTATCCTCATCAGGAGGAGAAAGCATCCATTTTCTTTTATTATTCAAAGAATTTGAACAGAATCTATTGTATTACAGGATGTGACAATCACCAATGATGGAGCCACCATCTTGAAGCTGTTGGAAGTGGAACATCCTGCTGCCAAAGTTCTGGTAGAATTGGCTGAATTGCAGGATCAGGAAGTTGGAGATGGAACCACTAGTGTGGTAAGTGTTTGGGATGTTGGATGCTCACCTCATAGCACCTGATGTCATTCTTTGACTTAGTTTGTGAACTTGGCGTCCTTTCTTAGACAGCTCGCCCATCTACTCTACATTCTGGTTTGGCAGTATTTGAGTTTGCGAACTGATAATCCTTTTGAGAGTGAATATAGAAATGTTATTGGTTATTTTCTTTTCTAACTAGGTTATCATAGCATCAGAGCTGTTAAAAAATGCTGATGAGCTTGTTAAAGCTAAGATACATCCTACCTCTATCATAAGTGGCTACAGATTAGCTTGCAAGTAAGTATTGAGCCACATCTACTGATGCAGTATCCGCATAGACTGTGTGTCAAACAGGACCATGTCACCTTGATCTAATGAACCTTATTCTGATTCATGTGTAATAAAGAGTTTTTGTCCCCATGGCAGAATGTTTGGCATGGCCATGTCACCATTGTGTATTGTACCTAATACTGACCCATGTAAAATATAGAGTCTATGTTTGTCCCTATGGGCTGAATGTCAGACAGAACCATGTCACCATGGTGTATTGTACCTAAATCTGACCCATATAAAACAAAGAGTTTATTGTTATGATGTTTCGCTGGCTGTATCCATATAACATGATGTACTGTTTTATTTTTCAGAGAAGCAGTGCGTTACATCCAGGAGCACCTTGTTATTAATGTGGATGATTTAGGTCGAGACTGTATTGTCAACGCTGCCAAGACTTCTATGTCCAGTAAAATTATCGGACCGTATCCTTTTAACATATTGAGCAAATGGTTTGGGCTTTTATTCACGTTTAGTTTAGATTACTGTCTCATTGCCACTGCCCAAAGAGTGTCACTTCCAGTCTTTTTGGTTTTTCAGAAGCTTAGTCATTTGGTCAATTTGGAGTAGGATTTTTTTAAGCCATTTACTAATTTCTTTAACCCTCACAAGTGATTCAGAGTTTTTCTCCAATATGGTGGTTGATGCAGCTACAGCAGTGAAAACCCCTGACGGCAAGGGAGGCTACAGATATCCCATTAAAGCTGTCAATATACTCAAAGCCCATGGGAAGAGCTCAAGGGAAAGCAGGCTGGTTCAGGGTTACGCCTTAAACTGTACTGTTGCTTCTCAAGGTAAGGGAAATAACTAGCCTTCATGTACTGTTTTCTAGTACTCATCTAAATCTTGAAGATGGTCCGAGGATGCTGTCAAGTCCTTCTTTCCTGAATTTGCTGTTTTGATTTGCATGATGCTCACTTAGATTCATGACTTCTCATTGGTTTTCGTGACATTGCTATGGTTTCATGCTTTCCTGCTACAGTTTCATGACCCTGCTTTTCTTTTCAGCTATGCCAAAGAGAATAGCCAACCCTAAAATAGCCTGTTTAGATTTCAATCTACAGAAATCAAAGATGCATTTAGGAGTCCAAGTTCTTATTGAAGATCCTACTAAACTAGATGGTGTTAGACAAAGGTAAGTAAGAAATAAGAAACAGAGACAACTATAGTTTACAAGGAAAACAACTAAGGTTCACAGTTAAGGATCCTTTCTACCAGCTGGTCTTTGGCCAAACCTCTTGGCGTTGATCTTTCCCAGATTATCCGTACCCAGCTTATAAAGATTCAGAATTTTAGGAAGTAAGTTTTGTTTCAAAACTAAAATAAAACTCTACTTTGTTTCTGTTTCCAGGGAAATGGACATCACTAAGGAGAGAATAGAAAAAATCTTAAAGGCAGGAGCCAATGTTATTTTGACCACCGGAGGTATAGATGACTTATGTTTGAAATATTTCGTCGAGGCCGGCGCAATGGCTGTACGAAGATGCAAAAAAGCTGATCTGAAGCGAATTGCAAAGGCCACAGGAGGTATGTATCTTTGTCCCGAATTTTTATTCATATTTTGCTATCATTTGTCTTAGCTCAAGTGGCAGTCCTGATCATTAGGTCTTTATATCTTTGACTGGACCATGACACCCATCTTCCTAACCGCCGTGGCAATACTTACCATTGATTAATATTTCTCTTTCAGCCCAGTTCCTCATGACCCTGTGTAATCTGGAAGGAGAAGAAGTGTTTGATGCTTCTATGTTGGGTCAGGCTGAGGAAGTCCTTCAGGAGAGAATTTGTGATGATGAACTTCTACTCATTAAAGGGTGGGTATTGTCCTTCAGTTGTTCAAACTGCATATGAGTGTGTAAAGACACTGGGCATTATGTGGCAGACGCAGACGCCGACTTGTGGGGTGGCTTCCTTCTTTTGGGTGTTCAGCCATGTATGTCTTTGTTGGCTTTTTTCACAGATTTGCAGTTATAAGGATGTCAAATCTATCCTGAAAATTGAAAATAACTTTGCTCTTTCCAGGCCAAAGACCAGATCAGCAGCTTCCCTGATCCTTCGAGGAGCCAATGATTTTATGCTGGACGAGATGGAACGATCCTTACATGATGCTTTATGTGTCGTCAAGAGAGTTCTGGAATCAAAGTCAGTGGTTGCCGGGGGTGGAGCTGTGGAGGCCGCCCTTTCTATCTACTTGGAGAACTTTGCTACTTCATTGGTAAGATGCAATTATTTTCATTGCCCTATTTTGATGTAATATCGAGATGCAATGGCAGATGTGGTGCTAGGCAGGGTACGCTTACTCTTCTAGACAGCTGATACCACTTTTCATTAAGAAATACTTATTTTGATGCATATACTTCCTCATATGAATAGTTCATTTGCTGTTACCAATGCACTGCCAAAATGTTATTTTAATTTGCAGTAGGATATGATTTATTTCATTATTTATTATTTACAATTTCAGTCATCGAGAGAACAGTTAGCTATAGCAGAGTTTGCACGGTCTCTTTTGGTCATCCCTAAGCAACTGGCCGTCAACGCAGCTCAAGATGCAACAGATCTTGTTGCCAAGTTACGAGCTTTCCATAATAAATCCCAGACTAAAAAAGACGATAATGAATTAAGATGGTATGTAATCTGTTTTGTTATTTTAAGAATTTTAATCCAGCTTCTTCCCTTGTCTTCTGCTTTTAATTTATTTACTAAGTTGTCTCCCTTAGATCATGTACTTAAATTTATACTATCATTGCCAAGTATGTTTTTCATTCCAGGGTTGGATTAGATCTGTTCGAGGGAGTTGTCAGGGACAACAAAAAAGCTGGTGTTTTAGAACCTAGCATTTCAAAAATCAAATCGTTGAAGTTTGCCACGGAGGCCGCCATTACCATCCTGCGTATCGATGACCTTATCAAGCTGGTCAATCCAGAACAAGGTGGAAATTCCTATGCAGAGGCATTACGAAGTGGGCAGTTAGAAGGTTAACCTCTGACCCTATTTCTACATCATTTATTTAACTTATTTATCTTCAATCATTTCTGATTTGCTTGATCCACAAATTTTCAAATTTCATTTTCATCTTGCAGTCAACTTGTCATGATTGTTCTTAAGTTTCAACTGTAAAATGGTTGCTTCACATTCAGCTTTGAGAGTCTACGTGTGACTTAAATGGAGATTTAAGCTGAAAATCATGTTTTTCATTTTCATGTACCCTGAATCGTGTTAAAAATTCGGTGACTTATGTTAAATTTGGTCACATGTCGAAATTTCATTGCCTAGAAGATGGGCAATATCTATAAGTTATATTTGATTCTTTGCCCTTAATTTCATATTACAAAGAATAGAGAATAAGTCTCTCAGCTAATCAGAAATGATCTAAGTTACATCTGGATGTCAGGCCCTTGGTTCAGAGTCTTCTGAGCTAAAAATGGAGCATTCGCTCCTCGAATGTACCCAAGCTCTGTAAGATGTGGAAAGTGGGGCGTAAAAATCCTCACGAGTTCCCCAGGAACGGTCTGATATTTTTATACTTGCATCATAATGTGCTTTTTCATCTTTTTTTTCTTTTTTGTAAATGCTTCTGAACAAAATAATATCATTTTGTTATTAAAGATATTTCCACATGGTTGTTCTGTGTTGTGTATTACTATGAGGGCTAAGACTATGATCAGCTAGTTATTCATATGTTTAAAAGGATTGTAAAGAGGTTTTTTAACTTGTGTTTGGGGAACACACATAGCATAGAGTTGCGCCATTCCAATTTTAGCCAAACGTCTGTGGTTCTTCAAATTCCACTGAATATTTAGCTGGTTGTATATTATTCTATATGGAGTATTTAATAAAGAATTGGATATTAGAAAAAAGTTTTATTTCAAATCAAAAAATATAATCAATTGAAAATAAATATCATAAAAATACCATCTTAGTGACAACATCTAGTTGGTTTCTGATTATCAAAATCATTATGCATAGTAACACAATTGTGTCCAGAAAACTTTCTTAACTTTGTGCTTTATAGGGTCATATAACAATCATAATATGGACATTGTATAGTGAGCGATTTATACAGGTCAAGCGAAAGATGCACGTGCAATTTTGCTCTTAGGACCATATTAGTTCACGGTGAGCGACTTATAGGTCAAGCTAAAGATGCACGTGAAAATTTCCATATAAAACGGTAGTTCACGTATCGATAACCTATATACTTAAGTAGGTCACGTCATGTACGTGCAAATTTCCTCACAAAACCATATAAGGATAAGTATTGATAACCTACCTACTGCAGTAGGTCACGTCATGTACGTGCATTTCTTGGTATAGCAATGATAATGAAACAATGAGCAATTAGTTGCCAAGATCGATATGGAATGAGCACTTGGGTATAATAAATAATTATCAAAATTTAACAATAAAAAATTATCATTTGGCTTTAATGATATATACACATTCTCGAAAATAACGAAACTCACACGACGCAGTCACTGACAGTATCGTTCATGCACGATCAGGACTGACGTGCACTCCGAGGTATTTTATACCAATACTGTTTTAACAACACAACAATATTATGAAATGGAATCACACAAATGCATAGTCAAATTATGCATGAATATTGCTGGTTATAAGAAGTCATACAAAACTCACAAAGCACGCGTATAATACTTGTTGACCTCAAAATAACGTACTTTTGATGCACAGGAATGTCGTTGCGCGTCGATGTCGTCTTTTTTCGTAATGTGCACGCACGTCTTTGTCTATATCTGTGATATCGGCACCTTCTTTTAAAAGTTTTTTGACTGCTAAGGAATTTTGGTATCTTGCTGCATAGTGAACTGGCGAACGCTCAGTTAAGTCTTTCTTTCGCACATCCGCATCATACTGTAGAAGCACCTCTATGATACTGACATCACCTCGGTAAGCTGCCAAATGGAGCGGCGTCAAACCATCCGGTAGACTGTCAGGTTGTCCCATTGCAAGGTTGGGATCAACGCCACAACGTAATGAGATCTTTACTAACTTCCTCGCACCACGTAACACAAATGCATGGAATGGCGTCCAACCATCAACTTGCGTGGACAGAACTCTTTCTAAATATGCTTTGTTTGTTTTTTCCAGTTGTTTCATTTCCTCGATAAGTTGTTCTTCATGTCGCTTAAGCTGCGCCAAAAACAAGATGGCGTCACTTTTTTCAGTGGTATGTTCTGTTATCTTTTTGGCAGTCATGTGTTTTGGTTTGTATTTATTACGATCGGTCACCATCTGAGTTAAATTTCTCTTAAATAATCCTGAAAATAGAAAGAAGATACATTGTTCAGTTAGCAAAAAGGATCCCTAAATCAGAAAGTTTTTGATGTATTGTCTTTTCTCGCACCTTATGCGGAATATTTGTGATAAACATACGTGTATACTGCATTAGCATTTTGGAAATTCAGCATTAGGTTCGTCAATCTTTCACCAAAATGTTGTTTAGGATTTCTGGTTCCTTTTTTTAGTTCGTATCGCTAGTACTTGGTTTATATATTGCTTTGCTGTTTCGTTTCGCAGAGGCACCCAATGCAATAAGTTTCTAAGTCATTTAGTCCCGTTAGACGCATGCAGTACAAAACTGGTTTTGACGATATTTCTATATTTAGAATACGACCTTCAAATAAAACAAATAAATTATACAATAAGATCTAATATTTCTTTATCTTATGATCGACCTAGGGTACGTCTATTATGATCAAATTTATTTAAGGCTTGTCATTGTTATTTGTAAATAGCTACTAAAACAAGGACAATTGCGGATCGATTCCACTTCAACTCAATGAGTCAATATCATCCCCACGTGGTTCTTACTAGGAATCACCTGACATTGTGCACCTTCAAGGGGGGCGGTGTGGATAAACCACTAGGTGAAGGGACCGAGGGGCACTGAATTATCAATGGGGCAAACAGCACCAGGTATCTTAATAACTCAATGATGATACCGGGCCAGCCTTATTTCTGTCATGTCCCCTCCGAGGTAGGGCTGGGGGTTCTGACATGCACCCCGAGGGGCGTGGGGAGGTCAGGTTGTATTCACGGCTGACATTAATTCAACGTTTTATCATTTCAGATATAGTTAAAATTACTTTATAAAAGCCCCACCCAATTGCGAATCTGGCAATGCTTAAGATGTAAACAATTTGTAGATCGTGATATAAAATATAACTTACTTTCAATGTTTGTATTCAAAAATATAAATGAACTACTTAGTCAAAGGGAATGAATATATAGCCAATATTTTAGGTCGCGACGAGGAAAATTACAGTCGAGGTGTTACTATTTATACAGAAACATCCGGCTCTTGCGCAATATATATACACTTTTTCTTTTGAATTCTGAATTCGATTTCAACATTCGATATATATTAAAGTACTATTTTGCACAATATATCGATCCTTTTTAGGAAATATACTTCCTAAAGCTACGAGCCATGAGTTTGAGACCTTTCTTTTTTTCCTTTATGTAGAAGATACAATACAACTGTAGTGTGTGCTATTTAACCGTACAATATTTTGTTATTAAAGATGTAAAAAATGAAACAAACGTTACCTGTAATTTTGCGTTAAGCGTCGCTAATCAACACTTTTGCTTTCATGTTAAAATTTGATATACTATCTAACTGTACAATATGGAGTTAATATAGGTGCAAATGATAAGACGTTAGCCTACCTGTAATTTTGCGTCAAGCGTTGAGGTTAAAGCCCAGGTAATACGTTCACTAACAATTTTGCTTCCAAATGAACAGAGTTATGATTACATGGTAAAATAACGACGACACCGGTATTATATAAGTCTTAAAGCTAATCACTCTTGAGCGAATTAAGCCCATTCATACTTTTCTCTTAATCTGGATTGGTCGTGAATATGTACTTAAAATGGCTCGTAATTTTACATTCTTTTACTTTTCTGCACGTTGCGTGCCCCTCCCCCTCCAATTGTCCGCGTCCCACGCCCCCTCTCCCCTCAAAACTGTAATTCGCCTTATTCATCATGCAGTAGGATCTTGTGAATGTGTTTTCTTAACTATAGGACAAAATCGAAATCTAATTTAGAACAACAATCCTTATTTCAAGAAAGTGGAAATATCGATTTAAAAATCCGGTGTTAAAACGACGAGTTCTAATCAAATTTTCCATTGATAAATTTTCATTTCCGTCTCCTGCTGTAATTAATTCTGATTTGAATTTTCGTCATTGGTTAAGACTAGGATATTAAGGTCGTTTTCATTAGCCCAATTGGTACAGAGATGACGGGTGTGCCTAGTCCGAAACCTCTGCCTCTATTTCAGCCGACTGAAATGCTAGTAGACTGGAATAGAGAGAGATGTTTCGGTCTGGGATGTATCACGAAGTCCTTGATGGTCATTCTCTTTCGTAAGGCTAGTCAACGTGGTGTTAAGAACGTTCCTTGTAATTTCTACTCTATCGATAATCCCGCACGGTACACCTCACCAGACACCGTACCTGTCTATTCGCTCCTTTTGAAGCTTGTTTCGTGGATGTCGCTTTAAGGAGACATTTAATTTACCTTTAAGAAGTATTTATGCATTTGTTTATGAGTTATTTACATAATAGTAATATGAATGTTGACATTATATTTTGAGTGTTTCTATTTGAAGCTGATTTATGACAAGCGTGATATGAAGAAGGTTGTTTTTCCTTATGTCCTATATGGGTCAGATTTTAACAAGCTAAAACTTTGTTCTTGCGTCTTTGTTTGTTTGGATTTAATAAAACAGGTCAATATCGCTGTCGTAACTAAATTTTACTCGATAACGCACTGCATAACGTTGCCAAATTAGGGTAGGAAAGCTTCTTTGCCTCTGTAAAACACCAAGACTAACTGTAGTAAATTAACAGCGCTTAGAAATATACAGTTCTAACTTCATGATTAGCATAGTCAGAAATACTGATAAGCTCGTTGTGGGGAAGGCATTCGGCCACTTTCGGCCCAAGCTGAATCTACAGCAATAGCGGTGGACCATTTGATAGAAATAAAAAGATGCAATGTCATGAAGGTATCGAAATAAAAAGGGACAAGGGCAAATTTTGGACACAGCTTATCATATCTATTTTATTGTCATTGATTAAAAATTGGTTATCTTCTTTATGGTTTTTTTTTTGAGGTTATCTAATCAAGAATCAATGGAAAGTCTTTTTACTATTTTGTTTATTCGTAAACAGATTACTGCCTATATAGGGCAACATGTTACTCTTTTCACTTGATGTAGGCATTAAGCTAACGGCTGAATTATCATCTGCCAAGGCCCAGGGTAAGGCTTGTAGAGTTAGCAACCCCATGTCTCAATGTTATAGCCTTCCAGAGTTGGCAACCACAAGTTTCGAGAGTTAAAGAAGCCTCTATTGTACTGATCAGATCTACCAAAGAACAACCCGGTTGTCAAGCCGCCTCAGTGTTCAGAGCTGCGCGGGTAGTTTTCAGAGTAAACCTTAAAGAGTTGGCATTTGAGAGATAGCAAGCTTCTGTTTTAGTGCTGAGATCTACCACTGAATACACCGGCCTTGAGTTGCCAAGCCGCAAAGCTCGGCGCTGCCAAGCCTCACCTGTAAAAGGTATCAATTTTCAGAGGTAGATCTTTAAGATCTGGCAGTGCTCTGAAAGCTTAATAATAAATAAGATTCTTACTTGAGTAGCGCTGTTATAGTGATGTCTTGCAAAGCCTCGTACTTTCTACTTATCCTTATCCTAATTCAAGATATAGCTGACTTGACTCGTCTCTAGTTGCATACTGTACTGTCACATGACAACGGAGTCGTTGTATATCAAATTTACATAAGTAGTGACAAAATAGGCATAGAAATATATTTATGTATAGCAATTTTACACTCAAATGCGTAGGATTTATGTTACTCTTTAGGTACTTAAAAAGCCTTGGCAATGAATACTGTGCGTATAATAGAGCTCCCCACAAAGAAAATGAAAACTTTACTTACTATATAAATCAGTATATAACTTTAGTTCCGGGTCAGTCCGCTTTCTTAGAAAAAGTCTTGAAATTGGCTAACTTTCATGGAATCGATCAGGTGTGTGCCTGGAAGCGAAGTGTCCAACTATAGATCGGTTATTGATATTCGACCAATATGTAAACAAACAACGTCCTATAAAACTTCAAACAAGCCGACTTTTATTACTCTTATCAGCCCATTTTTTTACAATTTGTTACTATTTCAAGAAGTTGTAAGTCATGGGCCGAATTTGATTTGTGTAGTGGTAAAATTCAGGTCGGTTAATTCAACGGGACTTTTAACGGTTGAGTACTAAGCAAATACGACCTACAATATAGTGAAGGAGACTCAGATCGCGTGAACCTCAGGTGATATGACGTTTTGAATGAATCGCTCCATATAACAGTGTCTCGATTGTCATACGTTGCCAATCTTAAATAAGTAAAGAAGCAGATGTTAGGACTGGATATCCGAAGCTTACAATAAACGTCTTTCAGGTAGCGCGATTCGACAGGTGTAAATGTGTCAAAAATAAGGGCGTGTCATGTAGACCACAGTTAGAGTATATATATATATATCACAATTGGGTATAAGTTTTGAAAAAAAGTTCCAGTTGCTCTTGTGGCTAACTTTAACTTTGGATAATTTGAAACCGTAATGCTACAGGCTGGGATCCCTTAGTTTTACCCCAAAATAACGGTAAAGTCCCCTTAGTTTTACAGACTAAGGCCTTGAGTAGCTCAGGCAACCAGGGACTTTGGTCTGAAGTGCTACAGACTTAGGTTCAGAGAGCTACAGACTGACGCTCTGATAACTATAGACTGAGGCTCCGAGTGCTACAGACTGAGGTTCAGTGCTACAAACTGAGGCACCGAGTGCTACAGACTGAGACACTTGACTGCTACAGACTGAGGCCCCTAATGCTAAATACCGTGCATATAGCTAAGTTACAGTATAAGCTTATACTTATAAGTATCACTGAATTGAGCCGGGGAGGACTTCTATAACTAGAAGAGTTGTTTCCCTTGGCTGTTTGGCTCTAATACATCACATTTATATATTACTATATGGTTTAAAAAATATTTACTTCTGTAAAATTATACATATGTACATTTACAATATGAAACATGACATATGAAAAAAGACACAATTGACCACCTTGGAAAAGACCTTCCAAAAACAAGTACCATTGACTAAGACAGCTGGGGCTGGGGCTCATATTTTGTACTCATAAGATTTAAATAATTAATGGCCCATAGAACTCATATCTGACAATTTTGAGGTGCCAAAAACGTATCAAAATCTGTATCTTTGTACAAAGACACTGTAAGTTAATCAATCTCTGCTGAACTGAAGAAGGTTTTGATGGGGCTTGATTCTCACTAGCTGGGGCCCAGCCCCCACAGATTCCACTCAAGCTGGACTAAGAGCTCATCTGATTCTGTCTATGTGTGTTTCAGATATATGTATACTATTGTCAACTGTTATATAATTAACAGATGATTGTTGATTTTGATAAGGTAACACACTCCTGTTCAACTTGAGGCAAATTAGCTCATTGTGGCACGAAAGTAGCTTGAATTAGAAATTAACTTTCTCAAACGGCCTGAAATTTTTGGACTTGTTTTGCCTGATTAAAACTAAGGCAATTACCATTCCTCATCATAACTTTGAAGTTTTGAACTGTCCGTGTCTTCCCTTTCCATCTGTAAATTCGACTGCCCCTGAAAAATAGAGTCAATAGATAGCACATTGTATACATTGTATAATAAAGTTAGTAGGAGAGCTCCTCCAATTACTGCAGTAGGAGTTTTCAGCTAGGAAAGGCATGCAAAGTGGCCATCACACCAAAGTGATCAACCATTTGCGAATAATAATAGCGGTCACAAATCCGATGTAACTGAGCTATGAGTTGCATTCAGAACTCATAACCATTTTCATTTTTCACTGGTGATCGTTATGGTATGAGGGCACCTTTATTTCCATGTTAATTCAAGCACAGGTGTTTTGAAGCTATATATAACTCTATGGTTATACCCAATATAATTATGCGATTAGATTGCACCATACCTTTGATAGATTCCTGATTCACCACTTTTATACCATTGGAGTACTCATAGTTTAAGGCGTCATCTAAAGATTTACTGTCGAATGTGGAATAATAGGCTGATTTGCGGTCAGTACATAAACATGTCTGAGGGAAATCCGAGATCCTCTTAGCCATCAAACAGGCGACGCCTAATGCTGAAATTATCAGAAAAAGAAAGGCAAACTTCAACCTCGTCGTCAAAAGGATTCATTGGATAGACTACTAGTATACTAGAGGATTTTGGGATAGCTCAGTCAAAAGTTAGTTAGATTGTGGTCTGCTTGCTCAGTCTGTAGAGAGTTTGATTTTTGTCTGCTAGGCTATTAGGTGCTGTAGGTTCAAATGCTGAATCAAAGCAAGCAGTCCCTTAAAGTAAATTAATTCTAACCTGTTCCAGTAGACACACAGTCATTGGCTAAACCAAATGAAAGAGCTTCCTTTCCACCAATGGGACGGCCTGTTAGAATCAGGTCTAGGGCTCGGGATAAACCAATCAGCTGGGGTAACCTTACTGTACCACCATCTATCAGGGGCACACCTGAAAAGTTTAGTTTTAATTTTGCAATTTTGTTGGAAGGGATATCCAGTTGACAACAATAAGCAATAAACATTAATAGTTTTGTGAACTCTCTGAAAGGGATTCTGAGTTGACCCATCCAATTGCTAAACATTTTTTGCCATGTGGACTCTCTGAAAGTTTTTTAAACTTCTTCATTTCGTCTAGATGTTGCATTTTAACTGGACAATGACTATGTAAAACTTACCAAATCTTCTGCAAAAGACTCCCATAATAGTGGTCTCCTCTACAACTCTTAAATCACACAACAGGGCGAGTTCCAGACCCCCAGCTACAGCATAGCCTGATATAGCTCCAATTACTGGTTTACTCAACATCATTCTTGATGGACCCTGAAATAAAGACCCTAAATTTTATGGTACCGTATCTAGTCTTGGTATATTATGAAAGAGCCTGAAACATCTGCCTTTTTTCAACAGTTTTTCAAAAGAGGGTGCCAGACTATCAATTAAAAATTAGCTTGTGCACTCTTTGAAAGTGAAAACCCTTTCTCTTACAAGTGGTCGTCTTCAACTGGTTCTTCACTTACCATTGGCCCTTCTTTGCTGTCTTCAAATCCAGGAAATTGCAGATTTTCTTCAAATTGTGATAAAGCTTTAAGGTCAAATCCTGCACAGAAATTTCCCCCTAAAAAATAGAACAAGATGTAAAGCCAGGTTTCTTTCAATAGTCCAATAAGGTACTGAACAGTAGGATGTAAATATCATTTCATTTGGACAGATTATAGAGATGCAGTATACATAAGACACAAAGCTCCAATTGATTTAAGTTGCTGTTAGTAACCTTTTCCATGTAGAACTGCTACATAGCAGTCATCATCTGCCTCGAACTGTTGAAATGCTTTAAAGAGTTGGTGAGCTGTTTCAGGATTGACAGCATTCCGATGTTCAGGCCTGTTTATTCCAATCAGGAACGTCTTGTCTATTTTACTGGTCTCTACCAAGTCTGAAAAGTATGATGAGTAATTTAATGACTGGCATTCCATTTGACCAAGTAAATGTTGTAGGGACACAGGGCATTCTGGCCATAGAGAATAGCCACTGTGGATTTTGTATAGTGATAAGAAAACATAGCTTGCAAAGCTCTTTAGTTAGCTCTTCTGCCTGTATTACTAAGCAAAGAAAATTTCTTGTCCTATTGCGAGAACCATTGCCACGGCCAGTATGGTATCATTGTTTTCAGTATTTGTATTGTGTATTGCAACTTGGAGGGTGTGTTTTTAAACTTGAAAAGGGCTACAATGAAAGGACATTGGTCTGAAATGAATAACAACATGTCTATGTGTACCATTGGAGGAGGAATTCATTCTCAATACAAGACTTTCTCTCAATTTTGGCAAATGTTTCAACCAGCTAAGATTTTTACTATTTATTAACTTAGCCATTTTGAGAGTCACGTGATGGCATACAAATCACATGATGTATCTTCAAAGGGAAGTAATTAATGTTCTGTAGACAACTGTTAAATGCTTTGAAAATTGATGTGAATATATCTCTGTGCATGGAAGGAATTATAGCTGGGTGAGGCTACAATTGGTGAACTTTTTTTGCATGATACATGATACTTCATATGCAGGGGTTGGGTGTCACAAATATTGGCACCTTGCCCTGATAGGATGAGGGTGGGGCTGGGATATAAATGAATAAATGAATAAAAAAAAAAGCCAGAGTAAATCAAAAATATTCTTTTAATAATTTAAAAATCGCAATAAATATAAATGCAGATTCAATATAAAATTTGTAAACCTCAAACAACCTAAGGTCCATGGTTAAATCTAGGCAAAGGCGGCTGTCTCCCAGCAAAACTTCATGGCAGGTTTTTAACAGTTTGTAAAAAATATCTAGGAATTGATCTCCAGTATCATCAGAGGGACAAATCTTGAATAGCTTTGGTAAATAAGGCCAGTGTCTGTAATTTTTTAATACCAAGCTTCTCTTCTAAGGATCGGTAGAAAAACTCAGGGGCCTGAAAATCAGAATAGGATGTAATTTAGAACCTGACATGCCCATCATATCTTGAGTATCGCGATTCTACTTCCTGTCATCAGCCCACAGGAGAGCTGACAGCAAATGTAACCAGCGGGGACCGTAAAGATTGGAGTCGCATAATGTGCTGCCCTCTCGTTGTCAGCTTACAAGCTTCAGCTTCAAAAAATGAAATAGTTTCCACTCCCAAATATATATTTATTGAGCATGCTACAGCCCAAGGCCCCTCACAGGCATTTTTCTCCCTCTCCCTTGTTGCTCAATAAAATGCATATATCTATGACCTACCCCTAGACCAAATGTGTTTGTTAGCAAGAAATAATAGGCCTACAGTTACATACCTCTAGCCTTAAGTCTCGTAGAAATATCAGCTCCATTCCAGTCAATCCTGCTATAGCTTCAGTACTGGAATCAGAAAAGAGTGGATATGGTAACATTCGAAAGTTTATCCCTATTTTAGAATGACTGTACTGATGAGGACTTCATATCCAAAACTCATTAGCACACATCAGAAGATCTCTTGTCCAATAAAAAATGTTAGTGCACCCTGGATTACATGGACATGCCATGAAGCCCCCTTGGTTGGTAAATTCATGCTCCACATAGGCATGTCCTAGGGAGTAGGGACACTTACAAAGTAATGATTGTAAGGAAACTATAAGGCCGAGGGAAGTCAGACATGACTGGCAAATATATCCACAATATCCCTGGTGATGACTGACCTTTGAACTTTGTGTTTCTTTAACCATAGACTGACTTCATGACCAGACCATTTCAATACTGCTGCATCGTTTTTGGGGTCTTGTGGACTAGAATGCAACATGGCGGCTCTCTGAAAAGACCAAAAAACATTTACGATGTGTTGTCATTGTTAATTGTCTATTTACACCATTCTGATTTTCTAGTCTTTGTATGTGCATCAAGGACTGCTTTGCCTTTCTGAGAAAGCAATTGATTTTTCATGACAAAGGAAAACCTACTTTTCTTTGGATAACTGGTCCTTCAATTTCATCTATTACTGGGGGTGGAGCAATGACATCCTTGTCGCCACCCACACTCTGAGGATTATAAATCTGCATCACAGCCTTGATCAGCCCATCCATCCTTGATTCAAAACTGTACTTTCCACTAAAATCATAGAATAATTTAGCTCCTAAAATAAATCCCAGCCAACCATCAGGACGGTAACCCCTCTCCATTATTAGAGGTATGATTGGTCGACGTAGCTGGAAGGCATATTCGGCTTCTGAAAAGCAGAAATATTATATAAATTAATCCTGGCTCAATTTGTTGGACATAGGTGACAATGTTTTGTCCCATCTATTGCATCCATTAAGCGAAAAAAAACTACCAAGTTATTACAAAGATAATAACTTAAATTCTCTTGGCATTTATCATGTAATGATTCCAAAGCTCTACCAGATGGTGCTACAGCCTGTTACCTTTGAAACTGCATCAGTAACAAGTTGATTGCAAAGGATATCACTGAAACATTGTCCAACACATGTAATTTACTTGCCTGCTCTGCAATTAGGACTGTCCTTATATTTCTGGGACATGCAGATGACCACAACTGTAGCGCCCTCTATCGCGTTAGCCATTGCTTGTAACGTACTGCCCTCCATGTTGTCAATATCCATCCATACCGTCATGTCGTCATTCCTCAGGTCTGCAGTCACCTTCTTCATAACAGCTTGAGTGTCCCATTGGTAGCTGATCATCACATGCCCCGCCTTCTTTGATTGATTGACAGATTGGGATGTAGACTTCTCCTGTATTTTATTGTCGTATATTTCAACTGATATGAAAAAAAAAAAACCATTAAAGGTGCCCTCACACCATAGCGATTACTAGTTACTGATGGTTGCTAACAATGAAATGGATTGTTAAGTCCTTCTATTTTACTTTGTCATTTATTTATTGTATATTGAGACAGCCTCTCTGCAAAAAAATCTAGAAAAAACCATGGAAATGAAAAGATATGGAGTTAGTCCTAATTCGCAGATGCCCTCTCACCTAAATGCTTGAAATTTTCATCAGCTCGTAAGACTTTTTGCAGAGTCCAGAGTATACCATTACATAGTTTTTTAACATTTCCCTCTGTTGTTCTCCGTAATTTATCAATGGTTTCTATCAAGTTGGGTTCAGCCACCATCTTCGGTTGGTTTTCTTCATCAAAAGCCAACACCCACAGGGCCTCAATAGATTCTGAAAGAGAGAAATGAAATGGAGATTTAAATGGATTGTAAAGAGGTTTTCTAAAAAGAAACACTGATGACTTAGATTTGCACAATTTCACTTTTCAGTCAAACGTCTGTGCAATTGGTATATACCAACCTTCTTGTTCCACAGGAATAGCAGAAGTGGTTAAATATAAGAGTAAGGGGAGGCAACCCAATGTGACTAACAGCTTCTTATTGTTGTCATTTCTTGCCAATCTGCCTACAGCTGAAAAAGAAAAAAAAGACATACTGTTACATAGAAATCATTTAAACGAAACTGGTACTGGACTGGTACTAAATGCCGGTTGTCACTATCAAAGTTTTCCATCAAAAGTCAGTACTTCTGAAAACCCAAATCAACCCCCAAAAATGGCCAACCTGTCCCTTTAAAAACATACTAAATTCTCCTCATTTTTACAAGAAATCAATTGGAGCCAAAAAGATGACTTACTTCTGCCCAATTCTGCAGCTGACCATCCAGATTCTCTTCTGGTCTTCTTATGACTGGCACTATCCAACTTCCTTAGCAACAGAGCAATGCTCTTTTCATTGGCTTTAATGAGTTCACATTCATCTTCATTGGCCAGATCAGCTAGTGTTGCCAGAGCAGAGAGTTTGTACATCACAAATCGAGAGTCCAAGTATGGTAAACAGGAATGAATGAAACCATGATTTCTCATCAGAGGAACATTAGTAGACAAGATGGCCAGGTTATGAGCTATTCCTAAAATTATTTTGATGAATGATTCTTCTTCTTTCTGCAATTAAAATGGAGAAACAGATTTCTAAAGACTCAAAGAATGTAATGTATAAATACTAGTTTGTTAGTTATCAACCACAAAGCAATCATTTCAAGGCAGCTGCAAAAGAGCCCCACAAAACTAGCCCAGTTGACTTCAACTCCAAAGGGAGGTAAATGTTTCCTAAGCTAGCAACTTAGGCTTTCAACTATCTATAACTGAAATTAAACTCTGTGAAATGGCAATAAAAAGACAACTGGTAATATATTCAACAGTGAACTTACCGAGTGTTGTAATTATACAACATAACACCTCAATAGTCCAATAAACCCATAACTTTATGTGTTTATCTGAAAGGTAGAATATCTATTAAACTCACCGGTATGGATTTATCCAAATGAACATCAGCCCATTCTAGGAGCTTTTCGGACATGACCATCAACAAAGGCTCATGATTTCCGAGCGCTTCTCGAAATAGGTCAGAGCAATCGGAGAAATTCATCAAAGCTATGATGTTGACACTCACAAATTTATAATTTTTCGTTCCGATCTCATCTTCTTTTGATTTTCTAAACTTCCCCTCTTTCAAAATCCTGACAATTTTATCACAGATTAAAGGCACGTACACTCCGTGATCGACTATAATTCGAGCTAGTTTGTGTCGATATTCTACGCGGAGAGCCAGCGGAGCACTTATCAGTTTTAGATACATTTTTTTAATGGACACCAACGTGCACTGAAGTTTGTCATCATCAGCATCTTCTTTGTATGCTTCAAGACTTTCCAAAAATGTCTTCGCTTTTTCCAAATGATTGATTTCAAGTTCCTTATATTCTTCGAGAGTTTTTGGTACTTTTTTCTTGGTTGTTGTTCCCTCAGGGTTGTCTTCCCCTTCATTCTCACTATCATTATCATCATCAGAATCTTCGTTCAGTTCCTTTTTGATTTCTGATTCATCTTTAGAAGCCATTTTGGATTTTATTTGCACTCTCTTGTCTTTCTGAAGATGGCTGGTTGGGCTCAAATTGTCTTCTTGCACGCCATTAACACAAACAGTTGGATGGTTCACTTGGCTTTGGTGATGACTGCTGTTCAAGTTATCTCCCTTAGTGATCCCACTCGCGTAGTTGTTGTTCAAAGTCCAATTGTCCTGTGGATCTCCCACACCAGGTAACTTCAACTGTGATGGTGATTTGATGCTAATTTCCTCTACTTTAGTGTTAGAAGCACCAGATCCCATTTTATACTGTCAAAACCTTTCACCTGAATCATGGCAGCATTCTTTTCTATCCTGAAATTGATAGTAAAATTTAGGAAATTGTGAGAGGGGTGGGAGTGGGGGAGGGGGAGAAGTAGTTAGATCTTACATGGTATATTTGTGGGTATTATAATACCTTAAAAATCATTGCCAAACTTCATGGAATTGTGGAATGATATTATGAATAAGAATATTGCTTTTACTTTTCATTGGCCCGGATAATTAATTATACTAAAGCTCTGGACAATGGGTGAACTGTGCACACATGGTCAAGTCCTGGGCATTACCTGAACTGAACATTACCAGGAGGTTTGAGCAATAAGCCAGGCTGTGAACTCTGACAATGGGAAAACTGTGTTCAAGTAGTCTGCCCTGTTCGTCCAGTAAGTTTTCATGACTCTAATCCCGACTATCATACTTTTATTTTACAGATTATACAGAGTGGCCAAGGGGAATATTGGTGCATCTGGTCTTCATAATGATCGTGCGTTGTCGACACCAACTGGACTCTACCAATAGTCTACTACAGTGACAGGTAAGCCTACTTACATAACATAGGAAGTCTGGATGAGAAAAGCTGACGCATTTTTCGGCTTAAAACTTCAAATTTCTCAAATCAGAGAATTTCAAATATGCACGAAATTTATTAAAATACATGTCATTATGCATAATGTACATGGATGATAAATTGTTTACAGTTTTAGGCCGGCCATATTGTTTATTATCGATTAATTTTGATTAGCTTAGTTACTGCTGGATTAGAGGCTTGAATAACCAGTCCCTTACAGCAAGCACTGAAAATTAGAAAATTACACAGCTGGACAAGCAAGACTTAAAGATTGCGTGTTCGACTTGATGTCTTTAATGCCTTAGATCTTTAGACTTCAATTGCTTTGAGCATAGAACGCAATGCTTCATTAAATTTTCTAAATCCTTACGACACATTCTATTTCAGATTGGAATTTTAAACTAAGTACCGGAAATGGAAAATATAATGACCAACTCAATTCGACATCTTTATCAGAACGAAGTGACCATCATCAACTTACCTGATACAAAATGGCGTCAAACATGTATTTAATTTGGGGCTCCGGATCAATTCCTTGTTGGAAGGCAATGCTGGTCCTGGAAGAGAAGGGATTTGGTGGCTATCCCAATAAGTTGGTTTCATTCTCCAATAAGGAACATAAAGGAGAGGATGTCATGAAGCTAAACCCTCGTGGACAGGTAAAGTACCGGTATTTTTTAAACAGTGTCCCACTTTCTGACACTTGCATTACACAGCAAAATTTAAATTTTTTTTTTGCTTGGTTGGTTGTCTGATATCTTGAGGTCTTGAAGCTCACGGAATTTTTGTGGGGTCTGATGAATAGCTGGACATGTATGCCACTTGCTCATAATCATTTAACGCTCCTGCATGCCTTGTTGTCTCAAATCTTACAATCTAACACTACCTCCAAGTCCAAGCTTATAGGATCCAATTCAATAATGACTTATATCTAGGTCCAAAGATTAATGCACCCTCCCCTCTTCTGTACCCTCACTGGTCTCACCACTTTCGATGGGATTACCATAAAACCTATGTATCAAGGGTATAAAAATCTGTAATGGACTACCATATTCAATTAATTTCAGGTGCCAACATTTAAAGATGGAGATATAGTAGTGAATGAATCAACAGCCATTTGTCAATACCTTGAGGTAACACTCTTTATATTTTGGATAATAGGGACAGACAATTTTGGGCATTCAGAAGCAGGAGAGATGTCCATGATGTCATAAAGGTGGCTTGTGTATCACATGATGCACAACTTTAACAGTTGTCAGAGTGGTTTGACCTACCAATTGTCCTACTCCTGTCATGCTTGTGATCTATTTTTAGCATATTACGGTGTGTACTGATGGAGATCTATTAGAGCTATTTATGTTACTTTTCAAAATGAAATTACGACTTGTGGCTAGTCTGCAATTATCGTCATATATCTCTTGAAATTTATATGTTTATTTTTAGAGGCGTTATGCTGATAAAGGGACAAAACTCATACCAGATCAACCAGCAGAACATGCATCTGTTTTACAAAGGATGTTTGAGGTAAGGAGACAGGGATTTTTCTACCAGAATTGATGAACTGCATCATTCATTGAGTTTGTTGGCTTGGCTCCATGTCTAAGCTAGAGAAGTCGATCACCTCTCATTTCAAAACTACTTGTCCTGATGAGGAATGTTTATCTGAAGCATGTGTTAGCAGCATGATTTGATGAAATGGAAAAGAGTAGACTTGTGCCACTATCTTTGAACAGGATGTAAAACTGCTTTAATTTGATTTTCAGATCAGCAATATTGAACAGAATATGATGAAAGACTATGCATATTACATGTTCCGCACCAAAAAGGAAGACCAGAAAGAGGTCAGTAAAGCAGGAGTTTAGTTTCAGCCAGTCATGTGTGATGCCATCTTCAGAATATCAAGCTATATGTCTTTTACCTTGACTGCAATAGCCACCTTTCTTGTATCGCAGAAGTTTGTGATCCGTCTTCATTATTCAATTCAACTCAGATGTAACTCGATACAGATAATCGTGGGAAAGACCATTGCCAAGTTGTTTAGCCCAGAACAACCAGGTAGACAGGATCCATGAGAACCTAAGCTCTTATCCTAATATGTGGTTGTGTTTTTTTCTTCAGCTAGTATCGTCTTTTTTCAGGAGGTGATCAAAGAGAAGGTTACCAATGCTCAAAAGGAACTAGCCATTTGGGAAGGTTATTTACAAGCTGTAAGTTTTAAAGTTGATTAACTTTTTAGTTTTAGTGGGGAGGTGTTCGTGTTATTAAATGACACGTATGAAGACAATGGAACAAGAAAATGAGGCTGCGAGTGCTACAGGCAGTATACTGAAAGATCCCCCGACAGTTTGAAATCAATTATTGACAATTTATTTCATTTATACTCAGTATTCAAATTGTTAAACGATATATTTTGTCTTTCCTTACAGTCTAAACCAGGGAACTTCGTGGCAGGTAAAACCTTCTCCATGGCCGATGCTTTCTTCTTCCCATTCATTGCATTTAGTGTGCGTCTGGGACTGAACCTGGACAAATACCCAGCCATAAAAGAGTACTATAACCGGGTGAGCAAACGGGACTCCGTTCAAAAAACATGGCCGCCACACTGGAGCACAGAAGAAGCAAAGATGGACTTTATGAAGGACTTGTAATGTGTGAGCTTTTGCAATTTTGAAAGATGATTCTGACAGCTAGGGTAATGGTCTATCAGCTGGCTAAGCAAATACTTATACAATTATATCTCTATACTCTAAACACTATATATCACTCTTACTCAAGATGTAGTCAGAAATTGTTGTAATGTTTAAGAATTATGTAGCATTTTTCTATTATCTTTTCATATTGACACTTAGTCAAACTGTTGAAATTTTGTGCAATTTGAACGTATCCTTCTGGCAATATGTCGCTCTTATTTAGAGGCTCAGGTTGTTGAATTTATACATGCAACAGATGTTTGTAAACATGCAACAGATGTCTGTAATCATGCAACAGATATCTGTGAACATTCAACAAATGTCTGTAAACATGCTACAGATGTCTGAGACATGCAACAGATGTCTGTGAACATACAACAGATGTCTGCCAACATGCAACAGATGTCTGTAAACATGCAAGAGATATCTGTAAACATGCAACATATGTCTGTGAACATGCAACATATGTCTGTGAACATGCAACAGATATCTGTCAACATGCAATAGATGTCTGTAAACATGCAACAGATGTCTGAGAATATGCAACAGTTAGTTATTTGTTTCATTTTCTATGGGATTTTATTACTGCCTTACACCAATCCCAAATCATTATGTTAATTTGATTATAGTCCCAATTTGGTGGTTGTTTGTTTATATATTATGATCAGGTGTAAGAATTAAACAGTTTTAGATTACATGTACTCAAATTATCTTGTGCTCCATCCCATAGCCTGGCCTTGTGAGGCTCCATCCCATAGCCTGGCCCTGTGAGGCTCCATCCCATAGCCTGGCCTTGTGAGGCTCCATCCCATAGCCTGGCCTTATGGGGCTTCATGTCTTGTGAGACCTAATTCCATATCTGTATTGCGGGGCTCTATTCCACTTCTCCTGTCTTTTGACTCTCCTTATCTCTGTCTTTTGACTCTCCATATCTCTGTCTTTTGACTCTCTATTCCATATCTCTGTCTTTTGACTCTCCATTCCATATATCTTGTGTTTGCTCCGGCCCCCTCCCCCCTGGCCGACCTCAGGTCTTGTCGGAGATTATGCTAGAATCAACAAAGCTCTGTTTCTTTCTAATTCTTTTCGAATGGCTGATAACTGATAAAGGTTTTCAAGGGCGTGCATAGGAGTTGTCATAGCTTCTAGTTTGCAGCATTCCGACGTCTGTGATTCCTGTAATTTCAGATAAATGCCAAAAGCATGACACCAGGAACTACAGTATCGGCACAATGTAAATGGAAGCTATGTCAAGTCCAGAAAATATCTCTTGGATTCCTTTGATTAGGGATCAGGGATGCGAAGAGTGTCAGGAAGTTTCAGACCAAGAGAAACGAGAGGAATTGTTCCACGTGGACATGGCCGTATAAGTTTTAAAAGTATCTGGAAGATGAAGCTAAAAGCATGGAACTTCCGGGTAAAGAAATGCAACTTCCGGTTAAAATCTCTTTGAAATTCTGATAACAATTAAAGTGGTAGATATAGTCTAGTGAACCAAATCCTCTTTGGAACGGCAATTACTTGTATCTGAGTTGGTAAGAGGTTGGGTTGTTCGCCAACTTTTATCTCATATGCTACATTAAAAAAAGTTGCATGATAAACATCGAGGTGTGTTGTTTTAACTCGGAGCAAAATGACGTGTTTATGTTGTAGTGTGATTAGTAGTCAGTTTATTGTATAAGTGGTAGTTATAGCATTTTTCTGTCTCTTTTGATTAAGTAGTTATTAGTATATTTATTTCATTATTTAAGTATCATATCGGTCATGTATTTCATTTGTATGTGTGTGTGTGCACGTGTGTGTTGATAAATTAATATATATTATTACCTTTAAACTTACCTCGCTGGAGAGTTGAACCCGGGTCGCCAAATTCACAGTCATCGCTCGTTTAAATACACGGACGCGCTATCGGCTGAGCCATCGCATTCGGCTGATTTGGTTGGTTATTTTAAGATCTTTGTCGATTATATACTCTGAGAAGTGTAGTAGGATTAGGCTATTGCTGAGTCAAATCGTAAGAAGTTTTACGTCCTATTTTCTGGTTTCTTCATAGGCTTTTCGGAAAATTTAGGAAATTTCATATCGATAAAATTCGAGAAGCAATATCCAGTAACAGTGTTAATTTATTGTCAGTATAGGTTATATCAAATCAAATTTTGGGGGATCAAGCGGTGGGTTTTCAAGTTCTGCTTCTGGGGGTGTTCCCAGTTGATGCCTGATTGAGATTGTCCGTCTGGAATGGTTGAAAAACTCCTAGAAAATTCCAGGAGCTAAATTTATCTGAATTAAATTATGGCTCTGGTTATTTGGTAGAAAAGTGGCTGGATATCAGGGACACAGACCACGTGAAATGGCCACGTGACATGTACCGTTAGATCAGACACTCTTTAGTTCGATTTGTGTGAAAACTACTCACTGTCAGGCTACAGATCTTATTCTGAACAGTGTTTTCACAGTCCGTCATGGCTCAGGCGATAGCGAGTAAGTCTAGGAAAGTAGAAGTCGAGGGTTCGGTTCCTACCATGGGCAGATTGATTTTTATCAAACTATTAGCATTGTTGATTCACCAAATACATCTCTTAAACCTTTCAACGTGAGTATGGTCGTGGTGGTCCAGTGGTAAAGGCGTCAGCCTGAAACTGTAACGTCTTGGGTTCAAATCTCGCCTGAGGCCGATGCTAGTTTTAGTAAAATATATATAGCAACTACGAATGATATCTCTTATTTCTTCTACGTTAGACATGACCACGGTGGTCTAGTGGTAGAGGCGATGGTTTGAGACGTCTGTGTAGCTGACGTGGGTTCGGATCCCGTTCAGAGCAACTGTCATATTTTGACAATTTATAATCTTACAGTTAGCTTTAAATACATGTTTTAAAACAGCATTTGGAACGGGTCTCAATGGCCTAGACGGATGGCTGGATGGACTTGGTCAGAACTCTGCTACGACGGTGAGGGTTCGAGACTCAAGTTGTTCAAGGGATTTTGATAAATCCTGCCTGTCTGCCAAAAATCATTCAATGAGAGACGTCCTCTCAATTGAAAAATCTTGAATGTGCGTTGAGGCGTTGGGCCTGCCGCAGGCAAGACACTATCAATAGAGAGAACGATTGGCAGACAGGAAGAACGAGAGTCAAGGAGGGGAGCCGAGGGGCAAACAGGTGCCCGGGTGCCTCCAAGATTCTAAAGGAGAGAGTGGAAGATACTTACTATTCAACTACTATTAGTATGTGACTTTGAACTTTAAATATTACTTACATACACTGTTTTGAAGGTGGCTTTTTTGGCTGTGATCGTAGAGATGTTCATCCCTCCCTACGTTTCTTCTATCATTTAGACGACCCGGGTTCGATTCCCACTCAAACCCAACTTTCTGTTTTTAAATATATTAGACGTCCAAAGCAGTTTCTAGTGGTTTTGAGTGCCCACTATGGAAAATCTTTCACAACTAGATCTCCCCGTGGGGTTCGAACCCACCTAAGTTTCTAGTAGGATGTTAGTCCTTACTATGGCTGACGATATTTCAACCGTTTTCTCCTGACGCTCTACCACTGAGCCATCCAGTCGAACAAATAATTGGAATTTTTATCCATTATAACTGTAACCTGATGGATTAAAATATGTAAAGAGAAACGTTCATTCTCTTCACGGGATTCGAACCCGAGTCGTCTGGTCATCAGTCTAATGCTCTACCACTGAACCAACCAGTCAGACAATTAGAAGCAGTATTTATCCCTTATATATCTAGGCTTATTTCTTCAACGCTTTAAAATTTTACGACCACTTGATCTTTAAGGCCATGGAGCTGACTTCAACGTACTCTATTTCATCGGATTTATATCTCCTGCTATACAGTTTGAATTATTTCCGCCTTTCCCTGCGCCTGACTGAGAAGATTGAAATTGCACGTGCATTGTCAGTGTAATGTTTCTCCTTTTCTTTAAAGAAAGTTGATGATTTGCAGACTGTAACAAATGGCCCTGAATTGGATTCGAACCCCGGACCACTAAATTTAATAAAAAAGCAAGATGGCCACTGGACCACGTGGTAGTAGTATCACTGTTCTCTTTGTTCAAAATATAATTAAATCCAATATATGTCGGTCGTACGTGCAAGCGACTGAGCCATCTTATACCTTACTATAGTACATTATAAATATGTACACACTTTAACACCCCCATGAAAAATGTAAGATTTGCCATAAATCTGAGCGACAGCGCTAGTGGATGAGCTACAACGGACTGTGAACATTAGAGTAGTTTAACATACATAGCTGCAAGAGAAGCACGTGTACGAAAGAGTCTTTGAACGGTGTCAACAATTAACAATACCAGTGCGCATGCGTAACCACGCCCAGATAACTGTCATGTTGTTTTCAACTGTAAAATGTTAAGATGAAGATTTCTATTTTCTGATCCTTGCACAGCCAATTTTTACTTTCAACATACTCAAGCAACACAAAACATACTTTTGTACCTACTCGGCATATAAAAATGGGCCATAAAAGCAAAGGACTTGAACCCGGGCAGTCTGGGTGACAAGAAAACGTGCATGCGACCGAGCTACTGTTAACTCCGATTTGATTTAAAATACAAGCCAACCATTGTACACAGTTATTTCTCGGTTTGTGTTATACAAATGAATCAACGAAGTAAAGGATTCGAACCCGATTTATAACAAAAGAAGAGCGTTCACACAATGGATAGAGCTACAACATATTTTATAACCTTTTCTAGATAATGAATTACCGGTCCAACCGTTTACATAACTGCAATATAATACACTACTTCCCTTCTCGCTTATAAAAATGGGTCAACGCAATAAAAGATTCGAACCCACACCGCCTGAATGAGAAGAAAACGTGCAACCAACTGAGCTACAGCAGACCTAAGAAGAACAGCATAATTTAGCAAGTCTACAATAGACAGGAACATACCAGACTGTTTAGCAACAAACTTGGAATTATGCACGTGCAAATCAACACACTGTGATAATGGAGACTACAGTAGACTTGGATATCACAACTTGTATTTATGCAAGTGCTTACAGACACATCATGATGTTAGTGACTATATTGACATGGTAAATCTCGTTTATCACAGATAGAACACTGATGATAATCCACCTAACAATATTAATTATCACATGAAAGGACAACTCTTTGTATCACATGATAAGATAACCCCAACCCCTTGGATAATCCCTTGTATCACATGATAGGATAACCCTGTGTATCACATGATAGGAGAACCCTTTGTATCACATGATAGGACAACCCAACCCCTTGTATCATATGACAGGATAACCCAACCCCTTGTATCATATGACAGGATAACCCCTTGTATCATATGGAAGGACAACCCTCTTGTATCACATGGTAAGATAACCCTTTGAATCACATGGTAGGATAACCCATTGTATCACATGTGATACAAGGGGCTATCCCATCATGTGATAAAAAGGGTTTGTATCACATAACCATTTGTATCACATGGCAGGATAAGCTTTGTATCACATGATGTGATTACCCTTTGTATCTCATGAAAACCACTTGTATCTCAAACTACGATAAACCTGCCTATGATATAATGGTTATTACACCATGTAATACAAAGGGTTATCCTATCACGTGATAAGGCTTATCACATCGTGTGATACATCACATGAAAGGAAAATCACCCGTATCGCTTGAAAAGGATAACCCTTTGTATCACATGATAGGATAATCCCTTGTAGCACATGATAGGATAACCCCTTGTATCATATGATAGAATAATCATTTGTATCACATGATGGGATAATCCCTTGTATCACATGATTGGATAATTCATTGATCTTATGGTGGGATAATCCCTTGTATCAAAAGATAGGATAATCCCTTGTATCACATGAGATGATAATCCCTTGTATCACATGATAGGATAATCCCCTGTTTCAAAAGATTGGGTAATCCCCTGTATCAAAAGATACGATAATACCTTGTACCACGATAGGATAATCCCTTGTATCACATGATAGGATAACCCTGTGTATCACAAAATAGGATAATCCCTTGTATCACATGGTAGGAAAACCCCTTGTATCATATAATAGGATAATCTGTTGTATCACATTGTGGGATGATCCCTTGTATCACATGGTGGGATAATCCCCCGTATCACACGATAGGATAATCCCTTGTATCACATGGTAGGATAATACCTTGTATCACGATAGGATAATACCTTGTATCACGATAGGATAATCTCTGGTATCACATGAGAGAATAATCCCTTGTATCACATAAGAGGGTAATTCTTTGTATCACAAGATAGAATAATCCCTTGTATCACATGATAGGATAACCCCGTGTATCACATGAAAGGAAAAGCCTCTGTATCACATATAATAATCCCTTGTATCACATGATAGGATAATCCCTTGTAGCACATGATAGGATAATACCTTGTATCACGATAGGATAATACCTTGTATCACGATAGGATAATCTCTGGTATCACATGAGAGAATAATCCCTTGTATCACATAAGAGGGTAATTCTTTGTATCACAAGATAGGATAATCCCTTGTATCACATGATAGGATAACCCCGTGTATCACATGAAAGGAAAAGCCTCTGTATCACATATGATAATCCCTTGTATCACATGATAGGATAATCCCTTGTAGCACATGATAGGATAATCCCTTGTATCTCGATAGGATAGCCCCTTGTATCACATAAGATAATCTCTTGTATCACATGATAGGATAATCCCTTGTATCACGATAAGATAATCCCTTGTATCACGATAAGAGTATCCCTTGTATCACATGAAAGGATAATCCCTTGTATCACATGATAGGACAATCCCATGTATCACATTAGAGGATAATCCCTTATATTACACGATAGGATAAGCATTTGTATCATATGAGAGGATAATCCCTTGTAGTACATGATAGGATAATCTCCTGTATCAAATGATAGGATAACCCTGTGTATCACATGAGAGGATAATCCCTTGTATCACAAGATAGGATAACCCTTGTATCACGATATGATAATCTCCTGTATCACATGAGAGGATAATCCCTTGTATCACACGATAAGATAATCCCTTGTATCACAAGAAAGGATAATCCCTTGTATCACATGATGGGATAATACCTTGTATCACACGATAGGATAATACCTTGTATCACGATAGGATAATCTCTTGTATCACATGAGAGGATAATCCATTGTATCACATGATAGGATAACCCCTTGTATCACACGATAGGATAATCCCCTGTATCAAAAGATAGGATAATCCCCTGTATCAAAATATAGGATAATCCCTTGTGTCACGATAGGACAATCCCTTGTATCACACGATAGGATAATCCCCTGTATCAAAAGATAGGATAATCCCTTGTATCACGATAGGATAATTCCTTGTATCACATGATAGGATAACCCTGTGTATCACATGGAAGGATAATACCTTGTATCACGATAGGATAATCTCTTGTATCACATGAGAGGATAATACTTTATACCACATGATAGGATAATCCCTTGAATCACATGAAGGGTTAATCCCTTGTATCACATGACGGAATAATCATTGTATCGCATAACGAGATAATCCCTTGTATCACATGTATTGCATAACGAGATAATCCCTTGTATCACATGAAGGGATGGAATAATCCCTTGTATCCCATAAAGTGATAATCCATTGTATCACATGACGGGATAATCGCTTGTATCACATGAGAGGATAATCCCTTGTATCACATGAAGGGATAATCCCTTTTATCACATGAAGGGATAATCCTTTTTATCACATGAAGAGATAATCCATTGTATCACATGACCGGATAATCTCTTGTATCACATGAAGGGATAATCCCTTGTATCACATGAAGGGATAATCCCTTGTATCACATGAAGGGATAAGCCCTTGTATCACATGGTGGAATAATCCCTTGTATCACATGAGGCGATAATCCCTTGTATCACATGATGGGATAATCCCTTGTATCACATGAGGGGTTAATCCCTTGTATCACATGAGGGGATAATCCCTTGTATCACATGAGAGGATAATCCCTTGTATCACATGATGGGATAATCCCTTGTATCACATGAAGGGATAATCCCTTGTATCACATGAAAGGATAATCCCTTGTATCACATGAGGGGATAATCTCTTGTATCACATGAGAGGATAATCCCTTGTATCACATGAAGGGATAATCCCTTGTATCACATGAAGGGATAATCCCTTGTATCACATGAGGGGATAATCCCTTGTATCACATGAGGGGATAATCCCTTGTATCACATGAAGGGATAATCCCGTGTATCGCATAACGAGATAATCCCTTGTATCACATGAGGGGATAATCTCTTGTATCACATGAGAGGATAATCCCTTGTATCACATGAGGGGATAATCCCTTGTATCACATGAGGGGATAATCCCTTGTATCACATGAGGGGATAATCCCTTGTATCACATGAGGGGATAATCCCTTGTATCACATGATGGGATAATCCCTTGTATCACATGATGGGATAATCCCTTGTATCACATGGTGGGATAATCCCTTGTATCACATGAGGGGATAATCCCTTGTATCACATGGTGGGATAATCCATTGTATCACATGAGAGGATAATCCCTTGTATCACATGATGGGATAATACATTGTATCACACGATAGGATAATCCCTTGTATCACACGATAGGATAATCCCTTGTATCACATGAGAGGATAATCCCTTGTATCACATGAGGGGATAATCCATTGTATCACATGACGAGATAATCCCTTGTATTATGTGATACAAGGGATTATCCCTTGTTTCACATGGCGGTATAATCCCTTGTATCACATGATGGGCTAATCCCTTGTATCCCATGATGGAATAATCCCTTGTATCCCATGATGGGATAATACCTTGTATCACATGATAGGATAACCCTGTGTATCACATGATAGGATGATCCCTTGTATCACATGGTGGGATAATACATTGTATCACACGATAGGATAATCCCTTGTATCACACAAAAGGATAATCCCTTGTATCACACAAAAGGATAATCCCTTGTATCACATGATAGGAAAACATTGTGTATCGCGTAATAGGATAATCCCTTGTATTAAATTAACACAAAAACTTTGAATACAATTGTTTTATTTCTTAAAAACAAAGAGCCCAGGTAATGTAGAATTGATAATGGACAATCAATAAGAATGAGACATTAAAGCTTAACCGAATGAATGAAACATTAAAGCTATACTGCTTTCACAAACAATTACAAATACACACATATAACAAATAACAATGACTCACCAACAGAACAACCAAATCCAGCAAAATGTCTAAGATTCAATTATGTCTTGACTAAATACATGAATTATATTGGCAGATATGGTTGTTCACATTAAAAATACAAACAACAAAGAAGGATGACTAATTGGCCAGTTTACCAAGGTAGGTCTGTGCTATGTGGCATATCAAAATCACCATAAATACCTAGAATGGAATTAAATGGATGAAGCAAGATACATACTTGACTCAAGATACATACTTGACACAAAGATACGGACTTGACTCAGAACACATGCCTGTCTTCAGATAAATATTTGACTAAAAGATACATACCTGTTTTAAGATACATACTCGACACATGAAAAATACAAGATACATACTTGACACAAGATACATGCTTGACACAAGATACATACATAACTCAACAGACATACTTGACACTAGATACATGTTTGACTTAAGATACTTACTAGACTCGAGAGACATGCTTGACACGAGATACATACTTGTTTCAAGATACACACTTGACCCCGGGATACATGGACTACTTGACAAGATACATACTTGATGTATTCGTGACCAAAGATGCATAGACACAAGATGCATCTAGACTCTAGATACATACTTGAACAATATAACGCTTAACTCAAGATACATACTTGAACAAGATACACGCTTAACTCAAGATACATACTTGAACAAGATACACGCTTAACTCAAGATACATACTTGAACAAGATACATACTTGAACAAGATACACTCTTAACTCAAGATACATACTTGAACAAGATACACGCTTAACTCAAGATACATACTTGAACAAGATACACCCTTGACTTCAGAAAAATACTTGCCACATATCGAACTTGTGATACATACTTCGGCTTGATGCTAAGACACAAGATACATACCTGTCTCAAGATACACACTTGACACGAGACGGATACTTGACACTAGATACATGCTGGACATGAGATGGATACTTGATTCATGAAACATACCTGTCTCAAGATACATACTTGACCAAGGATGCATGCTTGACTTATTCTTGACTAAAGATGCAAACACAAGGTACTTACACCTAACTTCAAGATACATACCTGACTTAAAGATACATACATGTACTTGACCTGGGATACATATTTGACACAAGATCATCACCTGATACACTATAATACTTGAGAAAAGATACATGTTTGACCTCAGAAACATACTTGACTTAAAATGTACACCTAATTCAAGATACATACTTGACTAAAGATACATACTTGACACAAGATAATTACCTGATACACTTTAATACCTGACAAAAGATACATGCAAACTACAAATAACTGACCTAAGATAAATATTTGACTCCTGATACATCCTTGACCATAGATACATACTTGACAAAAGATGTATACCTCAGCCTAGATATATACTTGACTTTGACTTGACACATATTTGCCTTTAGATACAAGCTTGACTCAAGATTATGGTTTACAGAAGATACATAATTGACCCAGGATACATACCAGAGCCATGATACATGGTTGACCAAACATACATACCTCACCTCAGATAAACTTAAACACATACCTGGCCTAAAATATATGTTTGACTAAAGATACATGCTTGACACAAAATATGTAATTGACTCAACATACATACTCGACACATCATTGATCACTGTACCAAATATTTGGCTGGCAGAAGATACATGTCTGACTCAAGATACATGCTTGACTCAAGATACATGCTTGACTCAAGATACATGCTTGACAGATCAACACGACACATCATTGAACAAGAAACATGCTTGACGCAAGATACATGCTTGACTTCAAATACTTGGCAGAAGATACATGTTTGACTCAAGATACATGTTTGACTCAAGATACATATTTGACCCAAGATACATACTTGACTCCAAATACTTGACACGATAATGCACACATAGCACAGATTGCCCCTGGGTAATAACCTGGCCATAATGGAAGAATAATATTATCTAATGCTACAACAATTAAATTGCATAAAGTCTTGTGGATATGTTTAAACTACAACTGAGGTATTTACAGTTTTGAAAGATGTCAGCTAGGAAAGTCAGAAAAACGTTCCAGAAGACAAGGAGTTCAATGAATAGAGATCTCATTTCCGGCTAGGTCTGGCCTACACCATCCAATATGGCCTGTAGAAGAAGAGGATACAGAACTAAATCGAAACTACAGAAAGAATCCTGAAATTCAAATCTAAAGGTTTACCTCGAACTCAGCTTCGCAATGTCAATCTATTACAACCTTTCATACCTTGACTTCATTAGCCACCTTTCTTGGATCATTGAAGTTTGTAAATTCAGTGATTTGATTGGGTTGTACGATATAAAATACAGCGTATCAGAGGCCTTGACAAAAAGTCTGTAAACACTTAATGGGTGTATTTGCTAACATACAATCCAATCAAATTGCTGTATTCCGTGATACAAGACAGGTGACTTTTGGAGTGGAGTCAAGGCATAGGCTGAAGATCAAAATAGCTTGACACTGTGTCTGGATTAGGGAGCATACATTGAACTTTCTGAGGCACCATGGCTCCTGGGTTGTAGCCAAAGGCATTGCCTACTACAAAATCAATATTTAACAAGTTCATGGTAGCTCCTCCCTTAGATGAAGTTAAAGTCCCCCCAAAAATTAAAAACATACATAAATAAAACAATCACATCAACATAAACATACATAATAAATAATGCTCATATATACTTCTATTTAAAAATCAACCATTCAGAACATGACACAGTCTGCTGAAGCTTAAAGAGATCAAGTGGACTTATTATTAGCGTTACCATCTGCTGAGCTCAATGTGAGCTATCCCTACCTAGATTGTCTTAATATTTACTTTACCAGCAGATAGAGCTCAATTTCAGCTATCCTTAGGTTGTCTTATTATCTACTTTACCAGCTGATAGAGCTTGATTTCAGTTATCTGTATAGTCATCTAAATATTTACTTTACCAGCTGATAGAGCTCGATTTCAGCTATCTGTATAGTCATCTAAATATTTACTTTACAAGCTGACAGAGCTCAATTTCAGCTATTCTTAGGTTGTCTTACTTAATATCTACTTTACCAGCTGATAGAGCTTGATTTCAGCTATCTGTAAAGTCATCTAAATATTTACCTTACCAGCTGATAGAGCTCAATTTCAGCTATCTTTAGATTGTCTTACTTAATATCTACTTTACCAGCTGATAGAGCTTGATTTCAGCTATCTGTATAGTCATCTAAATATTTACTTTACCAGCTGATAGAGCTCAATTTCAGCTATCTTTAGATTGTCTTATTATCTACTTTACCAGCAGATAGAGCTTGATTTCAGCTATCTGTATAGTCATCTAAATATTTACTTTACCAGCTGATAGAGCTCAATTTCAGCTATCTTTAGGTTGTCTTATTATCTACTTTACCAGCTGATAGAGCTTGATTTCAGCTATCTGTATAGTCATCTAAATATCTACTTTACCAGCTGACAGAGCTCAATTTCAGCTAGTTTTATTGCTTTTCATTATGGAATACCAATGTTAGGCTCGTCTGCAATGAGAGGATTGTAAAGAGATCAAGGGATAAACAAAGAAGACTCTAGCCACCCTTCACTGATCATGATGGAAGCTTAGCAAACTATCAGGGTCATGCTCCGAATGGGTGAACACAGGGACATTCAATAAATATAATTCTACATAAATAACTATGGATGTTATTTTGAGGAAACACAAGGGGTTTTCTACATTTTTACAGCTTTAGAGATCTGGATTATCGATACAGTAGAAAACAACAGAAGTGAATGAATACACATAGGTGCTTTTCTAGACTAGATTAGCTTATATTTTCCACTTTATTAACCCTTTGAACCCTGAGTGTAAATGAAATATAACGTCATATACCCTGAACTCCAAGTAATACAAGTAAAAGCGTATGACGTTAACGTTGTATGATGTCACTTAGCAACGGCCGATATACCGGCTGCTCGGCCATATATTGCGTTAATATTGAAGGGTTGAAAGGGTTAATAATCCAGGGTTAGGCACGGCACTTACCAGTTCTATGACCAGTAATATCAGCTGTAAAAATTGAAAATTAACCTTGATATTTCACTAAAATAATTAATAATACTAAATACTGTAAAAACATGGGGTCTCGTTGGGAATATAAATTAACATAATCATTATAGATTAATCATTATAGATTAATCATCAGAGGGTATAAATACTACAGACATATAAAACACTAAGATATATCCAAGTAATATCTAAGTGTTTTATTGTAATCTTCCTACTTCTATGTGTCTTATTAACAATATACTACAGACATAGTTTAAGACATTTGTACACATCTAACAACACTTTAAAGGGCATTTATCAGTTGCGAGTACGATATATAGACACAGCTTTATAGAACAACAATCACTGGTTAAAGTTTTATACAACGTTTTGACGTGTTTCCCTCGTGGTCCTCAGGCACATACTGATAAAAGGTGATGGCAATAATATATATATAGTTTGCCCATCACTTCTTATAATCATGTGCCTGACGAAACATGCCACAACGTAGCTACAACTTTAACCAGATAGTTGTTCTATAAAGCTGTGTCTATATACTTTAAAACAGACACACAAGTCCACTTTATTTCAAGGTAGTTTAGGTAGTAATGTACAAACTGTCCATCTGGCTTCTATAGTTATAATTACTACATATTCTACCTCAAAACAAAGTGGACTCTTCCTGGTTATATTTTGAACTGTTCTTGGATCTGCATAACTATCTTGAATTTCTACATCTCTTCATTGGCAAGATCAATACTACCAACCCTTCTAACACTGGGTTAATAATAATAATTCTCATTTGTAACATAATTGATATCTAATACTCTTGGCCACAGCCAGTACTTTCGAGAGTAACTCACTGGCCTTTTAATGGATTTAACTATACTATGATTGGTTATATCGTATACAACTACCGGTTAAAATATGGTGTGTCAATGACCTTTTTCTCCAAAACTTAACTCAAATAATTGCCAGATTTTTAGAAATACAGTAATCTGATTGGATAATAAATCTCAATTTAAAATTTGAGAGATGGACCAATCAGATGACTGGAACATCTAAATCAAAAGTTAAGTTTTCAAGAATAAGGCGACGGGTAATCTGATTGGTCAATTACTAAAATCGATATTAAATTAAGCTTTATAATCCAATCAGATTACTGTATTTCTTAACATCTAGAGTTTTTCAAGGACAAGTCCCCAAGCTATCTACGGTATTGAAATGGTCATAAGAATATCAGAAAGATGGTACATAATATAAAGTAAATGGTTTTAAATACAGTGTAAAATAATGAAAGTAAATATTTAATGACTCAATACCAAAAAGGCAGTAAAACGTAAATATCAATTGGTTTTGATTACTCTAAATGACCCATAATTCATATATTTGATCAATTTGGTTATCCATAAAAGCAAGAAGCAACTAAATACGCCAAAATACATCACTAATACTTAATAATGCAATTGTATGGATGTAATAGAGTTGTGTTTGGCCTACCATAGGAAAATGTGCATTAAAGGAATATAAATCAGTGTTCTTTCATCAAAACCTTAAGGATTTTAACGAATTAAACAATAACTTAAGCAGTCTGTTTCCAGAACCTGCACCATAATTCTCAATCTATTTGGTCTGAAGCTTTCTAATTGGTCATGTCCTAGCAGTCAGTATTTGAACCAATCAAACGAATCGATATAACAACCCTAGATTCCAGAAATAGAACAGATGTCAAGTCTGCCAAAACAATTTAGAAGGAGCTATGTTCAATATCTGGGCTGGTATAAAGCTATCATTAACTGAATCAGATCTGATGGGATGCCAAAAAATCCTGCATCGCCCCTCACCCAACTGCAACAGATCTAATGGGATGCTCGGAAACCCGCCCCACCCCCTAAGGTTACAATATTTTTGTCACCAGGTCGTCCTCAGGTAATACATTAAAATGCTATGAGATGAAACATGGAAGCTCTAAAATCTACGGAAAAAGTTATGTACAAGATTTATAACGATGGGTTCCTGAAAGGACATATGAAAAACTCTCCTGCTGTTTATACAAGTTTCAGATATAAAACTCCCATCAGGACAAATTGTTTTGGACTTTCCATTATCAAAGTGTATGAGCAAAGCAAACAAACTTACTTCTCTTCTGACTAGAGCCTATTGTCTTAATATATTACACTTATCATAAATGCCATTAAAATTTTTGGAAAGTAGGTCATCACTGCTCATGCACATGCTTTTAAACAGATGCTAGGAAAATGACTGGATAATCTTCTACAAGATAATTTGACTTACACTTTTCTTCAGGAACCCATCTTTGAGTAAGCTTATGATCAGGACTGTTGATTTAGAAATCAATCGCCAGTCAGTCTGACAATGCTCATAAAACGATATAAAAACCATTATGTGAAAAATGTCCATGAGGATTGAAATATGGTTTTAAAGAGTCTGTCCAAAATTGAAGTCCTTCGTATATCTTTCTTCCAAGCTAGACATGACCGGCAAATACATTTCAATCAACAGCCCTAATGTGAGGTCCAAAAAAGAGTGTAAAAATGGAATTAGAGTAAATTGCATTAAAGATCTAACAATGGGAGATAACTCTAATAGTAAACATAATTTTCACTGCCCCTCGTAGATCTTTCTTTTTGGCAACGTTAAATTCTGGTTTTGATAAGATCAATAATCTTAAAATAAATAAAAACATCACAAAGGCGTTGTCAGAAACATCCAAAATCAGAATTTTCATGATTTTAAGACCTTTCATTGGTCAATTTCAAATGATTTGAAGATCTCTGATTGGCCAGTATTCTAACTGAATTGATAGGTTAATATTCTAGTATCATTATATAAGGATCTCTGATAGTTATATCAAAGATTTAGATACATTTGATTGGTCAATATCAATTATTTAAAGATGTTTCATTGGTCTATATTGAAGCTGAATGATTTAGAAACATTTGATTGGACAATACTGTTAAAATAGTTGTTCAAACCAACAGAAATCATCAAATCTCTGGATGTTCCTGACACCAAAATCAAGACTTTAAAAGAGAAAACATGCTTGTTGGTGGTATGTTTACTTCCTTGAACAACAACCATACTTTCTCTAGCCTTCACATTAATATCAATAACAAAACAAAATAATATCACCAGTCACGGCTGGTTTAATGGATTCCACCATTAGGAGGTCGATGTCGATGCACTACGCCGTTTGTAAGTTCCTTTGTGTGTCCATTGTGCTCACGTTTTTTGCTGAATCTTTTAGAGTTTTTGTAAGGTCTGCCATTGACATTACTATAATCAATCTCAGAATCATCTTCTTCGATTTTACCAGGCTGAAAGACATTGAGACATTGAGTTTTACACCCTTCTTTTCTGCTCTATGAAGTTAGTAAGCAAGACAGCGTGTAACCACAGAGTGTGTAGAGAGCCAGTCTGGACATTAAGCCACTGGACATGGAATAAATTCTTAATAGTGATTACCAGTTGTGTATGGTTACCAATAAGAAAAGTTTCTCATGTAACTGAGATGTGAGCTGCGTTAGGAACTCATGGCCACTTTCATTACTGGTATTTGGAACCACACAACATCTATTGTGGTATTTTGAAGGCAAAAAAATTACTCAAAATATATTTCAATGACACCCCTTTTCTGTAAGTTCCCTTTTGGGGAACCAAATATATGGTATTTGCAACCATAAGCAACTGGTAATCGCTTATGCTATGGTGTGAGGGCCCCTTAAGCTGTGATGTAACTGTACCTTAGAATTTTCTAAATAATTACCGTATCTGGAACTTATCCAGATACACACAAAACTTCCCAGCATCTGAAAATGATACAGACCAATACAGTTATAAAAATCCTTACAATCTAGACAATTCTGTTAATTCTGTTTTGCAAGGACAGCTGCTGTAGATTTTTTTTTTTCAATGAGTAACTGTTGAGAGATCTTAAATGTGCAGCCTGTAGCACACGTGACCTCGGTTTATTGTCCTATCCAAACAACTAGACTATTTTTACATATATTGCCATGTTGAATCCATCTTGAAACGATCTAAGTTTGGATGTCCTTAGGTCTTAACTATTTCTAAGATATCCCAGCGCTAAAATCATTTCAAGAATACCAGGCCTGGACCTTCAGGCTCAAACAACTTAATTCTTTTTCAATGTATTCCCCTCTTACAACTAGATTGAAACCAGGACCTTCAGGCTAACAAACAAAGATCAAACCACCGGGCTCTGAAATTTGTTAAGAACAAAGACAAACAGCTTACCTGAGAGACAATCCAAGCAATAACGTAAGTATACTCAGTCTGTTTAAATAACTCCAACCCAAACTTGATACATATACATGATTCAGTTAATGTTATTGCACTGAAACACAAGAAAGACCATAAATAGGCAAGGCCATACAGTGTGCAAAGGGGACAATTTTCAAAGACAGTCTGTAGCTTATTTAAAAGGTGTCATCTTTAACATATTCAGTGATCGTGCCCCTAAAGTTTAGAGGATTTAGACAGAGTTTAAAACTTCACAAACAATTTTTTAAGCTTCTAATAAATTTTGAACAGACAGGGAAGGGAGTGGGCCCTTGGGTCATGGAAATATTCCTACCATACTTACCAAAATATCCAGCACATTGTACCAACTCTCTTACATTGAGTATCTGTCACATATACATAGTACTGTCTGAAAAACAGGAATCACAAAAACTTCAATCAATCAATCAACACCAATGTCAAGTTATTGCAAACTTCATACTTATACCTTGACAATCTGAGGAACTAAGTAGAAGCGTTGGACTTTGTCAATTGTAATAAGGAAGTTATTCATTGCAAACTAACAGCTGAGACGGCAAAGATAATATGAGAAACCATAAAGTTTACATGTTAAATGAACACTGTTTTTCAAGAGTTAACAAGAGTTAGCAAGAGATATTAATAACATGAAGAACGTACCTTATAGATGGAGCTGATATAAGACATATTAAAACGAGGCGAATTGCGTTGATCGGATGGGGTGGGGGCACCCAGAAAATATGTTTTAAAAAAAATGTATTCAATTCAACCAACTGAAAAAAAAAGAGGATTAAATTAGGTCTGTTTTATAAAAGGATCTGAAAGAGATGTGCTCTTTACGTGAAATGGGGCAAACTATAGTCCCTGCCTTTTTCAATTTCTTACTGTCAAGGGAACTTTAAATGTAGTATGAAATGCTTGTCTTGCAGTATGCAATGGGGGAAAACCTTGCAGGAAAGCATCATTAGCACCCTCTCTTTAAATGTTAAACACTGTCCAGAGATCTCTAACGTGCAGCCTGTTTCACATTCAAACAACTGTACTTTCGTCAAAGGCTACAGAAATTTCCAAGATGGCTGACTGACCTGAAAGAAGACTATTAACAGCCAGACTGCAATAATCCTCATTTTGGTAGAATTTGGATCCAACCAACGCACTAGAGTCCAGCTGAAATATACACAAAATATTATAGGATGACTTGGAGCAGGGTTAGATTTATATGAGAGCTCTGGATTTTCTGTGAAATATTAGGTGAGGGGCTTGTAGAGGCAACTGAATTGTCAAGGAATGTTTGTCTGTATGTTTTACATCCTTCCTGACCTGCATCACTGACGGGGGGAAAACCAGGTTGATCAATCGGAAGGTATCATCCTGACCTATCCCGAGATTGAATCCTGGACCTTCTGGTTAGCCAGCAAGCGTCTAACTCACTGAGCCAAAGCAGCAGCTCCTGTATGTAGAGCTCATGTTTATATTTTATTTTTGACCCAACCAAGACTGCACCCTGTCTCCAGATAAGAGAACAGACAGGGCCCCCCCTGAAATTTGAAAGAACTGTCGACTGACCTAACTGGTGTAAACTGTAATACAGCTCTACGTAATTTACCAGTAGCGGAGTGAATATCTCTGAAAGAAAACGTTAAATATGAATAAAAATAAAATGGAAATTTGATAGATATAAAAGTTTCGTAAAGAGATGCTATCACCTAAATATTAGTTAAAAAAGAAAGCTGAATCTAAATGTTATCTTTGCTTGTCTTTTGATTGTGTCAATTTTATCTGTATATGGATTGTTGTTTTCAATTAAGTTTAAGAACAATCAATAGAATTTATAATGTCAAATTTTATCAGTCCCCTGTTGCTAATTATATTGTGATATCGTTAATCCTAAAGGTTAATTAGCCCAACTCGTTATTGATTTCAGATCATCACTAATTATTTAGATCTATTACTCTGATCTAAATATACTAATATTAATAATTCCTTCTAATTTCCAACGGATCACTTGGTTTTAGATGACAAATTTCAGAATGATGAGATACAGTATGTTTTGTTGGTGACAGATAGAGGACTATATTTGTTCAGTTCTATCAGTATTTACAGGATAATGTCCTATAAAACATACCTGAAAAATGCTGAACTCATGTATATTTAGAGCTTAAAATAAGAGCCCTTTCTTTGAGGCAAAGCTAGGAATTTGGGGGTGCCCCAAGAAGCCAATAGATTTCAGATAGCCTCAGATGAATTTTTAGTATTTAGAGGGTTTGATTTTCACTTCAGATCTATTACAGGCCTAAGGGGGAGGTATAGCACAAGACGGCAACCTCGTCCATTTGTACCTTTACTATGACAGATGATAAGACAAACTTACTTTATACTTTCCCAATGGAAGCTTCTCATCTCTAACCTTTCACAGATCTTCATTCCCACCCAAATACCCAATCCATTACATAATAACACATCTAATATCCATGAATCCCACCAACATTCAGCAAAATTGGGTAATAAATGAGCATAGGCAACCTAAAATAGAATAAACATTATTAGACTAAAAGCTCTTAAATATTTATGTGTATAGGGGATACTTATAGCACCATTTCAATTTTCAATCAGACATCTGTGGTTCTTGCAATTCCACAAAAATTAAGCATTTTATGGCATCAAAATTGCAAAGGCCCTTAGATATCATTATCAGCTTTTAAGATAGTGATCATCCCATATCCCAAACCCAATTGTCTTACCTCTGTCAGCTCCCACATAATACTAATGGTCCATAAAATACCATAATGTCTGATGAGTAGAGCTTTCAGAGTCCAACCAGTAAAATGAGAGAGAGCAAAAACATCAATTCCATCGTATAGCCGACTCCATGTAATACTCGAACAATTCACAGCATATTCCTAAAATTGAAAAGGGTTAAGGGGTTCAGCAAGTAAGCGCTGGCCATGGCATCAGGATTATTTATAAGGCACCAGGTACCCTTTTTGCAAAATATCTTAAGATAAGAATTTGCCAATTCAGTATCCCTTTCAGAGAGTCCACATATTAAATACTGTTTATTTGGACAGTAGGTTTGTTAAGTAGACTCTCAGAGATTCCACATAGTTAATAATACTATCTGGGTTGATTAACTGAGAATCCGTTTCAGAGAGTCCACATAGTTAAAATGTTAATCTAATATTACAATATGTACATCCAAACATGATATATCATTAGAAATACCTTTTCATCTGGGCCTGTATCTTTTAAATCTTGATATAACCACACTAACATCTGTCTGACGGCTGTCCGACTTTGAAACAGCACAAATATTAACATCATAAAATACAATACACCCAACCCTGTAGATAAAATAAAACAGAGTTTAATATCAAACTCTTCTGCTCCTCATCTTCACATTGTTAAGCTATTATGAGCTTCTAACTTATACCCTTGACTGCAATGGCTATCGTTTTTGGATCCTGGAAGTTTGTACATGTAGTGATTTTGTTGGATTGTATGTTAGTGAATGGAGCCAATCAGAGTCTCTGATTGGCTGTATTTGCTGACGTACAATCCAATCAAATCACAGCATTCTGTGATACAAGAATAGTGGGTATTCCAGTCACGGTATAAGACGAAGTTTGTAATATCTTGATATTGAGAAGTGCCTCATTGGACTAATGAAATATCAGTCAGCAAAGTTAACAATGTGAGCTACTCCTGGATAAAAGTTAACAGTAATCAACTTACCAAAGACCATTCTCCATATTGCAGGATGGGGTCTTGTAAAGGGACCTGAAATGCATAAAAAAAAGCTTCCATTAAAGGGATTGTGAAGGAATTTGGTGAAGTCTTTTGATTCTCGACTTGCAATATCAGTACACAAACTATTCACATTTATGGCCAGAGAAATTTAGGTATTTATGTTAAATCATGATTGTTAGGGAAGGGAAATTTTCAATCAGATGTCGGTAGTTCTTGCATTTCCACTAGAACTATGCATTTCAAAAGCTGCTTACAATATAACATGACATCATAATTGCTTAGTTTTTATTGAATTAAAGGAACAACTGATTGAATACTGGAAGTGCAAATTGACGTTATCAATGTCTCAGATACACATAAAATTTTTTAGGAACCTCTTTACAATCCCTTTGACCTTACAAAAGGGCAGACAGCTACTTTAAATTGAGCTATATAATTAAATAAACTACTGTAACAATATGTTGTATAGAGATAAAAGAATAGTCAATGAAAGGTATTGAACATCTTCACAATATCAGTCTATTACCTTGATTCCAATAGCCACCTTCCAATAGTATCACAGAATACAGCAATTTGATTTGATTGCATACTAGCGAATATTTGTTGCTAACTGTATTTTGCATTTACAAACTTCCTTGATACGAGAAAGGTAGCTAATGAGGTCAAGGTATCAGACAGAGTTGGTAATAGCTTGACATTATGAAGATGAGGTATAGAGTAATCAAGAGATATTGAAGGTAATTCGGTTGGAATCAATCCAATTGTTGATATAGTCATCTTTCCCATTATAACATATTGACTACTCTTCTCTAAGGCTGCAGGCACAATGTACCTTATGACTTTACTAGCAAGTTGCATTGTCATTGTCTAATAACCTTAGCTCAGTAGTTCCCAACCTTCTTCAGCCTTCACACCCCTGGTACAATCACCTAGACCTTTTACACCCCCAAAAATTTGTATCATCCACATTTACAGCATGTGATGATATGAGGTGCTCTCTCAATTCAAAACAAATTGTTCTAGTAAACCAGTTGGCCACACCCCTGACACCCTAGTCCCACACCCCCAGGGGGTGAAAACACCCCTGGTTGGGAACCTCTAAGCTCTAAGTGTAGTCCTAATAGAAATACTGAAAGTGATATTCTACCTGCAGGCAGATTGTACGCTATGACATACAAAACAATTATTAACATTGATCCTTCAGCTATTCTCCTTGACTTAACTCATGCATAAAACAGTAAATTAATTGAAAAGCACTCTAGGACTATGTTTTAAAAGAAAAATGCATTAGAAAATCATTGAAGTTCAATAACTATGTCAATATCGCAAAGGGTCTTGTATAATGTCAGATTTTCTGATGGTGACTTCATCAAACTATTCAAACATCTTGGAGCTTCAATCAGACATAACGGGCTATCAACGTCAACACGTAGTTTTAAGGGAATTGTTAGAACCACAGACATCTGACAAAAAAATTGAATGGTGCATATTAATGCTTTTGGTATCCCCAATATACATACAAATTTTCAAAAATCTCCTTACAATCTCTTTAATAGTAAAATATTTTAAAAACAGGATACATTATGTGTTATTAATAGTGTTAAAGGAACTTACCATTAGGGAAAGCTAAAACACTGATAATGAGGAAGAAAAATACCACACTACATAATCCTGCTTGTATATTATCATTGTGAGAACTGTCATTTCTGAAATAAACAAAACAATGAACAAATGAATAGATGAATGAATACATGAATAAAGGAAGGCTTGTATTGTTATTTCTGACATACTGATAAGAAAGAATAAATATCTTAAAAAAATATGAATGAATGAAAATTTATTTTTTAGTCTTTTGCTCAATACTTTGTATGAATGAATAAATGAATGAATGGGAATTGATTTAATTTTAAACATCAATTTACTTTCCAAAAGAAAAAAAACCTACAGAATTAATGTGGCTAAACCATGAATGAATGAATGAATAAAACAGCATATAAGTCTGGAGAGCAAATGAATGAATGAATATGTCTATAAAAAAGCACAGATGAATGCAAGATTAATTGAATGAGAGAGCAAATGAATGAATGAATGAATGAAAAACTAATTGCATATAAATGAAGCAATCTGTCAACTACTAATTAGGTTCATTATTATCATTGATTACTAATAATTAATATGATTAACGTGATTCAGTGTTTACCAGTGCTTCCAGTGTACATGGATACATCTTATTTTATATCTTCATGTCTAAAACTTGTACATGTCGAGTGTCCTTGCACTTTTGTTTGTAAATTAAATTTTACGAATTGTTTTGTTTTATGTGAAATGGAAATATCCATCATGAAATAGTACTAATAGACCTAAATAAGTTCTAAGTTTCCCTAAAATACAGTCAGTGTCTACAGCTTGTGATGATTATATAAACTCAACCAAATAAGCAAGAATTCATTAGAAACAATTTCAGTTAAAGAATTTCAACTTCAAGTTCATATAAATGTAGGGTTATAACAATATCCCTGACTGCACCTAAACTATTTCAACTATAAAATGGTCCTATTATTATTAGTATCATTAATAATGCAACAATGAATGTAATTGTAATAAATAGGCTACTCTTTAAATTCTGCAGACGACAGTAACGTGTAGCAGTTTTATTCAAAATTTCTTGTTTACTTTTTGTTTTGAGCACCAAATGTAGACAGTCATCATGAGACTGAACGGTTCATTCTTGAAATTAATACACAGAACCAATTTTTGGCCCAAAAATCGTTGCAGGAGGCATGACACGCCAAATTCAAAGAAAAAAGAATTGAAATCGATGACCTTTAAAAATTGTCAAATTTGAAGTATGCTTACCGTGTGAATGCCGTGTAAAACAGTCCAATAATGGATATCGCTAGAAGCGTTATGGTATGAGGTTTGTAGAAAAAATCCAAAGAAATGTCATCCACGCCTTTTTCGTTGATACTTCGGAAAAATTCATCCTCTTCTGCAATCACGTTTTCTTTTTTCTTCGCCATTCTGTGGACCTTTTAAACCTCCAATGTTGAAAACCATCCAAGGGGAGACCACTACTTCATAAATTATTTCTTGTCGTCGATCACCCAGACTGAAAGATACAAAGAATGTCAATAGCACGTGTTTTCGGTTACCCAGGCACTCGTGAATTAATTATGCAATGAAAATTCGTCTGCTAATTTATTTGGCCCGACCTTGACTTTTAACAACCGGTCGATATGCTGAAATCGATCGCCCGGTTTCGTATGTCGTATAGATTTATCGTGTTCATCAGTCATGGCAATTAAAACATGTTCTCAATCATAAATTTATATTTAAAACGCCCACTTTTTTTTATTCTAATTAAAACATACTAGTTGTACTGTCGCACATTAATATTATATGGTAGCCTATACAGGCAATTAATATCAGTCATATACACCTTAATATTATGTATAGCATAATAAAAGACTCCTGTTGGAGATTAACTTCACTACAATGTTTCAACAAATTACACTTGAGGCTAGGATATTGCTACTGCAACATTCTTTTTGAAAAGAGGTTTTTTGTCCAACTCACTGGGCCTTGGATAGATATTTTTGAAGCTTTACTTTAAATATTTTTGAAGCTTTAGGCCTACTTTTGATTAAGTCGCCTAAGAGTCGCTAATATTTATCAGAAGCTGGGTAAGAATTGTCAAGTTTTCAGCTCATGGAAAATTGCCTCAAACTTCCATCAAAGACAAGTAAGAGTCAGTGTTCTTAAGCTCACTGAAAGTTGCCACAAACTTCCCTCAGAGACATCTTTTCCCTTAGACAAACATGAAAATTTAGTGGAGAAACTACAGAAAGTTTTCAGCTCACTGTAAGCTGCTCAAACTTTCCTCCGAGACGTCTTTGCCCTGGAGAAAGATTTAGTGGAGGATCTACAGAAAGTTTTCAGCTCACTGTAAGCTGCTCAAACTTTCCTCCGAGACGTCTTTGCCCTGGAGAAAGATTTAGTGGAGGATCTAGATATTGTAATAATTTAATAAAATACGCTGAATACAACCAAATACATAAAATAATAATAATAATAATAATGTATGTATCACAGATAAGAAGAGTTAAATATGAGTTAATTTCGCTATATATACAATATTTGAATAATCCAATTAGACAAGTATTGAAGAGCCTTTTGCTCAAGCAGTGAAATTCTTCAGATTCCAATTGTCAAGCAGCTGAATGGGCTAATGAATACAGGCAATGCCTTGCAGTGTATTATGAGGGACACTTGGATATGACATATTATCAACAATTAAAATCAAATATTATAGCCATAAAATGATAAATAATTGGACAACAAAGACCTACAATTGAGACTTTGGTCATGAAATGCACATGCATTCAAGTATTTGACCTAATTTACCACTTTACTCAACAAGAATTGCTACAATTGAGACTGGACATGGAATGCACATGCATTCAAGTATTTGACCTAATTTACCATATAATGAAGCAGTAAATACATGAACGAAGACACCCTGCTCTAGTGGTATAATGAAAGATTAAAACTGACTATAAAATGCAATCAATACTGTAAAAGTTTTGAAGTACTGTGTGTAGGAGATGTTGAGCGTGCCATGGTGCTAGACAAAGTTCTCATGCTTTCAGCCAAGCGTCCGAACTCCTGCCACTTCTGACTGTGGACGGTGCTTTCTAGATTCTTCTGGTAGTCGAGATCATGAAGTCTGGATTCAAGGGAGGAAATTTCAGACTGGAGACTGATGAGTTCATGATCTTTTGTTTCAATCTATGAATAAGGTAAAACAAATTTTAGCATACGTGTAAATAGAATGAAATGAAATGTTGCATGTTCTTGGATTCTGCTTTTAAGCCTATTGGGCGAGTGATACTTTAGAAAAATTAATAAATATTTACATTTCAAAGTTGTCTGAGCCCCAAGAGGCTTTGATGGTATAAGGGAGATAACTCCAATTAATCCTACCTTTCTCTGCAGTTCAGCCACATGATCAACTAAGAGAATTTTATCTTTACGCAGCTGACCGTTTTCTGTTTCTGAAACTTGGTGCATGCTTTCGATCTCTGCTAGACGAAGTTTGGTGCTGCTCAGTTCGGACTCCATGGTTCTTGATAAATTCTCTTGTTTGGTTAGCTACAATGAAAAGAAACAGTTGAACCTGACGGGCAAATAAAAGGCGGATAAGTTAAAGAAATGAATTGTAAGAAAGAACGATATATATTTTTACAAGGATAACAACTTAGGTTCACGAGGATCCTTTCTACCAGCTGGTCCTTGGTATTGATCTTTCACAGGTTACCCATTTACAGCTGACTATATCTGACCTGTGGTTCTTGGTCATCTTTCGTCATTATTCCAGTTTACCCAGATGTAAATGGATACATATGGATAATCTGGGAAAGATCAATGCTAAGAGGTTTAGCCAAGGATTAGCAGGAAGAAGGTACCCTTGTGAACATAAACATAGGGCATTAGCTGATTTAATTCCGGCTGGATTATTAACCAGAGAAGAACTTGTCTTACCTGTTCGAGATAATTCTGACAACGTTCTTTCTCTCGTTGGATCTCAGATTGTGTTTGTGTCATCTGTAGATCAAGTTGTTTCTCTCTATCACGAAGTGTTATTAACTCACTGATATTCTCTCTCTGTTGTATATCTATATTCTCTCTGATATCCTTCTCCTAAAATAAGATATGATATGATTGGAGTTTTACATCCTTCAGCCCTGAGGTCTGTTTCACAAAATTATTACTAAATTGGCCTTCACACCATAGTGATCACCATTTTGTATATGGTTGAAAATAAGAACAGAAGTCATAAGTTTTAAACGGAACTGAGTTGATGACAGAAACATGAACATCATCCTTAGTTAGGCTTCCATGGAAGTGGGCCATGTACCTTCTCATCTTTAATGGGCAAACAGACAGTCATGGCTGACAAAGGATTAAAAATCTCCAACCATACCAAGATTAATAGCAACCAGTTTCAAGCTAGTGAGCATACAAGTATTTTTGGGGTGTTATAACGCTTTTTCATTGATCCCAGTTTTATTAACTTTAAGATGGAATCAGACCTTATCCAGAAGTCTTTGGTATTCTGTGAGTCTACGACTAAAATTGGAATTCTCTCGAGTCAAAATGGCGTTCTCATCTTGCATTTTTTCTTTCAGGAATCGTTCTTTTTCTAAAGTCAGCTCCAGCTCTTTTACGTTCTGACGTAGAGTTCTCATTTCATCCTGCAAAATAAAATAAAGGTTAAGAAAGCAATTAAATTTTGCCAGGAAGACATTAGCCTAGATTTTCAACTGTCGAGGGATCTTTAACGTGCACAGCCTGTAGCATACAGGGCCTGTTTGTTGTCCCATCCGAACAACTTGGGTCGACACCCCTAAGAAATCTGTGGTCAAGAAAGCAATGAAATGGAGTTAAGTCCTACTTTTTTCCAAGCTTAAAATATAAACACACAGAGGCCTACCCTAATTTCTTGAGAAGCTGTATCCTGGACCTCTATAGTGTTAGTATATAACCTATCTTCTGTATCACGAAGCTGAGACTCTGTGGCCATTAGAGCTGCTCTTTTCTCTTCTAGAGCTATCTGCGTCATCTGGAGGGTTTCTGTTCTTTGATCCAACTAATAAGGTAAACATTTACATTAGTACATCAATCGATTACAAGAGAAGCTTCATGAGCATTCGTTAAATTTTGTGGATTTGAAGGCATTTACATAAAGAATTGCCGTATAATTAGCATATTTAAGAACTAGAATCATAACTAGAGTTTTACATCCTACTTTTCAGCACCGAGCTGATAAGATATGACAACGCCTTGCTGTGTGCAATGAGGGAAGTTTGTCTAAGACAGGAACACTTGGCATGCTAAGCTAGTAAGTGATTCTTACCTGACTTTTCAGTGTGTTGAGTTTAAACTCAGCGTTACGAAGAGCAGTTGAGCTTTTGTCTACCTCAGTCTTGGCTTCCAGCAGCTGGCTATTTTTTCTAGCTCCCTCTAGTTCCAATCTATCTTTAGCTTTCTTTAGAGTTATAATCTCTTCTCTCATTACCAGCTTCTCATGCTGCTGATTGTCTATCAGAGAGAAAATTGAATGTTTAGGTCTAGGAGCTGTTTAGTAGACAAATGAAATGAAATGGAGTTGAAAAGAAAGAAAGAAACAACTATATTTTACAAGGACAACAACGTAGGTTCACAGTTAAGGATCCTTTTTACCAGCTTGTCCTTGGCCAAACCTCTTGGCGTTGATCTTATTCAAGGTCATCAGACTATCACACAGACAGACTATCATAAAGAAAATGAACAACACACAGTGTGCAGTGAGGAGAATTCAGAAAATAACAGTGACACTGAATGGAAATTCATACCTTCTTTAGCTCTTAGTAGTTGTTCAGCTCTCTCTCTTTCAGTTAAAGTAACATTTAAACTATTGTCTTTTCTTCTCATCTCTAACTGCATTTCATCCATATCATTCTGCATCTTCTACTCAAAAAAAAATAAAAACATGTCAATTGACAGGATGCCTGGGCTGGTGCTTTCATCAAGACTTAATAAAATTGACATCAATGACATTGACAGGGTACAGAAGGCATAGTCAGAATACGAATGACCCAACCATTTATGAGATTTTAACTGTAAATTTGAGATTCTTGCAAGCTCTACCCAATACCTACCCTAAACACAGACAGAATATGAAAAACGCAGCCAGAACTTGGAAGAAAGGACAGCCAATGGGTAACATTGTTGCTAGATTAACCTTATACGTACCCTAAGTTTGACCAACATTCTCTCTGCCTCAACTGTCATTTTAGGATGTAATTCTGTTGCTTTTCTTGCCTGCTCACGAGTAAAAAGGGTTAAGGAAAAACAATGAGGTAGTATTAAGATTGTGCAACGACGATATAAATCTAACACGTTTGAATCCACTGCTTTATCATAGTATCAAGTTTTGACATGTTCTTGAAGTATAAAGAATTGGGGCATGGTGCTTGGACGCAATGCTGCTATACATTTATTGCCTGACTTTTACCTTGCTTTGAACGAGATTTTTGGTTAACGGAATTGATTCGCTTGTACGGAATTTTATTATCCAAAAATGAAATGGATATCAAATGTTATCAAATTCTGCATTACTTGTGTGTTGTTATAAGAAAGGATATAGATAGTTGGATTCTAGCTCTAGAAAATAGATCTGTTGTTGAAGATTTTTGATATAATCTGCTTCAATATCAGCCAGTTCGGATTTACTTTGGGCCTTACTAGATTTCCTGAAATATATACACATAATTAGTAAAAATATCATACTTTCTTTAATGTCTACAGTCTTTCTATCGAGGGCTCTGATTGGCTGTATTTGCTGGCATACAATCCAATCAAATTGCTAGTGTGATACAAGAATAGTGGATATTGCAGACAAGGTGGAGATAGTAATCCCATGATGAAATGAACATCAATTAAGTGGTATCAAGTGACAGATGAAGAAGACCCTTAATACAGCAACAGCTAAAAGCCTTACCCTGTCAGATTCAATCCTGACCCCCAGCTACTGTTATTGCAACTTTTTCGTAACAAACTCGAACTGGTGTTTCTCGATTTCCTGGGACCAAAATCTGAAAATAATATCAACCATTATGACAAAGAAATGACAAAATGCCTGTTTCAAATTCGCTTTAAATCTGCAAGATATTCCAGTCAAAGAGAAGGATTCCATTTTGAATAATTCTTTCTGCAATTTAGTTAAAATGAAAATAAATTAGCGTAATGCTACTATATTACATTAGCTTTCATCAATAACTTTCTTGGCTGAGTTTCAAAATTTCAAACTATCGGTAGTAAAAAGGGACTACTTTAAGTGACCTAACTAGTAACTATATATTAATATTAATATTTGAGCATTTGAGAGTGAAATTTAGTGAAATATGCTAAAAAAAACTACATCTACGTTAAAGATAAGTTACGGAAAATTATCAAAATATACAAAATAAAGAGTTTCCTATCATATGAGTGATGTGACAGACTTAAGCGGCCTTCACACCATAGTGATCACCACTTGAATACGGTTGTAAATAATGAAAGATGCCTTGAGTTTCCAACACAACTCTCATGCATCTGAGATGGGAACTCATGACCACTTTCCTTAGTAGCAACCATACACAAATAGTAATCAATATGGTGTAAGGACACCTTTAGGAAGTGAAAGCCAGTGAGAAAGGCGTCAGACTACAACTACTTTGTCCATACCTTGACTCTTACTAGTTGAAAATTCAACAGTGTTTTTAGGGGAGACACTCCTAGACCTCATAGGGGATATACTCCTTGACCTCATCGATTTGCTTGAGGTTACGACCTTCGAACCCGAGTCCAATGCCTGATGGCCATTGACAGTGCTGGGGCTCTTGGCTCGTAATGATTTGCTCCATTGAACCACTGATGAATTCTGGGAATGAAGTGGTTCAGTAACGATGGTATAAGAAGCATGGCCATTCATCTTTGCAGTACGAACTAAAATGGAAATGAAATGAAATGGAATGGTGTTTTATCCTACTGTTCTGGACCCCGTTCCACAAAAAATCCTTATTGAACTAATGAAATGAAATAGAGTTTTATATCTTACTGTTCTCAGCCCCGTCGCAAGGAATGAATTGGTGCTGGGGCTTAGATTTTGCACTCAGAAAATTTGAAGAATTAAAGGCCAAGAGTGATCTTTTCTGACAATTTTGAGGTGCCAAAAAACGTATCAAAATCTATATCTTTTTGATTTTGTACAGACACTGTAAATGAATCAATCTCTGCTGAACTGAAGAATGTTTTGATGGGGCTTAATTCTCACTTGCTGGGGTCCAGCCCCCACAGACCCCACCCTAACGAAGGGGCTGACTGTTCTGTATCTTATTGGCCTAATGAAATGAAATATAGTTTATAATGAAATGAAATGGGAGTTTTATTTATTCTACTATTCTGTATCTTATTGGCCTAATGAAATTTTACATCCTACTGTATATGATCAACTTCTTTTAAAATCCAAAACTATCTTAGATGTGTATGATATCATGGTGAATAGACAAGTTTGGACAAGTTAAAAGTATCATTGTTTGATTTAGTTGTAAGTTGGACACAGTGAATAGAAGATTATATAAAAGAAGTTGTTTAAATTCCTATCAAATATTATTTATGACCTTATCATACAGTAAAATGAACAAACAACTTTTATATTTCAGTCAGAGGCCCCCAACTTTCAAATTTCTTGTATTTTTACCTAGGGAAATAGGTGTCTGTGAGCCCCCTTTGACCATTCTGTGGACATTCCTTGACCCCCATCTCATCTTTAATGATTAACATCAATTCTATCTTAAATAAGGGGCTTAAATCCTGCTTTTTTTTATGCAATTCAAGAGTATTTTTCCACTACTATTGTTACATTTTACACTGAAAAAAACCCATATTTCCATTGAAAACTTTGTAATTTTGGGACTCTGAGGAAGAGGGGGAAGGGAATCCCCATATTCTATTCTCAAATCCTTAATTTATCCACACCCAACCTACAATCATTGTCCCCGCCATTAAAAATAACATGTCCGAACTTAACCGACTAAAAAACATAAATAAAGCACACAAACCTCCATTTGCTGTGGATGATTTTTGGGGACTTGGTTTCCCAAACGTTGAAGCGGTCCGACTCATCTTTTTGCATAGAAAGACTCTTCCAAAATCTGCAAAAATTTCTTTTTTTGAGGATCTTCTTTTAATTTGTTGACCCTAGGAACAGGGCTTCTTAAAAATACGGAATCGATAGTAAGAAAATCGTTAATCGGGAAACGACAAGTAAAGAAAAGACTGGATAGTTGTTACTAACCGGAAGTACACAAATAAACATTCCTGATTGTCCAGACTCAAACTGATAAGGAAGTTTTTCTCTCTGATCTAAAAATAGTCCAAAAGTTATTCTTAGAATAAAAAACCTGAAATCGAAGGTTCAAAAGTTTTTTGCCATAAAGCAAAACTTACTCTTACTGCCAAGGAGAGGAAGATACGAGGCAAGTATATAATTAACCCCATCATCAAATGACAGTCGACCGTTTTGAGAAATTTTCATGGAGAAGGCCAAAGTCAAAGCGTTTCCTCCTACTTTCATTTTCTACTTTCGATCTCCCAGGTTTGGTTTCGATGTGAAGGAAGTATCCAATACATTGACAGATTGGTCTGTTGGCAGTTCCTTTTTGTAAAATTCAGATACAAGAGGTGAAAATCAGATACAAGAGGTAAAACTTGACAAAGCCAGAAAGGGTTTCTGCTAAGATAGTTTCTGTTGGATTAGGCCTATAATATCAGCAGACAGGCCATATAGTATAGAAGAGGGCGATAGGTGATGTCCGTTTTAGAATCTATGCATTATGCAAGTTCTGTTCAGTTGATAATGTAGATATTTGATGACTATATCTAGATCCCCTCACAAAAAAAAAAAAAAAAACCAAACAATTTTCGTTTCAGGTTATGAAAGAGATGTAAAATGGCACATTCTATGAGTAGTGGTGGTCCTGAATTTAGACAAGACTTGAAGAATGGTGCCACTGTTGTTTGTCATATGAATAACGTATTCAAAGTAAAGGCTGATATTTTGGTGATCAGTCAAAATGGAAGCGTTGAAAGCTGTGCGAGAGAAAAAGTTGGAGCTCAAGAATGGGACAAAAAGAAACAAAAAGCTACACGTTATATTGATCGTTATATTGATCGTTATATTGATCGTGATTGGAAATTTGTGAAAATATCAATAATTGGCAGTAAACCAAATTTTCATTTCATTGAAGTCTATGATGTAACAGTACCAGTTTTTAACAAAATCAATCCTAAAAAATGGTTAGATGAGTATAAAAAAATGATGAAGAATTTGTTGGTTGAAGCTGAAAGTGACGGCAAGAGCTCGATAACCATTCCACTTCTAGGCACAAGTAAATACACGCTTTTTTTTTTTTTACTGGGAACTGAATTATTATTTGAAAGAAAAGTTACTCGTTTGTCCAATGATCCTGTTTCCTTTTTGGCAGTCACAGTTTGTTACAGGCATTTGATAGTATATTTTTCATGTAAAGTATATGTTCGTTATTTTACAGATGCTGGTGGCGCCCCTAAAGATGAATGTGTTCGAAGAGTGATGTATGCCGTTTTTAAATTCCCTAAATTCAAGTCTCTACGGAAGATTAACGTAGTGGTCCAGGATTACACAGAGTTCTTTCTTGTAGAAGATTTGACGGTAGAACATCAAAAATCACAAACATCAGATGAAGATAAATACAAGAATATAACTAAGCTAAAACAAAAAACTCATTTGATGTCTTTTATCAGTAACAGTACAGATAATCCAGCTATCCATGGCCGCTCTCAAAGCCCAGATAAAAGAAATAAATTTCATAGTTCATCTCATGACCATACAAATGGAGCAGGAGCCACATCAAGGGGAGATAATCCAGATGTACGCCACAGGTCCAGCAGTCATAATTCTAGAACCAGTGGGGCTTCGAGGTCAAATACCCTATCTGAAAATAAAGATAATTATTCATTAGAAAGGCAACGTGAAACTTCATCCAGACCTTCAAAGAAGCCACAACCTTCAAGTGCGAGAGATGGAGGCGAAATCCAAAAGAATTCAGGATTTGGAATCAGTGGATCTTCAGCTCAGAAAGAAGATGATGTAATTGGATCGAGGAGTACCTCGGGTAGCTCTGTCGACCCTTCCTGGTTCCAGTACTCTACCCAGCAAGGTACTCATTCAGATGGCAATGGAAATGTAAAAAAACATGATTTGAACTTTCCCAAAAATAATAACTTGCATCCAGGCAAAGATTCATATGCTAAAGTCGTCCAGAAAAATAATAAAGTTGACTCAGACCACCATCATATTTCTAATGGAGATTCCTCCAGATCCTACGGTAGAGATAAAGATGAAGAATACTCAAAGGAATATGCTGAATCCCACAAGAAACATAATATCGATTTGGATTACAGAAGTTATTCGAGAAAAAAGCATAATAATGGAGACTTTCCCAGATATGACAACCTTGAAGATATAACCAAACGCAATGCAGAGCTGGACCAAGCTAGACTTGAGGAACTGGCTGAAAGTGAACAAAGTGAGGACCCAGACAACAAAGTTATGTCAAGTGATAAAATGATAAAATCATCCAATAATAGGGAAGAGCTAGAAAGCACACGCCATCATGGAAACTTTGACAGTAAACACAAAATCAGTTACCATAATGTTAAGGACACAGAAGGTAAAATACTTGGATTGTCTGAAACAGAAGCATTAAGAGATGTCAGTTTGCATCATTGCTCATATTGTAATTATAATAATACTAGCAGAGTTGAATTACCATGCTGCCATGTGTTTTGTATTTTCTGTGCCCCAACTAATCTAGGTTGTCCGCAATGCGAAATAAGTGATAAGAAATTTAACAAAAAAGAAGATAGTTATAACCCTAGCAACAGAGTTCAAACATCATTCCTTCAACACCATTGTAAAAGCTGTTTAGGTTATACTTATTGTAAACTTAAAGAATTGCCATACCACCATGTTTGTTGTTTTCACTGTTTATTTGATTGCCAGAGTTACAACAAGAGTTGTCAACAATGCATAGCTGAAAAATATAACAAAAGAGAGGAAAATAGCAGTGAACCTGTTAACAGAGTTCAAAGTTCAAGGGAAAAAACCCATGGAGAAGACCTTACCCACTCTTCAGAGAAACAACACTGTAAAAGCAATCTTGGTTATCAATTTAGTAAAGTTGAAAGATATAACAAAGAAGAGGAAAATATCAGTGAACGTGTTAACAGAGTTCAAAGTTCAAGGGAAAAAACCCATGGAGAAGACCTTACCCACTCTTCAGAGAAACAACACTGTAAAAGCAATCTTGGTTATCAATTTAGTAAAGTTGAAAGATATAACAAAGAAGAGGAAAATATCAGTGAACGTGTTAACAGAGTTCAAAGTTCAAGGGAAAAAACCCATGGAGAAGATCCAGTTCACTCTTCAGAGAAACAACACTGTAAAAGCAATTTGGATTATCAATTTAGTAAAGTTGAAACCAGTGAACCTGACGACAGAGTTCAAAGTTCAAGGGAACCAACCCATGGAGAAGGCAGAGACACCCCTGTAGAGGAAAAATGCGATGGATGTGATTCAAGTTTGGCAAACAAAAGTTCAGTTAACTCAGCTTGTGGCTGCACTCTCTGTGCAAAATGTTTACCCAAAGGTTGTAATGGTTTGTCCTGTAAAAAATACTATGAAGATGACGGAGAAAAAAGGCTAAAAGGAACCCATAGAGAAGGCAGAGATACCCCTTTAGAGGAAAAATGCAATAGATGTGATTCAAGTTTGGCAAACAAAAGTTCAGTTAACTCAGCTTGTGGCTGCACACTCTGTGCAAAATGTTTACCCAAAGGTTGTAATGGTTCGTCCTGTAAAAAAGACCATGAAGATGACAGAGGTCAAAGTTCAAGCAAAGAATCCTTTGGAGAGGACCCTGGTTACGGAGGTCAAAGTTCAAGCAAAGAATCCCATGGAGAGGATCCTAGCTACGGAGGTCAAAGTTCAAGCAATGAATCCCATGGAGAGGATCCTAGTTACGGAGGTCAAAGTTCAAGCAAAGAATCCCATGGAGATGATCCTAGTTACAGAGGTCAAAGTGCAAGCAAGGAATCCCATGGAGATGATCCTAGTTACAGAGGTCAAAGTGCAAGCAAGGAATCCCATGGAGATGATCCTAGTTACAGAGGTCAAAGTTCAAGCAAGGAATCCCATGGAGAGGATCCTAGTTACGGAGGTCAAAGTTCAAGCAAAGAATCCCATGGAGATGATCCTAGTTACAGAGGTCAAAGTGCAAGCAAGGAATCCCATGGAGATGATCCTAGTTACAGAGGTCAAAGTGCAAGCAAGGAATCCCATGGAGATGATCCTAGTTACAGAGACTCAAGTGAACTAAACCCTAGAGAAGTAATAACAAAAACTGCATTGATAACTTGCTACAGATGTGATTCAAACTTGGCAAACAACAGTCCAGTTCAGCTCAGTTGTGGACACACATTTTGTGCAAAATGTGCATCCAAAGGCTGCAGTGATCCAAACTGTGAAGAGGAACAATATTATGATGATGATGCTATGGACCCAACAGGAAGTGAATTAGGTCAAGATTCTTCTGATGACCATAGCAACAGAGGTAGGAATGGAAGTAATGGTAACCATAGAGATACAAGAGTGGATAACCATAGCAATGGACGTTTGAGTGGAAGTGACAGTAACTATAGAGATTCACGACTGGATAACCATAGCAACAGGGAACTGCAAGAAAGTAAAGTTAATGACGAAAAAGAGAATAGGTCGAGAGAGGTTCATCAGCCACAAAAAGATGCCGAAAAGACTGAAATATGTGCCATTTGTATGGATGACATCACTGATCTAAAGAAACTGGATAAATGTGGGCATGTTTTCTGTCGAAAATGCATTGACAAATCTTTTAAGCTGCACAAACCAGTTTGTCCGTCCTGTGGTACTGTTTATGGAGTAACCATTGGTAACATGCCTGCTGGAACAATGAATGTTCATAAATCATCATTGAATATAGAAGGATATAAAAGATTTGGTTCTTATTGTATAAATTATGATTTTAATTCCGGTATACAAGGGGTAGGTGAATTTCATATCATACCAAAATAACTATGGACTCGTGGAACAAAGTTAGTTGTAGAGTGATATTAGGGTTTCTTAAACATGGTCTTCCAATAGGCCTATGTCCTTCAAGCAAGCTGGAGTAACAATCCAGATAAACCTACCCTAGAGCAGGCATATATTACTTTTATTAGTTTTTTGGTCCCTTTGTTTGAATCGATTTATTTAATTGGAGATAAACCAAACGTTAGAATTTCGTTTTGAAAAGAGCTACAGGAAGCAAAAAGCAGGTCCTTTAACAGATGATCAAGATACAGATTTGATGATTACAACCCTTTTATTTTGATTTTTCAGTCTAAGCATCCCAACGCTGGTGTAAGGTTCAAAGGAACATCTCGTGTTGCTTATTTACCAGCCAATCCTGAAGGTATCGAAGTCTGCAAGATGTTGAAAGTGGCCTTCAGACGACGTTTGACTTTTACCATAGGTCGGTCTACAACTACTGGTCAAGAAAATGTAGTCACTTGGAATGATATTCATCATAAAACATCTATGAATGGAGGTCCTACTAAGTAAGTAGAGATTGAATTCTGTTAAAACGACGGACCAGATACCAATTTCCAGGCTATAGATGCCAATGCTCCTTCGCAAATTCTTGACTAATATTAACTCTTGAATTTTTTTTTAGAAAAGTTATGTGATGTTCATGTAACAACCTCAAAACACACAGCACCTGGATGTGCACAATTTTTTTTTGCTCACTTCTTGTTGTAGTTGTATTCCAAGATGATCACGTGCGTATATTTTGTAGTTTTGGATATCCAGATGCCACGTATCTATCGAGAATCAAAGAAGAGCTGGCAAGTAAAGGAGTGACGCTTGCTGATATTGATGGTGTTAAAGATGGAGATGAGAGTATAACTGTAAAATAAATGTATTCTGGAAAATGTAGAGTGATTCAAGGAACAGCGACAGTAGCAGAACTGGGGATACAAATATGGGGCAGACTAAATGAAGAGGGGGAGGGGGGTGGGGGGTTGCAACTGTCGGGTTGGGATTCCAATAGTTTCATGGGGGGTCAGAGCAATTCTATCGCCAACCCCCATATAACAGTTAAGAATTGAAATTGATTTTGTGTATTCTGGCATATATTTTACATAAATTACTTAGTAATGCTATTGAGACAAAAGTTAAATTCATTATAATTATTTCTTTTAATACAAACTTCATTGATTTAAAAGATTGGTTTTTTTATTTGCCAAAAATCTAAGATTGCTTTGATTTGTTTCACCTGTTTACCATATTGTCATGTGACAAATTACAGTTTATCAAAAAAAAAACCACCAATTATGTAACTAGTTTATAGAAGAGTGATTGTTCAAAGTAAATATTACATTTTAGTTTAATGGTTTCACTGTGGTATCATGTGTATCAAGCTCTTGTCCGTCAAGGAAAGACTCGAGGCAATGAACTAAGGGTGTTCTGATGGAAAGTTCTTTCTCTTTGTTATTAAATATAACATTATATTATTTTTAATTGGATGAACTATATCTATTTGTTAGCTTTCTATGATATATTATATGCTAGTGTGAATTTAACATCTGTTATGTTAAAAATTCTTAAAAATAATATCACATATAGTTCATTTCAGCTTTAAAGGGATTTTAAAGAGGTTTTTCTGGTCTTTGTTCGAGTATAAGGGAGACTTATAGCTTCTATTTACATCATTCTAATATCCTGTTTGACAACTATGGATCCCAAAATGGGGGCATTAATGACTGATCTTAGACTGAATTTAAAATGAAATGCAGATTGGTTTAAAGGGACACATGCAAATTTTTTTGACCACTCGCCAATTTTAAGATATTCTGTGATATATAGAAAAAACATATATAGAAATAATGAGTAAAATTCCTAGTTTGAAGTATTTTTAAAGGAATTATACGATTTTCGTACATTTCTAGTACTTCTGAAGACTATTTACATATATTCAAGATTAAATTCGACCCCCCCAAAATGGTGGAACAGTCTCTTTAAATGGAATCTACAAAGTATACTCAATACAAAGACTAAAAAACCTCTTTACAATCCTTTTAATATATAGCAAATATGTATATAAGTGTAGCCTGAATCCATGTATCACTAAATCAGTCATATGATTGGCCGTTCCAGACTATGTGAAGACTAATAAATGATAAATTGAAATCCAACATCGCAAAAAATCACACGATATAAATGAAATAACGTTTAATTCCAAAATTATACATCAATTTAAATGATGTCAACTAGAATAAGTAATTAGACAGGAAATGGAGAAAAAATGGGTGTAATTTGTTAACGTTGAAAACCAATAAAAATGGAACAATAGTGTCAATGATGATGTCACTTCCTTAGAAACCTGAATTAGTCTGTCCAGATACTGAGATATTAACACAAAAATACAAATTCTTTTTACATTGTCATCACATATTTTCTTTATCTGAAAAAAATATTAAAAAAAAAATTGTTTTGATTTTCTTCAAATTGTGAGAATATGGACCTCTTCAAGGGATGGTAAAAAGTTGTGTTTTGGGGACACTGATAGCATCGATTTGCAAATTTTGTTTGTTTTTTTAGTTTTAGTGGAAATGCAGGAACCACAGACGTCTTATTGAAAATTTAGAAAACTTCTTTACAATCCCTTTAAAGGAAAGATATAGAAATGCTTAATTTACCTGTCACACTTCCTTTAAGCAATCTGGAAGATCATTTTTAGGATGTTTACTTTCAAAATGTTGTTTGTATGTCTTGGGATCTGGCATTTGAGACTGAATTATAGAAATAAAATAAAGTGACAATCAAATAAATTATAAGCTCATAAAATAGGTAAATTTGCCCTGAGCATCATTTTCTTCAACATTAATGTTATCATGAAAAATATCTGTTGGACTAGCTAAGACAAGCTTACAATATACTAGCCTGAAGCAATCACTTTGCATTTTCCTATTATTGGTTTATCTTGTAAATCTCTCCAGAAGTTAAGTAAATTCTTATTAACCTAGACTTGTAAGAGAGTATCTCTTATAAGACATTATACAAGATCATAACCACTAAATCATTACCTTACAAACTGTACATGTATGAACCAAAGCATTTTGAGCAGCTTTTTTTTGACTCGTTCCTTTTTTCGATTTTGCTAATTTTTCAGCATTTTTCTGTTGTGATTGGATCTTTTGTTGGCCACGCGCCATGATGATTTTCTATAAACAAAAGTAAACGATAATTAAAGATAAAATAGCCCCTGCATTAGTAATAGTCGGGCTAGAACTTCAAAATTTTCTTTCTTGAAAAATGTAAAGGGAAAACTAAGAGTGTAGGGCCATCATAATAAATTTAGACTTCCCAGGAAGTTCCCTTTCTCTACAGTCTGATTAGAGCAATAGGCCAACGTCGATAGACGTCATCGATCCTTCTCATCTCTTGAACATGTTGCGTTCATTATTTGTTGACAACAAATGAACAACCGATCTCAATGATTGCATGGCTTCATCCCCTGATAGAAACTTTCACAGAACTTGCAGGAACTGCTGGTGAGAATTCCTAGATTGCCAAAACCCTAGGTCATTAACTACATATCCAAGAGAAAGTTGGAACCATACAAAAATGATTTACTTACCAATTTTTCAAATAGATCTTTAAAGTTGCAAAACTGTGAGAAATAGAAATTTTAACCGGAAAGAGAATTTTGCGCACGAATCTTAAATTTACCAGTGATCACAGAGGTACGGCAAAATAATTTTTAAGAAATATCTCAATATTTGCAAGTTTTATATTCAAATTCAAATTTATTTTGTTAGGAAACACAAGGTTAAGGGAGTCTAAATCGATTTAAACAAATCAATCTTAAAAATTCGCTTTAATTCAAAAAATATTTGAAAAGCGTTCAAGATAAAGGGTAAAATAAACAAATATGGCTGCGCCCATGAAGAATTAAATTTCTGTAAACATCACACACAAATCTGATAAAATATGACCTTGAATGCACATACATGAATCCCCTTTCAAGACACTGTTAGATTTTTCCGGTTGTACCTCACGTATTAACCTCAGCTAGAATGAAACACATTATTACTTCTAAAAATTAGCTTGAAGTGGACATTCGTACTTGATGCCGTCAATGTTATTATTGTGACTTTTTACTACCGAATATATCAAAACCGCCGACTCCCTACTAAATAATTAAGATTGTATAATTTAATGCCTTAATACAAAATGTCGTTGAAATTGTATACTAGTGCACTGACCCAGTTAAGAAAACTTCTGAGTTTATCAGAGAGAATAAGCGGACGTGAATATGCCTCTGGCTGGAAGAAAAGAACTTTAAAAAGAGAAAAAATCAAAGAGACAGTAAGCAATTGAATTCAATTGTCATATTAATCAACTAAGCTAATGATAGTCTGGATAGAACAATATCCAAAAAGGGACTGGTCTTCCTTGGGTGCAGCCATTATCCCTAGGTTTTAATTCTTTTGGTACTGTACGATGCCTCCAGCCTCATAGAATCCACATTTTGCTCAACAGACACAAACTACCCTTGCAAATGAATGATGAAGCTACTTCTAATAAATAAACCATAAAACCAAGTAGGCATACTAATGATCCGAACCAAACATATTTGAGAAACATTGGAAGCAGCCAATGAACTGTTCATATAAGTAATTCATTGTGAAAAGTGGTATCAGGTGTCTAGAACTGTCTACCAACTGATAAGAAACTTGTAATATATTATTATAGGTAATACGATATGTAGGAGTTAATGCAGTCCGGACACAGAGAGTATATTTATGGGGTTGTAGTGCTACTGGAGCTTTAGGTACACTTCTTATACATCATCCTACATATTCTTATAATATATATAGAGACAAGTTTGCCATCAATCGTACCATAGTCTCAGAATTGGCATTATTTTAGTTAATCAGTAATAGTTTTCACAGCTCACTGTGGAAATTTGAACCTTCAAATCAATGTTTGTCCAGAATAATCCATGTTAGAGGCTTGTCTTGGTATATGTCAATATTGTTTTAATCTAGCCCCTTTAAACAAATAATATAATGGATGTAAGATCCCTTTAAACAGGAAAGTGACATTAATATAATATTATGTACATTATCTAAATTTTAACTTTTATAGGTATTCAGCAATTTCTACGTCCCAACAGACTGCAAAAACCCAAGTTAAAAGTTCCGTATCCAACACGACTGAAATATATGAACGAATATGACTTTGAGGTAAAAAATTTGGGTCATTTTTCGTGTAGAGATTCAATCGAGAATGACATTTTTGAAACTGCATATTTATCAAGGGTTTATGGTAGTAAAGTAAGAGCATTGGTTCTTTACATGACGTCATTTGCTCGATGACGTCGATCAAATGATGGCTGTGGGTTCTAATCTCGATCGGCAGTCTGAGGTCTGAGGTTAAATAATTCATCTTTACTCATGATTCCAGTCAACCCACCTTGTCTTATCTCTACATGTTTTTCCACAGATCTACGACATCGCTTGTGGGTATGGTTTCTCAATATTTGCTGTTAAAAAATCCAAACAACATTATCTCTTAGCTACTGGTATCAACACAGACTCTCAGATAGGTTTCCATGAAGAACCTAAAAATTCTGGTAAGTTCTAGACTTGAAGCTGTATGAAAACAGCAGTAGCTTTTAAAATAAATTCACAAAAGGTTTTCTAATCTCTATATGTGTCTCAGGAACACTTATACTGTCTTTAACTCTTTTTGTATCATTCTAATTTTCTAGTCTTTGTTATCAGGAATAAATATAGCTTCTGTTGACAGCATTATGCTTTAAATGTTCATTCATTCATTCATTCATTCATTCATTCATTCATTCATTCATTCATTCATTCAGTCAGTCAGTCAGTCAGTCAGTCATTCATTCATTCATTCATTCATTCATTCATTCATTCATTCATTCATTCATTCATTCATTTCAGGAAGATTATTAGACTATGTTATTGCCCCATTACCAATATCACTACCATTAAATGAACCAGAGTTGACTCAATTTAAATCTATAGCTTGTGGTAGAGCTCATACAGTTATACTTACACAGGACAATACAGGTAAGTGAAGTGGTTGGGTGGGGTTCATTGGTCAGGTGCTTGTGGTTCGTGCAGATGGGCCAGACACATAGGTTAAGATACTCTGTTCAATCCCTTTAAAGTTCTGATATTTGACTGATGTTTGTGTGTTATTTCAGTGTACAGTTTAGGTAACAATTCATATGGACAGTGTGGTCGAGGAATTGTACAAGATGAAGTCTACAGGTAAGCCTATATCACGTTTTTTTCCATGATAAATAAGCTATTACTTTTGGTTCCTAAACTGAACGATCAAAATTAACAAAAAACATGACTGCAAGGATCTAAATACTGCATGGCTCTCACAACAAAAAAAACAAGGCATGATTTACAAGAAATATATGTTAAATTTGACACTTTTTTTCAGTAAAAGTTCGAGAGTAAATGTATTAACAGATTTACCAGACAATATTGTAAAGGTGAGAAAATATCTTTAGCATTTCTCTGACCTTGAGTTACAACAAGACTCTTTTTTTCCATGTCAGCCCCTCCAATGCCAGGATTGCACCCTCCACTTTCAAGTTACAGAGCAAGCTAATCCACTGCCTACCAAACACAACATAATTTGTCTCCTTTACAGGTTGAATGTGGGTCTGACCACACCCTATTTTTAACGAAGACAGGAGAAGTATATAGCTGTGGTCTGGGGGCAGACGGACAAACAGGTAAGATGAATACTTATCTTATACTTAGACTGCAATAGCCACCATTCTTGTATCAATGAAGTTTGTAAATAAAGTGATTTGATTGGATTGTACATTAGCGAATAGAACCAATCAGAGACCTTGACATTATTGCTTTTTGATCAATAACCTTTAATTCTTTGTAGGTCTAGGAATGTATAATAATCAAGGGACACCACTCAAGTTAGAGGGTGATATACAGAAAGAAAAGATAGTATCAGTGGCATCGAAGGGGGATTGTGTTCTAGCAGTCAGCAGTAAGTGATTTATCTCCCTTCCTGAACCTTGACCTAACCTTTGAACTCTTAAATTTGCCTTGAACTCTAGACTGTAGCTCTATGAAGGTAATCACTGAAAGAGAAATGATGATAATGGTTTTGCCTGTCAATCATTGAAGGTAATTTTGAATCTGACATTCTAAGTTAGCTCATATTTTATTTTTAGAAAAAGGAGAAGTATTTGGATGGGGGAATTCCGAGTATAATCAGTTGTCAATGGTTACCGAGGAAACTCAAGTCAATGTACCAAGACATCTTCCCATAGCTAAAGACTGTGGTAGAATTATCCAAGTAGCTGCTGGGGGTTCCATTTGTGCTGTGTTAAATGGTAGGTATCAAGATTGATAGGAGAAACATTGAGATATCCTATGTTACTATATTTATATGACAAAGGGATATCCCATGATACTATATATATAGATATATATATTCACTTATAAAAGATATCAGATGAAATCTTTCTGGATTACTAGGGAATTACATTATTGAACCATATTTGGAACTGTCTGACAAAGGAATTACCTATGTTACTATATTGACCTGACTAAGGGATATCCTATGTTACTATATTTATCTCTATTATAGAGCATGGAGAAGTATATGTATGGGGTTATGGAATCTTGGGAAAGGGATTACAAGTAGATATGAGTTTAATGCCAACTAAAATTCCCCAAGCATTGTTTGGAGAAAGTGAGCTGCTGCCAAACATCAAAGTTACCAACATTATCTGTGGTCTGAACCATTTTGTGGCTTTGACAGGTAAGCTGAGGCAATACCATCTTAGAAATCTGGCATGTACCTATCAAAACGTGCAGGGAAATTGGACATATGCCTATCACAACTACCTAATACCTATCAAAACCGCCATTTTACGTGCCAATAGATAAAGAGCATATAAATTTATCATAGTTACAGATGTACTTTTATAGTCTGCACATGCATTTATGAGAATGACCTATATTGTCTCATGCACATGCATTTTGGAGATTGACCTATATTGTATAATGCACATGCATATCAAAGTTTGACCTGTTTATTATAGATAAAGGAGATGTTTATACCTGGGGTAAAGATAAAGATGGTTCACTTGGTTTAGGAGAATGTAAAAATCAATTCTTTCCTCTCAGGGTAAGTAGGCTGGTGCCTGTCCAAATCAAAAACATTAAAGCTGTATACTATATAATTTCGAATATAATGCGCATACTTGTATAATACGCACCCGAAACAGTTAAAGAATAATTTTAAACTACAATTTTGTAGTTACTGATTCTATTCTACCAGTTGATGTGATAATATACAATTACAAACGTAGCTATGTGCACTCCCCAAAATGGTATCTATGTTAATGATAGTATTTGATATTTTCAGGTGGCTCTACCAGCTGAAGCTAAGTCTATTTACTGTGGAGTAGATCATACTGTGACTCTATGCAGATCCTTTTGTTAATAATACTTACATTAATAAATTCATTGTCCTTAGTTTTGACCTTTATGTATAAGAAGCCAAGAAGCCCCTCGCAAAAGTGGATAGCATAGGATGATCAGCTTCAGAGTGGCTGCCAAGGACCATTTATCCATTAAGTCAATCACAATCGGAAATTAAAAACTATCATTAAAAATCATAACTTATTTGCGTTTGTATTGTCCTGTAGTCCAAAGCAATAAGTTCAAGATTCAAAAACAATGGAAAATCATTGTTTATTTTCAAATACTTAGTTTAATTTGATCGTTCTTGGCGCCGGTTAAAATATATCTTCGATCACAAATCGATAATCGATCATGAATAGTAATCGAATTCTTGGCGCCGTGATGGTTACTACTTCTAATCATTGGTTTGTCTTGGTCGTAGCTTCGATCAAAAACCCAAACTATATCAGACAATAAAGTGACTTGTAAAAGAGACTACGCCGAAAGTGCATCAAAATCGGGGTCTCGAAACACACAGGGGCTAATCTTGAATAATGATCAAATAATTAGCATACAAAGAATTATCGTTAGTAAAATAAATGTTATGATTATATTTTACTAGTTGATGAGCTGTATCAGACAAGCTGGCGACAAGGTACTGACCACCCTGGCCGAGGGTCGGGAGCAAACGCACCCCTAAAATTGCCTTCTTCAGTTTACCCAAGAAGACACCCAAACCCTCCACGCTATGGACGTACGTATCTGCAATAAGTACTATACTCCTTTTACTAAGACTTTTCCATATCCTTGAGGTTCAGGGGGAGGGGTGCTGGTCCCTTATTTACGAAAAACTTGCTATTGCTAAAACCATTTCACTGCATATTATAATGAAAATTATAACGCTACAAAATAACACATAAACGCACACAAATATTGCGTCTTACATGCATCAAAATAAGTTTCTATATGTTGGAAATTGCTGGATTGAAATTGAATTGATTTTGTTCAACAAAAAAAGGGTTCCACATCCTAACGATGACGGAAAACTCCGGAAAGTACCGAACTGGAAACAGTCTAATAATCCGATCAACTAATCTCGATTACGATTAAATGAATCATAGGCGATAATCTGCAGATATCGTCTATCTCTTTAAATAAATGAAATCTCCTCCTTAACCTCCTTATACCACAATATCATATATAATTTTAACTCTTTAAACGCCATTAACCCCCTTATAGAGAATACTCCCTAAATTAACCCCTGCAATCTCGATAATTCAATAAAGAAATCGTAACGATTATATATGGTAAAGAGCTAACCAATTTAGGGTTAATGTAGTTAACCCCAATTATGAGATATTTGAATTATTGAATAGAAAGCATCTTACGCAATTTGTTTGTGTGATTTCCCCACCTGTTTGTTGCTATATACTGATTTCAAAAGTACTTGTCCCCTACCGGGACTGCAAGGGTTAATACCAGACTATTTTCCATACAAAGAATGGGTATTACTCCGTGTCCCCGACCTGTGTTTTCTGTTTAAATTAAGACCCAAGCCAATACCCCTTAATACCATACACGTGCGAGTTACGAGAAATTTTAAAAAATCACCCGGGGGTGGTGATCATGAAGAACACGTGCAAAAATCATATTAATTGCAATTAGATATTATTCTGGCAGAAATCTGCAGAATGACATTTATGCGATTTCTGAAACATACCTTGCGGCAGACGATCCTGCAAAAGAGCAAGTGGGTTAGGCCCACCTAGCATGACACTTATGCGATTACTGAATTCGACCAGACGAGAAAGGTGATCGTTCTGAAGAGACACTTCGAACTGAGAGGTATCTGCTGGTGACATTTATGCGATTATGAAACCCGCCAAAAAGTCAGACGATCCTGCAAAAGAGCAGTTCCAGACGTGGAACATAATCTCGTAGCATGAGGTCTACGTTCCATGACACTAATTCGACAAGACGAGACAGACGATCTTTCTAAACTAAAGAGACAGTTCGAACTAAAAGGTCTCTGCTGGTGACATTTATACGATTATGAAACCCGCCGAAGAGTCAGACGATTCCGCAAAAAGAACAATTCCAGACGTTGCACGAGTTGTAAGATGTCATGCGATTACTAAACCGATCCCACCTTGTAGCAGACGATCCTGCAAAAGAGCAGTTCTAGCCTTAGTAACGAGAATTTATGCGATTATTAACTCTGGCGTCTTGGCAGACGATCCCAAAAAAGAGCGGTCCTAGACTTGGCAACCGAACGTGCTGCCAGAACTAAGAGTCACTACGTCTGCAGAATGACATTAATGCGATCACTGTGCAGACAATGCTACAGGGGGGGGGGGGGGGGTATCTTATTACTCAAACTTTCAATTAAGAACCGAAAGTCTACAGAATGGCGTTCATGAGATTATAGAAACAATTAGTGGACATGGCCTCCTGCAAAAAGACCAAGACACTTGTTTCCAAACTGGTGACCCATCCTCAATATACTAATCAGATTAATAGGACGTAAAACTCCATCTAATATCATCACAACCAGATGAAGAACAGTACGATTTAAAACTCTATGGCATAAGCTCAATAATATACCGAACTGTCGGACGTAAAACTCCATTTCATTTCCAGACTAGTGAGACCACCCATGGCTGACACACACGTCCAATTTCTTACTTCCTAGGAAACGCAATTTAAATTTATTCAACCCAAAAATCTGTTTAGCTTTGATAAATCGATAATGATCATATTTGTACCTGATAACCATTGTGAAGACTTCAAAGCCAATTTGTACGTATTCACTGATCACCAGCACGGGCAACTGATTCAAAAGTCAATAATGTCTAGTTGGTACACCACGTGATCATGGTATATCGGCGATAATACACAGCTATTGACCAATCGGCAAACATTATAAGAAAATCCGGGACAATATGTACGTTAATTTGTTAAGAAAATATCTCACACCGGGTTTAATGATGAGTCTATTCTGGTAGAAGATGATCCAATAATACCATCCAGTGTTATCCAATCAATAGTCAATATCGGATTACGTTTAAGCCTTTGTCCAATCAAATCACTGGATTTGTAATCCAAATGAAAACCTCGTTGGTGTATGAATCAAACTTTCGAAAATCGACATGAACGAAAATATTCATGTTCGGGTTTAAGGATTTTGGATTAGAAAACAATTCCGTAATCAGAGATCCCTAAATCCGTCGATCCTGCGACCAATGGAGAGGTCGAGCGGCTGAAATTCACCATTAATCTTGCCTAATCTATGCAATCATTGGTCAAACCAAAGCATGCTGTATGAATCTTCAGTATATATAAAGATAGCCCAGTTACGTTAGGTTATGCATTGAAAACAGCAAAAAGCAAGGACACAGCAATTCGCCTTGTTTGACTCCACAGTTCCATACAAAATTAAACATGATTGCTACACATATTAAACAAGGTAAGTACAAGAATTTCAACTCTATTTGTGAAAAAAGGTTATATGGTCGACATCACGAAATGGTTGTGTCATGAATCACAGTTGAATAAACGTGCTTACAGCTACAATGACACCAATTCAATTTAATTTAGTTTAATTTTTCTCCATCTTTTTTTTTCAGAAAACATGAGCTTCGAAGAAATCAGTTCGTTTGAAACATCCATGCCGCTGACGTCATCACCACGACCATCTTCTGCATCAAGTTCAGATGCCGACTCTTTCAGAAGTGGCTTTTTCGGCGGACGTGATGCTTTATCTCCAGTTTCGGAAAAGACATCATGCAAATCTGAAAACCGTTCACCAGTGTCCGAAAGACCAGAAACGACGGCTTTTGGCAGATCCAGTGAAATGTACAGACCTTACTACTTATCACCTCCAAAACTGACCTTTCCGTTCTCCCAGCTTCCCTCATATACCACCACGAGTTCAGTACCTACATACCCACCAATGACTGAAGCTAGACATAATCTTCAGTACAGTCAACAGCTTCAAGCTTATGCCCGATGCCAATACTCCAGATCGTCCACCTGCACCAGTTCCTGCTGCAGTACCTCAAGTTCGCCAAACAGCTCCGGTGACGAATCTCCACTCACCAAAGTGGACCTGTCCATCCCGTTCGACATCTATCTCAAAAGACTCGGCGAATCGATGGACAATTCGTCCAAGAAGCCAAGACTCTCAAGCGTCAAGACCCCACAACTTGTAATGCCCGTGCCTCCCGTTTACAAATACAACACGGAGTTATATTACGCTGGCCAGTCGCAGCCAGTACCATACTTCAGATATTGGGAACACAAACCAATGGGATTCTCAACCATCACCGAGCATACAAGATTGCATCAAGGTTCCCCAGTAACGTCACCAACATCTTCATCGTCTTCAGATAAAGATGATGCAGAAAAACGATACCAATGTGATGTTTGTTATAAGAGATTCTCCAGAAGCAATACTTTGGTCACCCATAAGGTAATTATCTTTTGAAAAACTGATTTCAGAATGAAGTTTTACGTCCACCAACTATACAGAATACAGGCAATGTCATGCCAATTACTGTATCTTGCTCTCTAATTAAGAAATTTGGCAATTCTGAGAAAGATTACAGTTCCATAATCACTCAATAGACGTCCAAATTCTCAATATCTTCATTTTTTTCTATTTTCAGAGAATACATACTGGAGAGAAACCATTTAAATGTGAAGTATGCGACCGGGCATTTCGACAACCAGGGAATTTGACTCGACACCGTTTAACTCATACTTCCATTAAACCCTATGTCTGTACAGTTTGTAACAAAGCGTTCAACAGAGCCAGCAATCTTCAGACTCACATGAAGATCCATAATAGAAGCGACAACAATGTGTATGGACGTTTTTGAAGAAATTGGACGAGAATGCCTTCGAAACGTTGCGTTTGTGACACAATCAGATGTCGTATGTCGGTACTTTATTTGGCCCAAAAAGTTACGATATTATTCATAGGGTTAGGACGTGAGCAATGGGCTTGCGACGTAACAACAACATGGCTTACGATGTTACCATAATGGGGTACGAT